GTGAAATGGGATTAAATTGGGATCTACCAGGATGCAATAGTCCAGTCTGCCTTCTACCATTCTGCTGGTCACTTGCTACAATAATGGAGATGTTGATAGTAATTAAATGACAATAAAAATGACACTCCCATCAGTAAACTCCTGAGCTGCATCTCTGAACTTTCCAATTTGTCGCCAGTAAAAAGCAGGAATGCTGAGAAGACTTCTTTAGGTAAACATGACATGGCCAGTAAGGGGCCAGTAAGTTTCTCCGTGGGGAGAAACCGCACTATTTATTCAACAACAACAACCTGCGCTTATACAGTGCCCTTCACGTGGGATAGCGCCCTGGGACCTGACCCTACATGAGGGACACTGTATAAATGCACGTAGTTGTTGCTGTTGTTCTACTTACCTTGCATTTTTTAGAGTGTCCAGAATTTTTTGGGCAAATTGTTGACCTCGGTGCATTACCTTTGAAGTGGCTTTTCTGTGGCTCTTAAAAGAACTAAGAAGAAACCAGTTTCAAATCGAAGGCTTTATTCAAGAATGTTCACCCTGACTACCCCCCTGCAGCAATAGATAAATGTAGAGCCAGGGACAGTTTCTCCCCAACAACGGCAGATTTTTTTTCAATGCGGTTGTTGGGGGGAACCAGAATAATGGCTTGATGAAGTTTACAGAACTTTCTCAATACTGAGGCATTGCATTGCAGTTCCCAGCATCAAAAACATGCAGAAAGTTACTGTTGCAGAAGTCATCATGATATAAGATATCTACGGTTTGAGAGCTGCCTAGCATGGGACATTCAGTCCTTGAAGGATTACACAGTACGTCCACCTATTATACCGTATTGTTCAAAGCTCACCCAGAATTACATTGCTTTTTGTGTTGAGCAAAGCTGATAAGAGTCACAATTGCATTCAATAATAATAATCCTTGCATTTAATAAAGCGCCTTATCTCACTCTGTCCAACAGTTTCAAAACGCTTCACAAGGTTTTGCTGTAAAGTGTAATGACCAGTACTGGTAATAATAATCCTTGCAGTTATGCAGTGCCTTATTCACGTGGTTTAGACGTCTCAAAGCTCTTCACTCGTTTTTAATTGTGAAATGTAGTGACTGCGTATTTGGAGGTGAGCGCGGCAGCCAATTTGCGCATAGCAACGTCCAACAAACAGCTGTGAAGTGAATAACCGATTTTTATCTGGGAGATTGTTGTCCAGGATAGGCAAATGTTCTCCATTTAAAACCAAACAATACTTGATCCTGTTTTCTAGTTCTTCTTAAATGCTATTGTAATCCTGTCACTTCCTGATACAATTTATTTTGGGTTTGTGGTGTTTATTTTCATAGTAACGTACAGGGGACTGTATGGAGGCATTAATAATTAATAAGTTTTTGGGACACTGCTGTGTGCAATTGGCTGCCACTTACTAACCCTTTACGGTATATTCTGTGAAGCTCTTTGAGACATCTCAATGACGTGATAAGGTGCTATATCAAATGCAAGGATTATTATTATTACAAATGGTACACCAAGTGAGGTCTCTCCAGCAATGAATTATTACCTTCTGCATGGAGTCACTCTCTGTGTTTATACTGAGAGCACTGTACTATTTTAGCACAGCAAGCTTAGTTTGTAAGTGATATAATTCAGCTATTTATTTGCACAGACCTGATTCATACAGAGTGTGCAGCCCGCTGGAATATAATTTCCTGTCAACAGCCCAAATGCTGAAAAAATTTGCAGAAAAATTGCAGAAAAGTACATTTCAAAAGAGCAACAAACGATCTGTGAGTTGTGTGGTAATGTTCGGTTTTGTGGCTCATATGCAAACACTACTCCCTAAACGCTACAATTACTGCAATGCATTGTCTCCTATACAAATGTTAATCTGCTAATTGTTCACTTAACTTGATCGGGTTAATGCCTCGCTATTAAAGAGGCTCGAAATGGAAAATGAAGATTATAATGTTAGAACTCTGAAATATTTGTTTCTGGTGGGATCTTGTTGTATGTTGTCCATCTTGACCTATCTTTCTGTTGTATTTAGCCCACACCTTTTGGAACTCTCTCCCTCCATCCCTCCGCCTTGCCCCCTCCTTCCCTTTTTCACATCACGCCTGAAGACCTTCCTCTTCAATCGTGCTTACGGTCACAGCCCCATTCTCAGTTGTTGACTGAAGGACTCTATTGAAGGTTCCCGACGAGAGACATCTTTACCACGTTGTAAAGGCATCGATCGCTTCACTCACCTGTAACACAGATTGTGGGATATTTGTGAGCAGCTTCCTGCGTGATCGGAACGTTACACATTCCAAGAGAAAAAAAATCACAGAAATGAAATATAACCATGTCAATCAGACAAAGACACTATACTGACTGTAGCCTGGACCAGTGTATTGTTTCTTGCCAGTAGTTTTTGACTCTATTCGGTTGAGGATCGTGGCCGAGAGCTACAAATGGGTGTCATCTACATACAACAACAACGTTTTTACATAGCATCCTTCATGAGGGTTAGCATCTCAGAGCACTTAATACATGGGGACAGCAGTGTCCCACACATACTCGTGGATTGGGGGACCAAATTATTAGTAGTATATTTTTGCAAATTGTTGTTGCTGTTGGAGAAAGGTTAGTGATGGAGGACAGGGGTGGTCAATATGCCAAAGGATGAGGAGGGATATCAAGCCCATGTTCCTGGTATTTATTTTGAAAGAAAAACACATGACCGAAATGTCATTGTTGCGAGAAAAAAATCATGCACATTGGTTCACTGCTCTTCAAATCAAAACCCATCAACTATAGCAGGAAAGCCTTTTGGAAAAACTGGCAATAACAGGTTTGAGACAATACATTTATCTTTGCTTTCATTTCATTTCTGGAGTTTGTGGTAGCTGTTTCCATAGAAACCAAAATGCTAAACTGGCTTCAAAGACACCGTCATCTCATGATATCTTACAGTGTGTTTTTCTCTGTTCTATCAAAGCAGTTTCCCCCCCTCCTACCCTCCCCAGTCTAATCAATAACTTTACATTATCATTGTATTTATATTCCAATGTCAAATCATTCGTTCCTAAAAAGTATGAACTTGCTCGTCAACATATCTTGTAATAACAATTATTACCGTAGTAACACACACCTCCACCACTTTCACAAGACAAACTCAAAATGGGTTAGTTACTTACTATTTTCCAGCAATTATTCTGAGTGATAATAATAATCCTTGCATTTGGTGCAGCATCTTTCGTGTTGGGAGGAGATCTCAAAGCGCTTCACGTGATTTGCTGCCGAGCAGTCGTGTAACTAGGAATGGAAATTTGGGTGGGCACCAACTTCTGGTGGACAGACGATGGCCGAAGGAAGGAGGGGGAGGGTAGTGCCTGCTGTAAAGTGCAGCAACTGTGGATTTGCAGGTGAACACAGCAGTCAATTTGCACACCGAAATGTCTCCGCAAATGCACTTACCATCAAACACAGAGTCACCCACTAAGAGTGAAATTCCGTCCCCTATTCTAATTGTTTTTAAATGTTTGTGGGACGGACACTGCTGTGCGTAACTGGCTGCTGCGTTTTACCCACAAAATACACCATCAATGCACTTTACAGTATATTCTGTGTTGCACTTTTGAGAAACCTCAACGACGTGATAAGGCGTTGTATATGTCAAAGGCAAGGATTATTATTATAATTATTATTATTATTATCTGGCGAGCTAGCGGCTCTGCTCCTGTTGTACCAAAGGAAGCGAGGAAGGGGGGAGGGAGAACTCACATCACATCACTTCCTACTAAACAGCCAAGAAAACCTGTTCTGATCCATTGGATATTCCTGATTCATTAAAAACCCTATGAAAGTCCCCACCTTGTCAAGTCAGTGGAGTTCAGCACACACACAGGTTCCTTATTTACTACAGAAACACTGCCCCCTAGACAGAGCCTCTCACTCACTGGATGTTAACCTAGAAATTTGGGTACTTTGAATGTTCTGTCACAAGCGACATTGGACACATCAGAACCACTTAAAACCATCTGAATAAGTGAAGCACTGTTTCATGTCGCTGTTCCTTCTCCTGTGTTTCTCTCTCTCTGTCCCCAAAGAACAATGCGCTTTATTGTTCGCTGCGGAGTGGATGGGATGGATTCGGGGGGGGGGGGGGGAGAGAGGGAGACTCACTAACAGCCACAAGATCTGGGCAGGAGAAACCCAAAAAATAAGCATCGACTTTAGGAGGAAAGAGAGAAAACGTTGAAAGGATCCACTGGATTCCCGGCGACATCACTTCTGCGCAAACAATATCTCGACGGGGTTTTTGGCGATGAGTTATTGGTGAAAATGACACGAGAACGAAATGTGTAACCCTAAAAAAAAGCGATTTACAGTGAGAGAAAGATGATATCACAGCAGTGATACAGACGGGAGGTCAGTAATCTCCCCCCCACCTCCCCTTTCTCAATGAGCAATATTCGGATGATTCGAATTCGCAAACTATGTCAAGATCGCAAAATGGGCACTTTTTCACTGCACAAGACCAGGAAGGCAGCCCCCGAATGGATGAATCCATCCCCGTGAAACACAGTCAGAATACCGACCGATTCCCGAAAGAGAACATTCCCCCAAGAAACACCCCCAAAACCTGCCCAATATAACGAATTCCCCCCAAAAAATCTTTCGCGGAGTTCACATTTCAAAAAAAAACACGTACACGTCTCTCCCCTCCCGTTTGCTCTCTCCGCCTCTGTGTGTGTGTGTGTGTGTGTGTTTAATCAACAAAAAAAATCCTAATTTTATTAAACCATCACGCGTCTAGACTATTTTTCCCAGCCCCCCCCCACATACCAGATCCCTATTGAAATGGGTTTGGGGAGGGGGGAGCTCACTCTTCCCCCCCTCTTTCTCTTCTCTTCCCCCTATTGTTTGAGTATTGATCCAACCCCCAGAGGCAGCCTATTGGCTCCACACCACTCGAGCTGTAGCCTTCCTGTCCCCCCCCCCCCCCCCACACACACACACACCCTCCTCCACGCTTTATCTACTCGCGGCGTCGCTAAAGCATATTATACGCTGTCCATTACCATCGCGGCTCAGTGTGTGGATTGCAGAACTGCTGAGCTGAGGGAAGAGGAAAGTTGAGGGAAGGGAAGAGAGAGAGAGAGAGAGAGAAATAATCTTTTACATCTGGAAGTCTGGAAGCGCGAGGTGTGTGTGTGTGTGTGTCGCACGGGGTTATTTGCTGAGAGTTTTTGTGGCTCTGGTCTTCCCCGAGGGTTGTGATCGCCTGTGTGTCTCTCTCCAGTGTTTCTCTTTGTCTGAGCCCCAGTGTGTGAGAGAGTGAGTGAGTGAGTGTGAGAGAGACAGACAGAGAGAGAGAGAGAGAGACACCATTGTTCAGCTATGGGCAGCACGTTCGCTAAGTCCAAGTCGCAAGACGTTACTGTGGGAACTCCCACCAAACCCAATGGTCAGGTACGTTTCCATCCCCGTTCTTTTGTTAGTCGTCGTGTTGAATTGCGTGCGGTTGCGTTTTTTTATATATATAAAAAAAAATCACTTTTGTTTGATTGGGGGGAAAAAACGATTCCAGAAAGAATACAGGTTTTAAGTTTTTTTTCCGACCGGAATCGAAACCTTTTGTTATGCATTCTGTGTTTAAAATATATAGATTTAAAAATAATGTGTGTGTGTGTATGTATCTATCTATGCTCATCGCCCAGTTAATTAATACAATGTGTGTCTGTCTTCCCTCTATACCAAACTATAAATATTTTCGAAAAGTGATAATGCGGTAACAAACATTGTCGCCTTTAAACAGTACATATTGCAATTTGAAACACAACATCCACATTCTCTCTCTGCAGTTTAATCTCTCCTAAAGCTGTACCAAACACCCGCCCGTGTGTGTTGCCCCCCACCCCACCACCGAAAAAAATCTTAAAACATTTTTAATTAAAACCCTCAAGCGCCTAAAGACATTTTTTTCCCCCTGGCCCCAAAATCCCAGATTCTCCAATTCCCAGATAACTCAACATTGGGGGGAAAAGAACGACTTGTAACTTACCACAAACCATTACAATTGCTGTAGTAAAGCCCCCTCCCCTTTTGTGCAGTGCTTTACAGCAAAGCTTCTAACCAGCATTAGGATTCAGACCGTAAATTGCCAACTTGTGCATTCCCCAAGTCCCATTTTTCCCCCTTTCCTTAATTTCTTTCTTCTTTCCTTTGTGGCCAAAAGAAACACCATTTCCCCACGTTTTATAACACACACACATATATATATATATGTATATGTGTAGAAATTCTAGCTTGTGTTGATGCTTTTGCAGTTTTTCATAAAATTGTATTTTAAAATAAAAGATCAGGGATGTTGTATATTTTATATATATATGTGTGTGTGTGTGTGCACAGAAAGGCTGGTTAGCGTGGCCACTCCTTGTGTATCAGTGGCGCTAAAACCCTGCACCATTCATTCAGGAGAACAAAGGCAGAGAGAGAGAAAGAGGTGAAATCCAAACCTTTGGGGATTTCCCCCATTACTAACTCTTCATGTACAACCCCCCCCCCCACCCCCCCAGCGGAATCCACCCAAAGCCTCTTCATTTAACGCCTCAAACAGTTTTTTTAAAAAGAAAAAGCTTTTGCTTTGTCGAGAGTAAAATGAAACCCTCCCCGGGTCTGTGTCCCCCCCACTCCCCCACTGGGGAGAAACAGCCAATGCTTATTTTTTTCGCCCTGAATATTTCTTTGCTCAAGTGAGTGAGAGAGAGAGCTGAGAGCGCCATCTGTTGAGTGATCCCCGCAGGTGGGAGTCGTCTGCACCCATCCATCCACACACACACACTTTTCTCTTATTTTTGACCCCCCAACCCCCCCCCCCCGGTTTTATTTCCCCATCTTAAGGAAATTCCTTTTTTTTTTATAAGCGTTTCAACCCCAAACAGCACTCTCTCCCTCCTGTGTGTTGCTGAGAGAGCCCAAACCATCAGATGGTTCAGTACTTTCCCCAAAGCTTTCCCCTAACTCTCTGGGTGGGGGAGACGGTGGGGTTGGGGGATCCCCACAGTGTTTATTTGCTGGAGATGTGAAAGTGATCGTTTTGCTTTCGAAATCCAGATTTAAGTTTTTTTTTGCCCCCCCCCCCCCCCTGGGTGAACGAAAGAAAAACCCCTTAACAAGTGAGTCATTGCTGTTGTAGTGTTATCAGTTGTAAAGTGAGTGTGTGTGTGTGGTGGGGGGTTAAGAGACCTAAGAGATAGGAGGGGGAGAAGGAGGGAGGATGGTAGAGAGGAAGCGTACGAGGGAAAATCAGCCGGATTTTAAAACTGTATAATAAAAAAGTTGGCCCATTGTAAACTTTCTCTTTTTTATAAAAAAATCTGTTCCTTGTTTAGGAGAACGGCCACGTGAAGACAAATGGTGATGTATCTCCGAGCAAGGCTGACGGAGAGGCTGCCTCGGTGCCGGCCAATGGGAGCAGTGCCGCGGAGGGGGCGAAGGAAGCGGCTGCGAATTCGGAAGACACCATCGAGCCGGCCCCGGCTGCCGACGGGGAGGGAGCCAAGCCCGAGGGCACCAAGGAGAGCCCCAAGAAGAAGAAGAAAAAGACCCTGAATCTGAAGTACTTTAATAACCTGAAGGGTCGGCTTTCCTTCAGAAAGAACAAGAAAGAGGCAGCCGAGAATACTGCCGCCGAAGAGAAGAGCGAAGTCAAGTCGGCTGAAGAGTCTACCGCAGCCAGCAGCGATGCTAAAGAAGAGAGCGCTGCTGTGGAAGTCAAGGAGGAGAAACAGGCAGAAGCCAGTGCTGCTTCTGAGGGACAAGAAACCAAAGCGAGTAATGAAGAGACTCCGGCTAAAGAAGAGACAGCCACCCCCGCAGCCAAGGAGGAGCAGACCTCGGGGGAAGAAGCCAAACCAGAGGCGACCGAGGAAGCCACAAAACCAGCAGAAAGCGAGCCTAGCTCAACATCCGCACCGTCCGAGCAAAAGGAAGAGTAAAGCGACCGACCGGACTGTTTACAAACTTTTCTCTGCCACGTGTTCATTGTAAGACCGAGACCAATCGCCCCATCAACCAGTCAACCCTAACCACGGACCTGCACCGACCCTCCCCCGCCCACCCCACACTTGCTCAATGCTATAGACCCACCTACTTCAGCTAACTCAAGCCTTCAAAATTGTCTCAGTATTAAGATCCTCCCCCCTCCCAACCATCACCAGTTTTGAATAGTTCTATTAGTTTTTACTGGGACCTGCTGGTGGGTGCAATAAAGACCCACTTGTCCAATTTTGGGATTGAAACTGAAGCATTGTGGCATTGAGAGAGAGAAATGAGGTGACTGTTTCTAATCGATCTGGCAAAGTGCTGAGTTCTTCAACTGTGTACACGTGGCATTAAGTTCTTTGCATTTAGTCACTTGATCCAAGAACTTCTGACATTTTAACTGGACATTGGTTTGACTGACACGCTTAAAAGGGAGAGGTGGGGTTGGGAGGGGATTTTACATCAGGACCATTATTAGCATCCCTGCTTCGTTTCCCAATTTGAAACATCTTGTGCTTTTTAGGAAAAACAGCAGTTTTGATTGAAGCTTCTAGATTTATTTTGTAGTTTTACAGTCTGACTACAACACTATGAGATGAATTTCTGTGTTCCCATTGATTTTTTTTAAAAGGGGGAGTGCAAGCAGTTATGTGATACTATTTTTTGCTTTTTTTGTCTTGTAAATAAAATTTGGCCAAATTGATTTGCAATTTTTTTATTGCTAACTTTTAAGGTGGTTATGACTTTATTGTAACATTTAAAAAGGGAAATAAATTTCACCTGTGGACTGTTGTCGTGTGTGTAATGGTGCAATTTCCCCTTCTGTTGCCTGTGAATGATAACTGGGAGCGGTGGTGGGGGGGGGAGAGGGAGGGAGGTCTGGCAGATATTCACACACTGCATGGGGAGCTATAAAATGAAGCTAAAACAAATTTGAGTTGTAGAATTGTTGATCCATTAATAGCTTTGACTAATAGAGCAATCTGGCAGTAATGTGTAGAGTGTGGGAGATTGCGCCCCCCAGTGTAGATTGTAAGCGATGCTCTTGCTATGGAACCGTACAATAGAAATTATGCCCTTTGAGTTAACTGATTCTTAGCAAAGTTTGTCGTTCATTGGCTTTTCAGATCACAGAACAAACTGACATTTAGTCTTTCTGACCTTACAGGGACTCCAACCCAGGTGGCTGCTTTGTGTGTAAGTTCAGCTACACTGTCGGATCGTAATACATTCATTCAACACTTGTCGATGTACAGAATCCCTGATACTGTGTATTAACAGCATCTTAATCTTATTCTGTGGGTTTAAAGTTGTGCAGAACTATCCTGCCTGTACCGATCAACAACAATGGGCATTTTGGCAGGATATGAACTCAAACTGATCTTCCAGCCCCATCAAATGTTCACAAACGGAAGTTGCAGCTATCTTCAAAGTTCTCCTTTGTCCATTTAGTTCCGTGTTTTAAATAGTGGCCAAAGTGATATTCTAGGTGTCAAATTATCTCCCAACTTTAACTGAGCATTAAAGCAATATTGTTATCTACCTGCAATATTGATTCCCAATTCTTTTACTGATTTACATAAACGTTATTACAGCAGGTTGGTTATCAGGAATTATTTTATTGCTCAATTTGGGACTTGAAGATCAAAAGTAATTGAAAATCTTCAATTACATTTTAATGGATTGAAAAATTGTAACGAGAAAGAAACTCAAGACAAGACTTTGTTTTCTATTTGTTAATCCCTGCCGTCTTCTGTACTTTACTTAAGTTATTCATTATGAACAGACAGATGGACAGTATGTGTGGTCTGGCTCGTCACCCAAAGGCACAGATGATCACATACAGGAAACTAACTGCAGATGATGGAGCTTTGAGTTTCCAAAATACACTTGCCAAGTCAGGAATGTAGATATTAGGGGACAGATTCCACAGAAGTGTGGTTTTTAACACCAAGTACTTATAAGTCTGGTGAATCGAAGACTATTTATAGGGCCAAATTCAAAACGGCTACCAAAGTGATGGCTGAAAACATGGTAATGCTTAGACTGTCAAGTATTTCATGGATATCCCACTGCCTTTTTCTACCCACACCACCACCATCCCCTCCCCCATAACTCACCCCAAATGCCATATTCTCAATCCTTGATCGTGAAGGCTGGCAGATCATTAGTTTTTCATCGTCACATAATCTTCACGGGCAATCTGGAGCAGGGCATCACCGGGTTGAGATCAGGAACGTGGCTAGATTCCACCCTCCAAAAAATCCTTGCATTTGATATAGTGCCTCATCACATTAGTGAGACTTCTCAATAAAGCGCTTCACAGAGTACACTTGAAAGTGAATTGACTGTTTTGTGGGTGAAATGCAGGAGCCAATTGCACACAGTAGCGTCCCACAAACAGCCGTGGATTGAGTGAACAAATTTTTTTAAACATTCTTTGATGGGATTATTATCCCCAGAGAGAGATCGCCAATCAATTAACAACCCAGTTCTTACTTATTGCTAGGTAAACAGAGGGTTGTATGTGGCATAAAGAAGATTTCACCTTGCCCGGGAATCGAACCCAGGTCCTCTTACTTGCGAGGCGATTGCTCTAATCACTGCACTGCGACTCTGGAAACATACACCACCGAGGCCCATTACAGCACCCCAACCACAAAAGCAAAAGTTAATGCATTTCATGCACAGGAAGATGTAAAGAAACACATCCGAACCACATTTCACTTGGGTAATGTACGAGTTTTACTATAAAGTTTAAAATTGGAAAACATATCCTAAAGGAGCCTCTTTAAGGATACAGATCAACTGATTTGACCCAGTTCATCATATATAAAAAAAAGTTAATAGTATATTCATTTCACACATCTGATTACTACTTCCAAAGTGGGAGAGTTACAGGATTCAGTATTTTCACAGAAGTACAAACGATTCATTAAGTGGATTGTAAAAATGAAAGAAAAGTTTTTAAATTTTCTACAAGTAATTTTCTGCCCTTCTCTTCTAAAGGTGCTTACATGAACTGGAATAAGGTTCCATCAGCAAACGCAACCCTCCGTTACCTAGCCTCTTGTGACCATTCTTTACAAGCAAACAAGTGTTGGCAGGCTCTTTAGTATCAGAGCTCAAACCCACCACATCCTCTTCATGTGCACGTACACATGTATTTGCCAGCAGAGGTCACTGGCTAGCGATGAGGAGCAGGAACCCTGGCTGATATACCTTCCCTAGCCCAGGCGTACGAATGCCAATTGTAGCATCTACTGCTGCTGCCCTGGCTGAGATCAGCTAACTCAGCACAGACCACAGATTGGGCCCGCACCCACCTGGTCTGTACGGCTTTAGTACTACACTAGGCCATAGGGGGACCCATTAGGGACAGTTTAGAGGAGCTGATTAAAGAGTTTATGTGCTTAGCAAAATGATTTGTTTTTGGCTAGAGTGGAAAATGCCATTTGTTTATACTGGAAAATACAGAAACATTTTTAACAACTCCTTAATCAACTTCACTTTTAACAATTTAACTTCTGGGGATCACAGTTGAAACTGTTAAGGTCAAAATTGTTTACAAATAACTTACATGGTCCATTGTATTGTTGTAAAAAAATAAGCATTTCTAGGGTCATCTAACAACGCTCCACTACAGTAACCATGCCGTGAGGGGACAGAGTTGAGTCAATACAATTCCCATCTTGATTTATGCATTGCTTGGTTTCGTCTCTTCTACTTTTATTCTGTGGAGGGTGAAACAGATGGGAATGTAAGATGGAATAAACTTTTTTTTAATAAAAGTATTGAAGTTTAAACTTAAGACAGGAAACAAACACATACACACATACCCTTTAGTCTCTAGTTTTTCTGGAACTCCATCTTTGGCCTTTTCTTCCTCTTTACCATCTGGAAATTTAAAAAGGAACTGATAGCCACTGTTTGATGCAAACTGTCTTTGATAAATGTCTAAGGTGGTTACAATATATATGGTGAATCTTCCCTATCGAGGTGGGCTTTGAAAGGGGGGAGCGAGGGGGCAAGGCCTTGTGACAGAACAGCGAAAGGCACTAAATAACTAAATTTTACTGCCAGTACAGATTCACATGAACTGCTCCCATAGGCTCACTCTCCTCTAGCCTTCCTTGCTAATCTGTCTTATTAATGGCTATACGGAGAAAGTCCAGTTAAAGTGGTAGCCAGCATTGGCATCTTGTGTTTATAATAGTTCAGCACCACCTCACACCCACTCATCATCATGTTTTAAATTAGGTGGATGAATGGAAGTCTCACAGAGACTTGTGATGCTGATTGACAATACAGTATCGTTACCAACACAAATATTACTCAAGAGGGTATGGTGACACAGCTGAGGTATAATTACCAACCTGCTGTTTTCTCTTCTTCCTTCTCCTCCTCCACCTTCGAGCGCTTTGGTTTCTTGTAATTCGCAGCGTTCCGGCGACTTCCTTCCCCTTCGTCTTCAGAGTCTGAGAACTCTTCATCACACGCTATTCTCTTATCTGACGCACGAACTGGGGGGGGGGAAGATGCAAATTGTAAATTGATACTTTTTTAAAAAAAACCTACAGAATCTTCAAGCGATTATAAACAACATCTAGGAGGAAGTGAGTCTGGCAACAATGCAATGTGTTCAGTTACTCATTAAGGATACGGTTCGTAATAAGAATCTAGAGTTACAGGGATTAAAAGGACTCAAGATTGTCAAACTTCCCAATTAACTAGTGTTAAGAGTTATTGAAATGATGGACTAGTAGTCACAAGGTACAATCACTCCACTTTACAGGATATTCTATGAAGCGCTTTTTGAGACATCATTCTGACCTGAAAGGCACTATATCAAATATAAGGTTTATTATTAATAATAATTCAAATATTTTGCTTAAAAGAATTGTTACTACATTCTTCAACCCATTGTAATTGTATTTGGTGGGGCATCAGGAGGACTCTCAAAGCACTTCACAGGATTTAATGCCACATGGAGTGACTATTTTCGTATTGTGAAAACGAAATCTAAATTCAACAATCTTGTGCACAGGAGAAGCCGGAAACGTGAACCTACTGGAAATGCGCTTGTCTGCATCGTCTTCATCCTCATCTCCGCTGTCTTCTGGAACTGCGTCCTCTGGGATTGGCTGCATCTGAACACCAGGCGCGTGGGGCAACATCCGCAAGTTCTCAAACAAACGCTGCCTGTAAATGTACAAATGTACAGCTGGTGATCTACTGTGAACGTACTGAAGGCCGTATTGGACAACAATGCAAATCATCGTATCACACGGTGAAAATTAAGGCTGAGAACCAATGTTTCAAAGATCCAGTGCAGTTTAATCGCTTTATACGTACGAGCGAATGACTCATTTTAAGTTGCCCACTTTTGTTAAGTGTAAAATAATTACGAAGTCAAAGAATGACTAAAGCAGCACATACATTTTGCAGCAGCATTGTTGGAACATTAATGCATTATCACTGCCATAACAACAACTTGCATTTATATAGCGCCTCTCACACAGGGTAGTGTCCCAGAGCACTTGACAACACCAGAATCAACATCTAAACACTTTTACAAGACATTACTTATGTACATTTCAAGAAAACGTGAATGAGTTAGACAGTGAAATCTGCCTGGCAGTGGGTCACTAAATAAGCGATAGGCAAAGTGCGATAGGCTTATAGTACACGACTCCACAAATAGGATCAGCTTCTCGATAGCCAGTCACCTGCAGAGTTGACATTGGACAAATTCTTGAGCAGCCAATCTCAGTTGGAATATAATAACAAAATAAGGGATTTTAGTTGTGGGCTACTTCACGACCTTCTGCAAGCACACTGATAACAAGCTCAAACTTATCTTTCATATCCAGCAGCCGGAAATGAGTGGTGGCCCTGAAACATGATGTTAAAATTGGGTGATAAAGATCCTACAATGATCTTTCATTTTACAGATACCAACACGATGGTTGTATTTATGTTGATTAGGCATGACTGGGATGGCAAACTCCTAATTTCCATTACCCTTGATTAACCAACATTTTATTTTGCCATCTGAAATACTGATTTCATTCACTTTAGATCAATGTGCAACAGTTTAAACCAAAGAGTAGTTTTGCAAACTCCACCATCATATCACTAGTTAAAAATAGTTACAACTCTGTAGTTATAACTTATTTGATCTGAGATGATCAGCATTGACCAGATTGGATTTTGGTGGTGGGGGTGGGAAAACTAACGAATGTATATCCTAGTAACCAATACCATGTTACTAACGTCAGTGAAGGAAAGGACATACTTAATCTTTTCCAGGTACTCAATCGTGTTCTGGTTTGTCATATTAGAAGGACTGATGTGCAGCTTAAAATCTGGTCCAAAGTATTCAAAGTAATCATTGTATGGCAGCTCTGAAATACAAACCATGCATTGACATCTTCTCAACATACAATAACAACATCCAATGTAAATTTTTCCAATGAAAATCTTTAGATATAAAACCTTATCAAGGTGGGCTGAAACCACTACTTGCATTTCTAAGGAGAATAGCTATATTTTTGAATTCTCTGAATCCACGCAATCGGTTTAGCTGGTGCAAGGCAGTCAGTTTAGCCGAGTGCAGTCACAAGACACATTACACTTGTTATATTACAGAAAACTGACTAATGGTAAACAGTCATCCATTGCCAAATTGGTAGGCTACACACAGGATGTCTCCAGGGAATTTTAAGTTTTAAATCTTTCTCTTCGCTGGTCTCACCTGGTAAAGATTCCTCCCATCCCCCTTCTACTTCAACACTTGAATTAAGAGTGAATTCCTCATAACCTGAAGCAGCCTAGGTGTAAATACCAGCTCGGGCTGGTAGTAAAACACAGATCGCTGCCACATGCTATCTTCCTCAACAAAAAACTATTAATGGAAAATGATCTCACCATTTGGGATCTCAGCGCCCAAAGCTACAGATGTCTCAAATGTCCAGCATCGAGCCACATTGCGGATTGTGTAGCCTCCACCTCCCAGCATTAGCAGAGGTAAGTTAAAGCTCTTCACAAATTCAACACACTTGGCATGTCCTGTTTAGAAAAACAAATCACATCAGGGCTCTCTAGCAGCATCTCTCAATGGCCCCCAAATCACAGATCAGAGGGTCTTGAGGTGGGTCTTGAAGATGGTGAGATGGAGGGACTGCGGGATGGAGTTCCAGAGGGTGGGCACAGAGTGGCGGAAGGCCCACCCACCGATAGTGGGGCGAGAGAGGCAGGGGACGTGAAGCAGGCCAATCCCACTGAGCAGAGGGAGGAAACAGGGTGGTAGGGGTTTAGGAGGTCGGAGAGGTAGGGGGGAGCAAGACTGTTAACTGTAAATGTCGCAATATACAAGGATAACATGCTTTCTTTCCACTGCATAGTTTATGCACATCAGGACTGGAACACCATACCTTTAATGGTAAGATTAAAACAGCCCAGCCGGTCTCCAGATAGAGAATCAGCACCACATTGGAGAGCGATTGCACTGGGCTGGTACATCTCCATTACTTTAACCATGACCTGTCCAGGGGAAAACAAAGTGATTTCATATTACTTGTGCTCATCACGGCACATTTCCAATCAAAATCAAATGTACAGACTTGTCAGGTGGAAAAGGGGAGAAAAGGAGAAATTCTGAATATTTCAAAGACAGTGTTAATTTTTTTGTACACCAGAGACTCAGTACGTCTCACAGAATATCAGGTTATAAAAAGGAAGGGGATACTTACAGGTTTGAATATGGATTCATAGGATTCATCATCAATTCCATCTCTCAGAGGGAAGTTTACAGCATAGTACTTGCCTTTACCGGCACCTATATCCTGTATACCAGTGAAAAACCTCAAATAAGATTCACACAAATGATGCTCGTAACTAATATGCATTTCCTCACAATGTGCATAAAATCATTATGAAAACAGGTTTCAAAAGGCACGTGTGCAACCTGCATAGTGACTGCTGCCTACACAATACACTACCTGCCAATAACTGGATATGTATAGCGTTCAATCATGTTAAAACAAATAATCTACTTTTCAAAGCATTTATAGTTTAGCTAAGTTTAACCAATTCAGTATTATTCAGAATAGCCGAAAGCCATAAACACTTTCCAGTATAAATTGAGTGAGACCTAATAGAATAACTTTACTCAAACGTGAAACATAAGTTATTATACCCCTTCGATCTCTACAGTCTAAAAGAAAGTTTTGCTGTGAATAAGTAGCGAACAATAAAACTTTCTGTTGTGCAGTTTTGGAGCATATAGGCTCTTAAGAACTGGTTGAACAATCAGCTATTCAACTGTATCTCTATGTTTCTAATTTACTGCTTTTTTTTAAAGTTGCAGTAAATCAGTTTTATCTGCCAATAGAAAAAAGAAACCTTGGAGTTTGCAAACATTCACATGTTGCCCCTCATTAGGAAGCATAGCCACAAAGCCACCCGTCATGACAACACTTCAATAACCGCAAAGCAGAATAGTCTGTATGTACAATGTTACAAATAGTAGGTTTGATTCTCACCCGCAGATCTCCTGTGCCAGGGAAATATTCACCGTACTTATGGAACGAAACTGTCATCACTCGATCTGTGGTGTAAAAGGCCTCTTCAACCCCATCGCCGTGATGGATATCAATATCAATATACAACACTCGTTGGTGATACCTAAAAACGTTAGGAATTCACACTTGATAAGCCAAGCTGTGGCACAATAAGAACTCTAAAAATTAGATAGGCTTTTTCCCCCCCAATATAGAAAGGCTCGACTTTCCCCCTACAATCACATTTAACTTAACGTAACTGCTAAGTTATCAACTCATCCATAATATGTAGGGATTAGTGGGTCAGACGTGATCGGACGGCCAATGTCAGACAGGTTTCCTTGTCCTGCAGCAGCTTTAAGTGCACAAATACACAAAGTGAAATCTTGAATCTCCAAGATATCGTGATGACGTAAGACATTACATCACATGCAAATATTATACAACAATGGCCAAGGCATCCAAGGGCTTATGTAGAATAAAACAGGGCAGGTAAATGGGAACAACAGCATTGCTCAAGGGAGCCTACAAACTCGATGGGCCGAATGGTCCTCTTCTGGGCCGTATATCTCTATGGTTCTATTTGCCACAGGAGGGCATGAAAACCAAATGCTTCTTTATGCCAGTTTGAAGCACGAAATACTGGGGTCTCAATAACTTACTGCAGTCTTAGTATCAGATGTATTTTATAGGGTATTAATACTTACTTAAGTAGCTCGAGAATAGCTAAGACAATGTCATTCACATAACAAAAACCAGATGCCTCTGATTTCTTTGCATGATGAAGCCCACCAGTCCAGTTGATGACAATATCAGTTTGCTGTTTGTTCAACTTCACAGCTCCAGCTGTAGAAACATAGCAAAGAAAAATGACTCAAAACTTAAGATTTTATGATTAGAGATACCATTTGTCCCAGGTTGGCAGAAGGGAAAGACTAAGAAAATAAAGATACCACATAAAGCCAGGAATTTTATAACAAAAGAAAAAAACAGACATCCAACCAATCTGTTCGGTTTTTCCCTTCTTTACAACATAATCACACTGTATTTAAGGACAAAAACTGAAGGAATGCACCAAAATATTCTTACATGGGATTATATTTAAAATATACCTGCAACACAGCGGATTAAATTCCTTATTACATTTTGCTTTGCAATACTCTGCAGCGTTTAGCCAAACCACACATGTATTCAAAAAAAATTGGAAAAACAATCTTACTTACCAACTGAGCCTCCAGTTGACAACTGGCAAAATTCAAACAGCCCATCGAATACAGGGCAGTCCTCACCTACATTAACTGCAAAGCAGAGAGCCTGGGTTTTAAGATGCTCGGTGACGAACAGCCACGACAGAGCACGATTCATAATCAAAACGAAATAAATCAAAACAGCCATAAATTTCCAAGCAGTGATTCAAAGGGAACTACCTCTAGCCTGGCCTCAAGATCCTCTGATAAGCTAGTTGGTAAATAACTGATAGCTGCCGTGGTAAATAGTTATACTAAGTTAACACCTTAAGTAGCGTTAATAACTGGGTTAAGAATGGGGGTACAAGTATAGATTCTTATTCCTCATCGGGATCAGCGCTGCCCTCCACCCACCCCACGCCTTACTGGCAAGTGTGCTGCTGATGAACCTCTTTAGGAACATAGGAATCGGAGTAGGCCATTCAGTCCGTCGAGCCTGTTCCGCCATTTAATTAGATCATGGTTGATCTATATCTTTACTAGAAATTCAAATCCAATTTCCTGCTTTCTCCCCGTATCCCTTAAATACCCCGACCTACCGAACATCTGTCAATCTCTTTCTTGAAGGTGTGGATGGATCCAGCATCCACGACCTTTTGAGAGAGAGAGAGTTCCAGATTTCTACCACCCTTTGAGTGAAAAAATACTTCCTAATTTCACTCTTAAATGGTCTGGTTCTAATTTTAATGTGCCCCTTGTTTTGCATTCCCCAACATAGGAAATAACTTTTGTGCATCTACTCTATCAATTCCCTTTATCATCCTAAAAACCACCCCTCAATCTTCTAAACTCGAGGGAATGCAATCCCAAGTTTACGCAGCCTTTCCTCGTAACTTAACCCTTTTTGGCCTGGTAACATTCTGTGCTGCACCCCCTCCTTGCAAAGATCCCAAAGACTCACATCTTTGCATCTGCTTGCTGTATTCAGACATGTTGTCTGGACGGATGGACCGCAGGAACTTGATGTAATCGTCACTGTGGTACTTTGTCATTTCTTCAGCTGAAGCTTTGTGGGGACGCTTTGGAAGAATAAGAGACAAATCTACGATTCAGTTAAACTTTATGCTTTCTGGGCAGGACAAGAATTGTCATTGTGGGAAATATGAAAGATGAAAATTGTCATACGCTAAAGCTGTGTAGATTTTAATCTTGAACGAGTAAAAGGCTGGAATCGAACAAAAGAAAAATTAGCCTCAACCTCAGAAAGTACTTACATAAATTTCCATTTTTCTGTACAAGCCATAGTTCAGCAGCAGATTATGGGTCATCCGAATCCTGTGCGGTTTCATTGGGTGGCCCTGTCCATAGTAGTAATTGCCAACATCACCTGCAATAATATCAGGCTTTAAGTAAGATCAAGACATGTCTTCATGCTGCAGTGACTGACCAAACTGTTTTACTCACATACATGTACATGAAGGATAACACCCCCCAAAAATGTTTGGATATACCTGAAGTGAAGTTATGAATTGGAAGCGCTTCAAAGAATTAGTACCAAATGCAAGAATGAAGTTAAATCCTTACAAATCCAGTCAAGACATACAAGAATTAGATCTCTGATGCAACAACTTTTTTTTTATATGAACATACAAGCCTTGACAGGGTAAGGGAGTGGGATATTTACTGGTTGGCAAACCTTTTACCAGCAAAGGGAGGGTGGGAATCACTTCATGAGAACAATCAGGAGTTGAAATCCCTGTCCCGTTGTATGTACTATCCCAGGCTCAAGGATATAATCCCAACTTTAATGTCATCACAACAACAACTAAGAACACTGAGATCGGGCAAGAGGTTTCCTCGTCTGCAGCAGAACCCAACTCCAACCAATAACATTTATTTAAAATGGAAAACATATCCTGTTGCCATTCATTCACTCAAAAGCTACATTTAGAAAAATACAATCACTTAAGTTAATTTCCACAGACACACGCACAGCGCCGCACACAGCGACGCGCACGCAAAGCGACGGACTCGCACACAGCGACGTGCACGCACAGCGACGTGCACGCGCACACAGCGACGTGCACGCCCAGCGACGCACTCGCACACAGCGACGCACGCGCACACAGCGACGTGCATGCTCACAGCGACATGCACGCTCACAGCGACGTGCACGCTCACAGCGACGTGCACGCTCACAGCGACGTGCACGCTCACAGCGACGCGCGAGCACACAGCGACGCGCGAGCACAGCGACGCACACAGCGACGCGCACGCACAGCGACGCACACAGCGACGCGCACGCACAGCAACACACACACACAGCGAACACACACACAGCAAACACACACACAGCGAACACATACACAGCGAACACACACACACAGCGAACACACACACACAGCAACACACACACACAGCGAACACACACACAGCGAACACACACACACACAGCGAACACACACACACAGCGAACACACACACACAGCGACACACACACACACAGCGACACACACACACACAGCGACACACACACACAGCGACACACACACACAGCGACACACACACACACAGCGACACACACACACAGCGACACACACACACACACACAGCAACACACACACACAGCAACACACACACACAGCGAACACACACACACAGCGACACACACACACAGCGACACACACACACACAGCGACACACACACACACAGCGACACACACACACACAGCGACACACACACACAGCGACACACACACACACAGCGAGACACACACACAGCGAACACACACACACAGCAACACACACACACAGCGAACACACACACACAGCGACACACACACACACAGCGACACACACACACAGCGACACACACACAATAATAATAATATTTGCATTTGATGTACAGATACACAACCCCACAAAATAGCTAAAACTGGGGAGGGGCCAATACAGTGTTTATACAGAGAGGGGGAGAGAGGCCCGGGGGGGGGGGGGGGGGGGGGGGAGAGAGAGGCCCCGGGGGGGGGGGGGGGAGGGGCTGTCGCCGGGTCAGGAGGAGATGCAGCCATGAGGGGAGTCACCACCTTCACGTCCACAGGCCCCGGGGGGGGGTGGGGGGAGCGGGGCCCCGATAGGGCAGCCCCCACTGTCTGCCCCCACCCACCCCCCTCCCCTCTCCCCCCACATCTCCGCTCCTTCTTACCATCATAATAATAACAAACTTTCTTCCTCGTCCCGCCCTGAGTGAGCGCCATTTTGCGCGTTGGGGCCTCGGCGGCGGCGACAGTGAGAGAGAGAGAGACCGGCGCCCCCTCCCGCAGACTCGCAACCTAACGTGCTGTCGCCCTCCTGACGTCAGGGCCCCGCCACAGCCAATGGGCGCCCCGGCCTGCGGGCCAGGGCATTGTGACGTGCGCGCCCCCCCGGCGGCCGCCGCCAATGGGAGCCGCGCGGTGGGCGGGCGGGAAACGCCGACTGGCTGACGGTCCAACCAAGTTAGGGTGAGAGCGGAGCCTGGAGGGCTGGGATTGGACCCAAAAGGGGGGGCCTGACCCCCGGGGGGTGGGTAGTGATTCCTCCCCCCCACAGCCCCCCCACAGCCCCCCACCCCACCACAGCCCCACCACAGCCCCCCACCCCCCCACAGCCCCCCAACAGCCCCCCAACCCACAGCCCCCCACCCCACCACAGCCCCCAACCCCCCCCACCCACCCACAGCCCCCCACCCCACCACAGCCCCCCAACAGCCCCAACCCCACAGCCCCCACCCCCCCACAGCTCCCCCAACAGTCCCCCAACAGCCCCAACCCCCCCACCCCCCCCCACCCCCCCACAGCCCCCCACAGCCCCAACCCCCACAGCCCCCCACCCCCCAACAGCCCCAACCCCCCCACCCACCCACAGCCCCCCAACAGCCCCAACCCCCACAGCCCCCCACCCCCCAACAGCCCCAACCCCCCACAGCCCCCAACAGCCCCCCACCCCCCAACAGCCCCACCCCCCCACAGCTCCCCCAACAGTCCCCCAACAGCCCCAACCCCCCCACCCCCCCCCCACCCCCCACAGCCCCCACCCGCCCCAAATTTTATTTATATTTTTCCCATCACCCACAAACACACAGTCACTACACTGTACGGTGTGTCCCGGGAAGCGCTTCGAGACGACGCAATGAGACTCTGTGTCAAACACCCGTATTATTATTAATGTCCCCCCCGTCTGACCCCCTCCCTCCCTATCTGCAGATCGCACCTGAAGTCCTTCCTATGGATCCCCCCCCCCCCCCCCCCCCCCCCCCCCCGGCTCGGTTGCTCTCCCCTCTCCCCCCCCCCCCCCGGTTCGGTTGCTCTCCCCTCTCCCCCCCCCCCCCGGCTCGGTTGCTCTCCCCCCCCCCCCCCCCCCCCGGCTCGGTTGCTCTCCCCCCCCCCCCGGCTCGGTTGCTCTCCCCTCTCCCCCCCCCCCCTCCGAGACCCTTTTTTGAGGTGATTCTGCAGCTGTTTTGTTCAGTTGTGAAGGTGTCGGACGCAGTCGTGTCGCTGCTCAATCTTTACTCCCAACAGTGAACGCATTAATCCATTTGCTGCCACTTCCTCTTTCCACTCACTCCTTCGCCTCGAGCACTCTGGTCTCCATACAGTTGAAAATACATGTTATTTTCGTCCAATGTTTCTCTTTTATTTGCTTACAAGAAAGCGGAGCTGCAGGTGCAATGGTGTCAGATAATCCCAAACACCGTAAAATGGCCGACGTTTTGAACAATCTGTTTGAACATCCATTGCCATTTCCTCCATTTTACGATCTATTTTGGAACATATGTTGGGGGCCGATAACAGGAAGCGCTGAATGAGAATAATGTAGCAGAACAGTCTGATATTATTTTGGTAATTCAACAGCAATACAAAGTGTAATGCAATTATCTTCTTTTCCTGTTCTTTACAGACGTGTTAAAGAACTTTGGGCTTTTGGTAAATTACTCACTGAAAGTTTCTTATGGTCCAATGAGAGTTGCGTCGAAAAAAAGATTAGCAAAGAGATCTTGATAATATATAATATGTATATAAGCCCTGGTTGGAGAATATAAAATTGGAGGTCATAGTCTCAGGATTAAAGGTCTGCCTTTTAGAACTGCAGTGAGGAAACATTTCTTCAATCAGAGGCCAGTGAATTTATGGAATTCTCTATCCCAAAGGCTGTGGATGCTTAGTCAGTCCTTGAACATATTCAAGACTGAGATCCATAGATGTTTAAAAACTAAAAGGATTAAGGGATATGGGGATAGGGTGGGTAAATGGAATTAGGTTCGAAGATCAGCCATGATCTGATTAAATGGCGGAGTGGCTCGAGGGGCCGAATGGCTAACTGCTGCTCCTATTTCTTATGTTCTTATAAAGTGCCATCTCGTGGGAACATCTCAAAGCACCACAGAGTTCTTTTCCATGAAGTGTGGTGACTTGTATGTGTTGGCAAACACAGCAGCCAAATTACAAACAGCCATGAGGTGAGCGATCAATTATTCTGGAAGATTGTTGGCCAGGACAGTGGGAGAAACTACCTTCTCTTTTCACATTATTTTCTGTTTTTTTTAAAAGCTTCTTGTAGTTCTGTTGTATTCATTTTGTACAGTGGTTCTCCTTGTAACCATTTCAGTTAAAAAAAAGTGACGAGGACAGCATTATAAGTGTAAATCCCACCTTGGGGGTAGGACCCATAAACTTTTGACTCAGCGACAAGAGTGCTAGGTACTGAGCCAAACTGATACTCGATGACCAATAACTAAACATAAAATAAACTCAAACTTTATTTTCTTTATTTTAAGCAAAGAAACTCAAAAACAACATGAATCAATGGGGAGGTATTAAATCGATTGCAAGCCTCACTAAGTCTAAGCATCTCTATTTCTGTACATTTCTATTGTGTAAAAGTCATGAGTTAACATTTTTGTAATGATAGGATTTGACTTGCACTCAGGAAGGTTAGACATTTGTTAAAATAACACGGAAATATACAAGAGATAACAGACTAATACAGTTATCATTCAGATCAATGAAGTTCACCACACCCAACTCATAAGCTCCTAGCTTATGTGAAATAGAATAAAATATCTCAAAATTATTAATAACTGCTCCACTATATTTTCTAAATTCATAAAGAGGCCAAAAATGCCATAAAACTAAGTATAGTTTGCTGATCCTGAGTCTTTCATTGGCATTTTCCATTCCTTCATGCTGACAACAACAACTTGCATTTAGATTTATATTCACCACAAATTCAATACACAGTAACTCCAATTTACAATATATTTTTTGAAGCGCTTTGAGACATCCCAATGCCATGATAAGGCACTGTATCAAATGCAAGGATTATTATTATTTATATAGTACCCTTCACACAGGATAACGTCTCACAGCACTATATAGTGGCGATGTTGGACACCAAGCAAGGGAAAAGGGGAGGTGACCACAGGCACCGTTGAGAGGTAGGTCGGAAAGTGGGAGATTTAAAGGTCGACAAAGAAGGCGCAAAGTGGAAGACAAATATCATTCTAATCAACAAAGACACCAAAATGTCAAACTAATGGGAATACGGATGTAAATGTCATGAATATACACACAAGACAGGATAATCACACCTACACAAAAGCATGCCATTATCTGTATACTTCTAAAATGCTTGCACTGTGGTCTACTCAAACTACAGGACATGTTTCATGTGCTTATGTTATTCTTGTGTGTCTGGTAAAATTCAGCATGGTGTCTTATCGTGAGAACCATTGTACAAAATGAATGCAATAGATTTAAAGAAGCTTTTAAAAAAACATTCTGAAACCTTCAGAAACGGTGGGTCACATGGAAGCCTCAGAATAATGTGACCCATTACTTTTAAAGCTACCAGAATACCTTCCCAGTTAAACAAGTGTCTATCGTTAGTAATCTAATGGCAACTTTAAGTTTACAGTTCCTAATGTTGTACAAAAATAAGGCTGTCACCAAGCTGAGAAGCAACAACAAATTATATTTGTATCGCGCCTTTCATGTCAGGAGGACGTCCCAAGACCTGTTCCAATGGGTAATGTATTGTTGATATCATGGCTGGCTTTGGCAAGTTCAATGACCAACTCGGCATTTGAAGTGGACCGGTTTCTGCCCCTCCCGCCACCCACCCCACCCACCCCCCACCCACCCCACCCACCCCCCTCCCCCCCCACCCCCCTCAACCGTGTTCAAAGAATCATTTCCAAGGTTCATTTCCCCAATCAGTTGTTTGAATGCTGCCCTCATTGGGGCTGCTGCTGGTATTGGGATTCCGTGGCTGTGAAGAAATCCTCGAGGACACTTTGCAGGTAATCGAAGGTGGGACGGTCTTCAGGCTTCTCCATCCAGCAGCGACCCATCACGCTGTACAGTTCAAATGGAGTGTTTTCAGGAGCTGGCATTCGATAGCCCTGTTCCAAACTCTGAATCACTTCAGGGTTAGACATTCCTGCAAAGAGAGAACGAAAAGGAGAATTTAATACAATTTTGCGCAAGAGAAAGAGAGAGAGAGTGTGTGTGTTTCCCACGAGGGGGAGGCTCAGTTTCAGTTTAAAAGGTCTATTTTCACCCACAAAATTTTATATAAATAAGAATATTCCTTATATTTGATATAGCGCCTTATCACGTCTATCAGACGTCTCAAAGCGCTTCACAGAATATTCTGTAAAGTGAATTGACTGTAAACCTTGTGGGTGAAAATACATATACTATATACTGGAGCAGCCTTCACACAGGATACGTCTCCAAGAGCTGCACATCACAACACAACCCAGCATTATAGTCACACACTATACCTGGATATGGTATTCGTCCAAACGTTACAATTTCCGTAAGTAGGATCCCGAATGACCAGACGTCTGACTTAATGGTAAATGTGCCGTAGTTGATAGCTTCTGGTGCTGTCCACTTGATGGGGAATTTAGCTCCTAAATAAAAAGTGGGTGAAACACAGGTGTTCACAATTGCTGCAGAGAGGAGTCAAATTGACCAACTGATGCAGGCATAAGCAAATGACCGTAACTTTTTAATTTTGCAGGTGTGGTTTTGCACATGTGATTTATAGAGTACTAATTTACTATTGTTACAACACTTGAATTTAAGGACCTCTGTGCTGCACTGTGTTGGAGAATCAGCCTAAAATATGAACTCAAAGTCTCAAAGGAGGCTGAATGGGAGGGAGTCATATCAAAGTCTTGCCGCGGTGTTTGAACCCACAACCTTCTAACTCAGAGGCAACTGAGCCATTGCTGACATCTTTGATTCATATAATTCCACTGACAATAAATCGCCCGGACACAAGCAACCTATCACCAGTGAATAAATGTATAAGAATCCTGGCAATCACATCCAGTTTGGTTTGTAATAAAGCTGTATTTTCCAGCTGTAGCAACGTGTAGAATTCCCCACAAGGTGGCATTCTGAATCCAGTGTTTCCCCAAAATTTGTATCAACAACAACAACAACAGCATCATGCTCAATGCCTGAACCGTTATCTAGCCTTTGCCATTTTGGGGCATTTTGTCTTAAAATTGACGATTACACAGAATTGTGGAGAATTGTGAAGATTCTGACATTTGGCCTGTGGCTTTTCGACTATGGAATCAGCTCTTTAACCTTCTCCAGATGCTTTAAACAGGGGACACATACCCTGCGCTAGGTGGCAGTATACACCTCAACCTAACCAACTTAAGTATAAAACAGTCCCATTTCATTTGTGCTTTCATCGTTTCACAATTGAGTCCCTTCCTTTTCTACTGTGGCTTCAGAACAAACTGCCTGGAGAAGATATAGGCAGTGAGCAGGCGAGTGGGATTACATTAGGTGGTTCATGTGAGTTAAAACACAGCATAGACTTGATGGACTGAATAGCCTCTTCCTCTGCTGGAACAGTCTTTGACTCTATGATGGTCTTTCCCAATTTGGCCAATTTCTGAAGCCAATGATATAGCCAATTGAGGTCTACCGTATCTCAATTCGCCCCAGTAAATATAGAAATGAAACAGCGTTGGTCTTACCCTCTCTTGCGGTGTATTCATTGTCTTCAATGAGCCGGGCAAGGCCAAAGTCAGCAATCTTACAGTTGACAGTATCTGACACCAGGATATTGGCTGCTCGGAGGTCTCGGTGAATATAGTTTTTCCTTTCAATAAAAGCCATTCCCTCTGCAATCTTTGAAAGACAATCATCGTTCAGATCAGTAAGTCATTGCTATTGTGGCACATTATTAAAAATAATAATAATCCTTGCATTTGATATAGCGCCTTGTCATGTCGTTGAGACGTCTCAAAGTGCTATAGTGCAGAACCTCTTCTCTTTACCATGAGGTTATGTGATTCCTGAAGAGCAATGTTTCTCTTTGACAAACTGCAAATCCAGTCGTCTTCAGGTGAGCTCAAGCTCCCAGCTTCTCTGCTCAGGTTGTACAGCATTTGGAGATTCTTGACTCACTCCTCCGTGCAGTGTTCTACAGACTTGCCTGGACTGCACGACCCTGCACAATCTTATTCTTGCAAACGAGTCTCTTTTCATTTGAACAGGTGTCAACGCCGTATTAAGCTTGTATGAAATGCAGCTCGTTAGCTGAACGTTAGAATCCTCACCCTGTACACTGTCTGCTTTTAACTGGTAAATATTCCATTTACAATTAGACAATCGCAATAGCCCCAAAGCATTTTGCAGTTATTTCTGTGCCACCATCTGCCACGTTTGTCTTTAAAATACAGTCATTGCCATTCACAGTAAATCCTCTGAAGTGCTTTGAGACATCTCGTGATAACATGCCGTACCAAATAATAATAATAATAATAATCCTTGCATTTGATATAGCGCTTTTCACGTTGGGAGGACGTCCCAAAGCGCTTCACAGAACACACTGTAAAGTGAATTGACTGTATATTTGTGGGCGAACGCGGCAGCCAATTGCGCACAGCAATGTCCCACAAACAGTCGTAGATTGAAAATGACCAATTTATTATTGTTTTTGGTTTTGGAGGGATTATTATTAGGCTCTGTGTGGAGTAAGGAAACTTGCCCAAGGTTTCGCCCTCTGCCTGGAATTGAACTCAGGTCTCTCACTTGCAAAGCGAGTGCTCTAACCACTGAGCTACAGGACTCCACGATGCAAACGAGTCTCTTTTCATTTGAACAGGTGTCAACGCCGTCTTAAGCTTGTATGGAATGCAGCTTTATGTATCTGCAGGAACCCTCACAGACCCACTCTCTTACACCCTGCTTGTGAGGAACTGAGGATTAGTATTAGTACTGGGATTAAGCACCAGAGGATTTCATGCGACTGCCAGGATGGAGGAAAGCAAACTGGATGGACCTTGGTCTTCTGTCAACTTATAAGCAATTCTTATGTAGGTCCTTTCCCTTTAAAAGCCCTCAGTGTGTTTGATTGGAACGAGCCCTGGGCAGCCTGTCATTTGGATGAATGTTTTCTTAATTAATTCACTAAATGCTGATCAGCCCCATCAAACGGGCGCTATTGAGGTGTCACCAGTAGGAATATTTCTTTCTCTCAGCTGCACTGTGCCCTTGCCCTCCTTCTCGCTGCTGTGTCAGCACATCACCACCTCAGTGAGTGAGTACAGTGGCAATGAACAGTGGCAATGAGTTCACAATGAACAAAGAAAGCAATGACTCTGAACAGCACCTCGTGTTCAGCCTGGTGCCCTCTGGCTCTGCACTCAATTTGCGAACATGTTCTCTGGCTCATTCTCTGTTGTTCTCAGTTTTTACGTTGCAGCTGAAGCTCTTGACATCTTGAACACAATATTTTTCTTTCCTCGTCGTACTGTTGTTCTTTTTGATACTCAATTGTGGTGAAGCCGTGAAGTTTACCCGCCTAGATTCACGGCACAAACACACAACGGGATGTGGTTGAGGTTCCCATTGGTATCCAACATATTGTTGTTTCTTTTTTCTAAAATTGATAAAATGTCTTTTGCCTATAAAATATACAGTCACTACACCTTACAGTAAATCCTCTAAAACACTTTGAGATGTCCTTCTGACATGAAACGTGTTGTATCAAATGTAAGGATTATTATTAATCAGTCATGATCTAAAAGAGGGGAAGGAGGGGGCAAGGCGGAGGGATTGGGGGAGAGAGTTCCAAAATGGAACAAACAACATGTGTGTACAAACCCAGACAGTTATGTCACTTACCTGTGCTGCCATGTCAATGAGCTTATATATAGTGAGTTTGGCTCCTGCGGATGTCTTGAGAAAATCAACTAAGCTCCCTAGAAGAGAAATAAAACAGGAACAGGAAATAAATATCACAAATGCAAGCTGAGGAGTTAAAATGATATATTAAATGGCAGCTAAAATTGCAGTGAACTGAAACTATTAGTATTATTCTCCGTGTGATTTAGTGTGATAGGGGCTTTGGGAGGATGGATCCCACTGCCATCAATCACACTTTCTAATGAAGCTATTGTCTTGTGAGGGTGGTCAGGGCATTGACCGGATACATAAGAAGCCAACCTTCAATCAAATGCTGCAAAATATTCAAGTAGAGGTTCCAAGCCTCTAACAGGAAGTTGCCTGCGATGGGAAATGGAATGCTAAACTCAGGAAATACCAAAACCTACCACTGTTATCGTAATCCCCAAAAAGATAAAACATCTGATTCATTTCAGGGAAATACACAGAGGGACATTGCTGAGCCCATTGCACACTTATCACTCTGGTTCAGTCGCTAGCGATCACGCCTCTGAGTCACAGAGAGTTGTGTTGTCAAGCTCTGCATCAGGACTTTGAGCTCCAGGTCTTGGCTGACATTCCAGTGGAGTGCTGGAGTTGCACTGCATTGTCGGAGGTGCATCCAGTATCCTGGCCTCAACCAACCTTCCCAGCAATCTGTTCCAGTCATTACTTACCCTCTGAGTAAAGAAATACTTCCTGGAGGCTGCCCTGAATTCTCTTTACAATTCTATAACGACATCCCCTTGTTTTACTGTCCTGCTGCCCCCTAATGTAATGTTCCTTGTTTACTTTCTCAATCGCATTTAAAACATGTTACATCACAAACATCCCCCCTTGAGACGTCTGCTCGAGACTGAAGAGCTGGAGCTTGTCTACTCGTTGCTCACAGCTCGTTGCTCTAACACTGGGGATCATCCTCATTGCTCTCCCTGCCTGTGATCCTTCATTGATTGTTAACAACATGCGTCTGCGTCATTGTCATACGTTTAGAGCTTGGTTTGAAATATTCCCCAAGAATTATCAAAACTGTCCATTGGGGACTTTCTTTGATTTCTTTGTGCTGATCAACTGTATGAACAGCTTAACAAGAAAAGCCCTCTTGTATTCTGAACAGCAGACAATCTGAAGGAAATCTGACAGCATTTAAATTTGTTCACAATAGATCATCAGGTCAAAGTTGGCCTGACTCACAAATAAACACAATAGAATCCTATTCAATTTTAAAATAAGACACCGGGTGGGATGATGGACAATTATTTATAAAGTCCATTGTTTAAACATGTGAAGAACTATTTTGTTCCTTCCTGAAGGTTCTGTCAAACCAACTGGTGCTGCTTCAAAATAACTTACTGTTTTATTTTCTATCCTTGGAATCAACACCCAATATTACAAAAGACCCTGCGTTTGGTTCCCCACCCTCCCCGCTCTCCTGTTTGATTTGGCATGCGCCACAATCATTAAAAGTTGAAAGAGGGTCACTTCACATTCAACAGAAATATGAAAAACAAGCAGTGAATGTACACAAAAGACTGGGTGGAACCTTCCTGACTGTAGTTGGCTTTTTATTGCTCTTTTGTGTTGTCAGCTATGTCTTTCCTTTCCCTTGTGCTGAATTGATGGGGATTTATTTGTAATATTCGCAAAATAATCTAAATACGCCTTTGATAAGCACTAAAATTAGCCACATGTTGCTGGTTTACCGGAATCGCAAGGCACTGTGGGGAGACTGCAACCAGGAATTGGCGCCTTAATGATTGAGGGGGTTTGTGGTTTGTCTTGTCCATGGGAAATAGCCCATTGCCCTCAGGTCAACGTTTGCCTTGACTTTTTCCTACAACCACCCAGGCTGCTATGTGATGGTCCATAATGATGATTGGAGGCTCAGGAAGCCAGTTCTTAATCAGAGGCACAGCCAACCACTCCAGAGACTGATTACAGCTTTGGGTCAGAGGCATCACCTGGGATGTGTCCATCAGTCAGTGAGGCTATGGAGCTTGGTGTGAGGTTTCCATGGAGATCAGAGAACGTTAGTTTACAAAAAGAAGGGGGTGGAAACATCAGTTATGTTGGACCCCATTTAGCACATTAGTTGGGGTTCCATAAAATCCCAACCTGCATCATAACAACATGAAAGGTGCTACAATAAATGCCAGTTGTATTGCATTGTGCTAAAGGGTTGAGATGTGGGCGAAGCTGATCGGTGAAGCAAAGTTCTTACCATTTGACATGTATTCGGTGATGATGAAGATCGGTTCCTCCGTCACCACAGCGTACAATCGCACCAGCTTGTCGTGCTGCAGAGTCTTCATCAAATTGGCCTCGGCCAGGAAGGCTTCGGGAGACATGCTGCCGGTCTTCAGACACTTGATGGCCACTTTGGTGTGGTTGTTATAACAGCCTGACAATCAACAATAAAAATTAGTGTGAAGAGACATCACGTTATTTTGCTATCAAAGTCCCCTCCAACCCCCTCACTCCCACCCCCGGCTCGGAAGCCAAGCCAGGATGATTAAACGCCTTAGGACGTCCTCCCCACCTGGGATGCTATATGGCTTTGTGAACTATGGAGTTATTATTTACTGGAACTCATCAGTCACTAAATTCAGCTGATGAATGGCAAGAATGAGCCTTTCAGCAAATAATTAGGAAAAATCATAATACTTTATTACATTTGATACAGTGCCCTTCGTGTTGCGAGGATGTCTCAAAGTCCTTCACAGGATTTACTGTAAAGTGAAGTGACTATGTATGTTGTAGACAAATGCCTATAATAACTAGCCTTTGTGTTCTTTTTGATCCACGTCTGAGCTTAGATACTTAAGAGCAGCCAGATGTGACAATTTTGCTGTTTCAGTTCCTTGGGACTACCTCCTGACGTGAAATGCAATTTGTTGTTGTTGTTTCATCCCTAGATATGTGCAGCTTTTCCAGCTTTACTCGGGGACCTGGGGAGAGGGGTGTGGGGGTTAAAGCAGGATGTACCTGATAAGATCGAACATCCGTTACCATGCGTACGAGTGCATCTGTATCACAGTCGTGTGGTTTCATTTATCTCCGATCATCACACTCACCATAATAACCTAATTTACCAGTGGGTTCAGTTGATAGAACAGAAGGCAGACTATTGTTTTATAAGAGTCTGCATTCAGTAGTGTCTTGGGTTTTGTTCTCAATTCAAAGCTTTCTTGGAATCAAAACTGTGCAAATAAACTTTGATAGCTTTGCAGAGTAACGTAACAACAAGTCCCAACCTACAGCATTCAAGTCCCAATGTAAACAGATCAAAGCTTACAGTGAATGTCTGACTGTCTCACCCAGGGCTAACCTCTTGCGTACCTGCGCAATATATTACTGTCCAGCCCCAAGGCATGGAGTGGAATAGAAGTGAGTTGCCTCCGTACAGAAATATCATTACACAACATGCATAGAAAGTCATCTCTCGGAGTACAACAACAACAACTTGCATTTATACAACGCCCTTCATGCTTTCCCGAGTGTTTGATAACTCACTAACGCTCCATTCATAGCAACAAATAATTAATATAATAATCCTTGCATTTGACATAGTGCCTTTCATGTGAAGGGAGGGCATCTCAAAGGCTTAACAGGACTTTTTTGGCTGCCGCATTTCTGCCTACAAAATATACAGTAAAAATTTACTACATTCTGAGAAGCACTTTGAGACGTTTCGATGATGTGATAAGGCACTACATCAAATGGAAGGATTATTATTGTTTACTGTAAAGTGCCTGACGTCTTTTTCAACCATGCCTTTGGTCACCCTCCTACCCCTACCCTCCCTGATCCCAACTCCCTGCTCAGGTCCAAATCCCTGACTGTCCAACGCCTTGAGATGTCCTCCCGATGTGAAAGGCAAGCGCTGTGTAAATGTCATTTGTTGTTGGTGTGGGGCTTTTCTGCACGGTGTAATTCAAAGCTCCAGAATCTTGTTTTTGTCTGGGGTGCTACTCAAAGTTTCTTTGTGTTCCTGTACAGCTTTGTAATGCTTTCCTGTGTAATATCACAGATCAGTACAACAGCTAAAACGCAGATGCATTTCTATCGTCCTTGTGACTTTTCCTCCCCAGCCCTTGCAATGACAATCAGTTCACAATGTGTTCAGTGTCATGGAATGAAGCCAGCTCGCTTGGATGCCTGGCTGTGCTGATGGGTAATAAGCTGTGTAAGTGGTGACTGGACTCCAGCAAGGATAGAGATAGTGAATTGGATTGAGTTTCATGTTGTCAACTTCTAGGTGTAGTGCTGAGACACAGTGTTTTGAAGCTGTAATGTAACGTTAGAGAGAGCTCAGCAATTGTAGTGAGAGAATCAACACCGGGTACAAAAGGACTCTCTTTTAGAGTCAGAGATGGAACAACAACAACAAGATTCCATTTATAGAGCACCTTTCACATCGGGAGAACGTCCCAAAGCGCTGGACAGTTGGGTCAGGACCCGAGGAGGGGGGAGATGGTCAGGGTGAGGGGAGGGAAGGGAGGAGGCGAGGAGAGCGTAGAGAGTCGAGAGGGGAGCTGAAGGCACGGTCAAAGAGAAAGGTCTTGAGACCGGCCTTGAAGGAGGAAAGGGAGGAAGTGGCGAAGGCACTGGGGGTTGGAGTTCCAGAGCCTAGGGGCTGAGAGGCTGAAGGCCCGGCCACTGATGGTAGGGCGGTTGGGGCGGGGGATGTGGAGCAGACCGGAGCCAGAGGTACGGAGGGTACGGGCAGGTAGATAGGGGGATAATAGGTCGTAGTGGTAGGAGGGAGCGAGGCCGTGAATGGCCTTGTAGGTGAGGATGAGGATCTTGAATTCAATCCTCTGGGGATCCCAGGAAGTGTAAAAGTAGGGGAAAGAGACTTTATAATGTTGAGGCACAAGGTTCTTTGAAGGCAATGAGATTGTGTTGTGCTTTCACTTACCCATCCAGACATCTCCAAACTGCCCTGATCCCAATTTCTGCTCCAGTTTCAGCGACTCCCGAGGGACTTCCCACTCATCCTGCCACCATGGCTTCTGTGGCGCCCGATTCTGACATGGTTTTACCAACAACTGACATAAACCATCCAAGTTAACTGCAACAGAGACACAGACGCTGGGGTGAGCTGACAGCAGGACGCCTGTTGAGAATACCAATTGCAATTTCCCCAGCATTGCTCGAATGAGAAAAAAATTGGTTGAGATTGAAACTGCTTAGACTGATCTTAGCTCTTGGGCTACCTTTAGAGGGAGAGCTTCCCGAGTCTTGACCAGGACTTGGAAGTAAGTGATGGGGAAGCTAAGGCTTAAGAGAGCAATCTAATACATGGTAATATCAAGGGAGCGATCTCTAAAGTAGAGATAGCAATATAATATTACTCCTTACATTTGATATAGCACCTTTCACGTCAGGAGAGTATCTCAAAGTGCTTCCCAACATATCTGCAAAGTGCAGTGACTGTGTATTGTGAAGGCAAATGTCTATGCTGTTACGTTCATAAAGTCTGGTCACATCACATCATCTTACATCAGCTATGGCTTGGAGTTGTTATTGGAAGGAGTTAACATATACCTTAATATTAAATGTCTGATGAAATTTCAATCCCAAAGTATTAACCAATCTTTCCTGTACGGATTTTGACTGATGAGTTATTGGATTTCCAGCAGTTTGGGATTTTATTTAGGCTCTGAGCACACACATATTTACTCTTACTTTCTGAATCTGATATGCTCACAGCACGCTGAATGAGCACTTACCTGTATAATGTTGCACTAACTCATGTATATTGTTGAAGGTTATCCGGGGAGAAATGTAACAGCCTCCTTTATCTAATGAGCGAATTTTGTAGTGTTTCACCACATCTCCTTGTTGCGAGTCAAAGTCCCGCACAGTCAGAGAAAAGGAGCCTGTGTTCAAATCACAACATATATAGTGGGTGAGACATGCTTGAGTGAGTTTATCTCACCTTTGAATATGACAAACAAAGGTTTGAACAACGTTCTGTCACTTTTGAGACTGGGTCTAACCCAACATCAGATTAACAGTGAGTGTCTTGTTAACTACAACAGTCTTCACTGGTCAGAAATAGACTGAATTCAGCAATAGACAGAGAATCGGATCTGACTCTCACTCAAGAGAAGATGGAAGGATGGCCTATGTGTGACATGGAAACACACTCACTCTGGAACAGTAACAGCTACTCTTCCCAAACAGAATAAAAGAATCCAAAGCAGGGCTTCATCTGACCTGCTCAGCACCGAAACTGGTGACAAAACAAATGCCAAAATATTTCATTCCATTATTGCCAATGTTGCTCAAAGCACCAGCCTGAGTCACATAATCTCTGCTCCATACACAACCCACGAGCAAGAACAAAGCTTCTTCAAACGAATGTTTCCTACCTTGAACCGTCTCGCTCTCTCTGATTAAGAAGGAGCCCTTGGTGTTGCCAGGGGCGAGGAGCTGCCTTTCAGCATCTTTCCGGCTCAGATCTTTAAAGAACCACCTAGAAAGACAACGTTATTGATGATTTGATGTGATGAGTTGAATCCATGGAATGGGAGGAACAAAGCCCAGGTTTGACAGACACTGTCTCCGAGAGCTTGACAATGGCAGGTCAGACATCAAGCAAATGTGAAGGAGATGAGGAAAGAGGTAGAATAGCCTATATCCTCTCCCACTCTAGCCTCCACCACTCCACTGGCCCCCATCCTCACTCGGCTCCACTGGCTCCTCAACCCCAGCAGGAGTTCGAGATCATTAAATTCCTCTACAGTCGCACCCCCAACCCTACCTCTGTGACCTCCTGAAACCCCACTGACCCAGACACTCTCTCCCTTTAGCCTTAGCCTGCTTCATGTCCTTTGTGTTAATCACTCTACCAGCCATATTTCTCTAGAACACCAGCCCAAGTCCCTCCAGCTTTCTCACTCTCTTCCACTCAAAACATACCTGTTGATCTCCTCCCCCCACCCCAGTTTCAGGTGCCTATCCAGCAGGCGATGTCCTCCCAACCATGAAAGGTGAAAGGTATAAAAGTAAATTGGATTGGATTGCACACCTCAAAGAGGTAGGTTTTCAGACAGGATTAACCCAAGGTTCGGGTGAGATATATTATTGGGACAGTAGAAAATGAAGTCTGTAATTAATATAATATTTAACATAACGGGTATGACTTGGTGCCACTGTCCCAGTAACATCACCCCAGGCATTTACTGTAAATACACGTGCAAGAAATATTTATAAACAAAAGAAAGAATAGCAGAAAATAGCTCTTACTGTTCAGTTTCGAGTGAGTGTGCTTTGGCCACAAAATTCCATGGAATATATCCTGTTTGTCCTGTCAACAAAGATTGCGCATTCCACCACTCTCCCTGCCTGCCAAACAGAGAGAAGTACATTCAGTTATCACAGTGTGGATTTTTCAATAAGAAAAATGGGGACATAAGATATTACATTATAAACGATTATAAACGTTTCGCCTACAAAATGCATAGTCACTCCACTTTACAATATATTCTGTGAAGTGCTTTGAGACATCTCAATGACGACATGATAAGGTGTGGTACCTAATGTCAGCATTATTATTATATAGTGTAGAGATATACATATAGCTAATGGGGTGAAAATAATCTTTCTGCAACTTTCCAAACAAATTTAAAATGGTTTGTTTTGTCCAAACAAAAATCACTGCTAAATGTCCACTTGGCATGCAGATCTAGGTTAGTATTATATTCTATAAAAAACAATGGAGTGCATTTACCATGTAGAAATAGTGTTGTGTTTTACAGACAGCATGTGAGGAGGATATGATCTTCATACATTGGCTCTGACCACAGCACAGATAGTGATCAGAGGCATTCCTATTCCCTTGTTCAACTTTCTTTTCCTGTAAGGACTTCTTCTACAACACAAACTCCTTTCACTGTATTTGGTGAACTTGTGAACTTCAATATTTCTTATTAATGCAATTGAGTTAAGAAGGGAATGCTTTGTCCCTGTCATCAAATGGACTCTGGATGTGAGACACGAATGTATCATTTGCAAAAACTCCCCACAATATGGAATGCTTTGCCTGAAAGTGTGGTGGAAGCCGATTTGATAACAATTTTTAAGAGAAGTAGATAATTATTTGGAGAGGACAAGTTTGCAGGGCCATGGGGAGAGAGCGGGGGAGTGGGGTTGATTTGGAAGCAGACACAATGGGCCGAATGACCTCTGTGCTGCATAATTCTCTGATTCTATGAACCTGAAACCTTTTTAGAAATGGAAAATGAACTATTAACCTACAGCCCACTGCTCTAATGGATGGGGCGGTCCTAGCTGGAAGCGGGAAGCTTTCCTGACAGTGGTCCCAGTCTGTTTTTAGCTGGTTAGCTTAAGTACAGGTTTAATGGAAGACTAAATTGCAAGTTGTTTATTGATTAAAGTGTTTCTTTAAACCTTGGGCAAAGAGATCAGTAGAATTTTGTGGCCTTGACTTTGGGTCATCAAAATCCACGTCGTCTGTTGATTGGGATTTTGTTCCAGAAAAAACGCTGTGTGAAGCCCAGCTTCCCACGATTACTTCACAATAATAATAATACTTACTGAGTTAGAACCTTCAGCTTGTCTCCTTTGTTGAATTCCAAGTCACCCTCGTGAGCTGGTTGATAGCTGTAAATGGCCACGAATATATCACCTGAAACACAATTTACTTTGAGATACAAACGGTACCAAAGGTCTGAGGTTCTGTTAGGCACTGATGAGGTACACATTCCAAAAGCCCATCAGGCCTACACGGATTGATGTGGATTCGAGCTCACATGCTGTACAGAACTGAGGGAACGTGTGGTTTTTACTGACAGCTTATGGTCACAGGAATTCACAAGAGGTTCAGATTTTTTACACTGACCACTGTCCCCTTTAGTCGAGTTATAAAGTGCTTCAAGGCGTATCCGTTGTCCAACCCCCTCTACTACAACTGGTAAGTGTGTTATTTTAAGGGCAGTATCACAAGCACGCGAGAGGTAACTGGACATTAGGAAAGCTTTTGGTTAAAGACTGCTCACAATCCTGAAGTACATTCAGATTCAGCTCCTCTCTGTGCCACAGACATTGTAAGTGAAGTGCGAAAAGGCTTGTAATCTTAGAGAGGTTCCAAGGTGTGGAGTCGTGTAGCTCAGTGGTTAGAGCACTCGCCTCGCAAGCGAGTGGCCCAAGGTTTGATTCCTGTGCAGGGTGAAACGTTGGGCAAGTTCCCTGACTCCACATGCCTCTGTTTATCTAGCAGTAAGCAGGAACTCGTATGTTGGTCGATTGGAGGATCGTTTTTCCGGGGGTAATAATCCCTTCAAAAATAATAATAATAAGTTGGTCACTCAATCCATGATTGTTGCCATTGCCTTTTGCCTGGTTATCCCAGTAAAGGATTGTGACTGTGATAATCAGGCTGAGCTGTGTCGATGGTGTCTTACCTGGAAAGGGAGACATAGGTGGTGGCGACTGGGGTTCATACGACACCAGAGGGTTCTGGATGTCAGGATAATTCTGCAATAAAAGATTTCAAGTACCAATGACACACTGTTGTGTTTTGAATATTGACGAGGCATTCAATACCAGCTAAACAGAGAGCACCGCTCCTTCCTACAGTATTTATTTCAGCAAATAGTTTAGAGTTTAGGATTTACCGTTCTCTTATGGGAAACAGTATAAGTCACTGAAACCAATTTTAATATTGTTTACGATACCTTCTGAACCACTTGCAAAGAGTTACACACCGTGATATGGCCCATCTCATCTTTTCTGATGTTTGTACTCCTCGTCCCCTTTCCTATATCCCACTATTCCCTTCCCTCAAGTTTGCTTGCCAAGATTATTTTCTTTGTGTAAAAAATTGTGCATTCAAAGGATGAGGTTATATTTCATTTGAATCTTTGATAAAAGATTAGTAGCAGCATTGACAGAGTAACTGACAGGGAATCACATCGTTGGACACATGTTTACACCTGGCCACATCTGGAGTAAGTGTATCAGACTCCATACCTGGAGTGAGCTACACCGGACCAGAATGCAGTGAAGGCTCTCACAGTCCGTACTCTAGGATCCTCGTGTTCAAACCAAAGTGTGTGGAACATTGCATGAAGACTGAGGTGTGTAAAACAGGATGCTGTGGTTTGTAAAATATTTAATGTGTAGCCTTTACAGAGGACAGTCAAGCCTTTTAATAGAAAACCTCAGCTGTTAGCCCCTGAGTTCTAAATATAGTCTAAAAATTAACTTTTGAAGTTCACTACATCAAAATACATTTTTGATTTATATCTCCTTTTTTTTTCCACTTGAGCATCACAACAAACAGTTTTACTTTACAGAGGTTGGGCTCCACATTGATTTGTACTGAATTCGTTATGGCCATTTCAGTGCCACTGCTCAAAGATTTGGAGTCCTATAGTTCAGTGGTTAGAGCACTCGCTTTGCAAGTGAGAGACCTGAGTTCAATTCCAGGCAGGTCAGGGCGAAACCGTGGGCAAGTTTCCTTACTCCACACACCTAATAATAATCCTCCAAAAAAAAACAATAATAAATTGGTCATTTTCAATCCACGATTGTTTGTGGGACATTGCTGTGCGCAATTGGCTGCTGCGTTCGCCCACAAATATACAGTCAATTCACTTTATAGTATATTCTGTGAAGCGCTTTGGGACGTCTAGAAGACGTGAAAAGCGCTATATCATATGCAAGGATTATTATTATTTTATTATTTGATTGAGCAAAAATTCTTAAATGCAATCAAGTTTGGAAACCAGTTCTCAATTAAGTCCAAATTGAACGATTTTCCACAATTCTGTGCATTCTTCAATTTGAAGGCAAAACAGTTTTTCAGGTTAAGACGAGAGGGAATTTGGGGCTATAGTTGACATGTTCCTTCTCAGGCAGATGATGGGAAATTGCCCCACTTCATGTTGATTAATTTGCTCCAATGATTCCCAATAAAGAGGTTCCTATAGCCAAGCCATTCCACTTGCAATGTCTTTTGTTTCTTTCCAAAACATTAGCCTCATTCCTCCCATCAGATGCTGAATGATCTGATAATCTGTTGTGCAATTTCCAGCACTGTCCCTTATCAATCTAGCTTGTCAACTCTCACAGTCTGTCCTTCCATCTCAGCCTGACACCCCCCCGGTTGGAACATGCAGGGTATTTGTGTTTTGGGAGGGGTGGGGGGAGTGGAATACAGAAAGGGAGGAAATTACATTGGTAAATAAATCACAACTGCATTTATTAAAGATACTTTCATTGACTTTCCCTAAACTTAGTGCTGTGCTGGAGCTGTTTCCTTGCATTCGAATGACCTGGATAAGACCAGCTATTGAGTAATTTCTGACATCGCTTGAAACCCAAATCTGCTAAAGGTTACAGTACAGACTGCCTGTAGCTACCTGCTCCCCACTTCCTGTCCAGCTCCATTAGTACTCTCTGCATTACAACATCGCTGCAACCGCTATTTCTCTGTTATACTTTGCTCAATTGTTAACTGTTTATGATCTCTTCCCCATCCATTCAAGTCATCAAAAGAACAATACTGGTCTTTTCTCCCCCTTTACTGGTGTTTGGTGGGATAATTCGTACTTTAATTCGTACTGTGATATATACAGACTGACTGAGAAATATTTTAATGGTGAGTCCTCTGTGTGAACATGCCGGTCAATTGTTCTTAAGGGAACTGTTAGCATGTGAAAACAGTTATAATAATTTGCCATCACATGTCGATCTTGACAATGAGAAGCTGCTCTAAACAGGACAGCATACTGTAACTGTTCCCTATTAATTCCTCTTGTTGTTCCTTGGTAAACCCACTTCTCAATGTGACACTGAGCTATAAACCAGAAAAGTCCCAGATTTTACCCTTGGTCCCTAATCAAGTTAGCTGTGGATGTTCTATGATTGGCTTCAGCTCTGCTGGGATAAGTGGGGAATAATTCTGACAGGGTTTCTGACTGTTGAGCAGTGTCCAGTGATTGTGGGGTGACACCAAGAGAGAGTTGGACTGAGTTGGGTTGTGACCACAACCACAGTAGTTTTAGTGACATTCAACATCTGATATAAAGAACAACCAGTGAAGTGACCGACACAAGGGAAATGTGCCTCAAGAGTGAAACTGGGAACCTCACAACTCAACACTTTGTGTGATCTGAGCCACAAAATTCAAGATGATTTCCATCTTCATCTTGAACGACTATTCCAGCTCTGCTGAACAGTGGCAGCTCAGTCAATGTCAGGTGTAACAGTCTGTCCCTCAACATGGTTTAGATTTCTTAGGAAGTCTTTGCTCTTTGTGACAAATGTTAACCTTAAACCAACTGAGGCTTCTTGGGCCCACCACCTTCTTGTTGTTCAGCAGGGCAAAGGTGAACAGTTTCCATTACACACCCAGTTATTGCCCAGCCAAAAATATTCTGAAACATTAAAAAGATATTGTGCAACTCTGGAATTTTGCATTATCAACCAAGACGTTAATCAATAACTGGAGCAGCTTTTCATGCAGGGTAGTTTAGGTCAGTAACTGGACTCATTTACAAAGCAGCTTGGTGCTGTGATAGGGGCAGAAGGGGTGGGTGGGGTGGTGGGGGTGGGGATAAGGGTGTATGCTCTAGAAGAATGAAATCTGATGGGCCAAAGGGTTTTCTTCATCCAAACCAATTTTGTGATCTGTGATAAGATTTCTTTGAGGGCTTTAAGATGTCAAACATTTTCAGATAGATCAAGCCATCAGGTCAAGAGGTTTAGGGTTGGGAAGAGCAACTTCAAGTCAGCCACTAGGAAATGTTTCCTTTCTCAGAGGGTAACAGGCAGAATGGGTTACCCAGCAGGGGAGAAACCTCAGGCAGGTTTCTTTACTCCACACACCTCTGTTTGCCCAGCACTAAATAGGAACCATCTTGTTAGTTGATTGGTGGATCACTTTCCGGGGGTAATAAATCCTTCAAAAATAAATAAATATATAATAATAATTTGGTCATTCAATCCACAACTCTTTGTAGGACACTGCTGTAAGTAATTGTCTGCCACATTTCGCCCACAAAGTATACAGTCAATCCACTTCACAGTATATTCTGTGAAGCGCTTTGAGACATCTCAATTGACGACATGATAAGGCGCTACATCAAATGCAAGGATTATTGTAATCATAATATATTAAGGGTGGTTGAGGCTGGGACTCGTTTAAGAAGATTGACCTTGGAATGAGAAGACAGGTAGGTTGGATTTCTAGAAGGATGAGATCAAATGGACTGAAAGGACTGAAAGTTGCTCTTGTGATCTGATGAATTCCTAACAAGAAGAGGAACTCTTCCACAGTCCCATGAAGTTGGCGTTAGATCTCAGTGTCAGGGAACATTCAGTCCCAAACCCAGACCCAGAGAGGAAATGACTTACATGTTGCTGGTATTGCTTCTGCTCGCGTTCATACTCGATTTTGCATTGCTCGCACATATCCTCTATCCAATTATCGTCATCGTACTCCGAACTGCAATTGCAGCCCATCGTCACTGGAAAGAAGCAGAGCACAGACTTCTCAAACCACAGCACGTAACGGCTGCTTTGGGGTTATAGGCAACCACTTAGCAGGTGTGTGTGTGTGTGTGTATGTGTGTGTACAACAATGCCTCTGAAATATGGATTTTCGCTCTGGGTTGGAATAAGGAAAATAAATTGTTCTTACGTCCAATAGTTACATTTAACTCTCATGTCGCTTCCTCACAGCCCAAAACTGCCCCCTTTTCTAATCTGATTGGTCTCTCTTTCCCATCCTGGGTCAGATTTGTGGCATCAAACACAAGGATTACTAACTAACTTACTAACTAACTAACTAACCAACTAACTGTCAATAGGAACTCACGTCCCAGCAAGTTGGTGCTGCAGTGTAATCGTTGGCACCTGTTCTCAACCCACTTGCAAAAGCGAATCGCTATTCTTATCTTCAATTCTCCGTCAATAGTTTGACTTCACCGCGCTGGTCATGTCTAACTTAACGCAATCTTGCAAAGCAGTCGCCCAGAAATACACCTCATTACAACCCATGGTCCATTCGGTCAATTGTCCCACTAAACACTGGAACCCGAAAACACGTTGCAGAAGAAGGAAACACAAAGGACTACGAAAATAAGCAAACGTTGGGGTAAATTTTAGGGTAAGTTTAGATTGGTATTTTTTAATGGATTAAGAAACCAGTTAAGAACCGCCATAAAAATCGACCCAACTATTGAACTGAAATCACATTTGCTGTTGATAGGAATTATTAAGTATATCAAATATTTATATATTTTCTATTTCAAATGGGAGGTCTATTATTATTTTTAAAGCAAATGTATTTCAGAGACATCACAGAGCTTCAGAGCTTCCAATTTATACTGATTCACTCCCAGGTTACACTGAGCAAAATGTTTAATGTGCAAGGGTTTGAGTGGACTCGAGCCAGCTTCACCCCAGGGAAGGGGGGGAGCGTGGGGGGAGGGGGGGGGGAGGGGGGGGGGGCTGGGGGTAACAGTGGGTGGGGGTCTAGAGTTTAGATCTGACCTTGATCTAAGACCGTCACTTTCCCCAGGTCAAAGCCTCTTTATGTTACAATTCAACATTACACAGAATTGTGGAAAATTCTTAATTTCATTGTTAATTTGGAAGCTTAGCAGGGGCAGTGGGGAGCTCGCTACCACATTAATCGCTCCGAGATGCTACCCCATATGAATGCAAGTTGTTGTGGTTCCAAATTAAGGTTGAATTCAAGAATTTCTCACGATTCTGCTCAAAGTGAGATTTGAAGGCAAAGTGAACTTCAGGCTATCCCTGAGCTGAGTGGTTGAGCCTGATGTTTCTTACAAACTTTCACAACATAAATACCTTATTAAATTTACTCTATAGATACTCTTAACTTTAGAAGCATCTAACAAAGAGATGTTTATTGTCCCCACATCTAATAATAAACTAAAGTCTAATGTCACCACATCTAATAATAAACAAACAATAATCAGTGAAAACTTCAGGAAATAACACACAAGACTTGTAAATGCCCAGAAGAAGCCCCCAAAAAACTGTAAAAAACTACTTACAATCTTTTACTTGTTAAAGCTGCAGATAAGCCACTTTCACCCAGGAAAGACTTTACGTTGCCTCACACTGACTGTCAGGACTTTCCGTCATTGTTGAGCTTTGAATGAATTTGACAAGTACAAATTAGTGCAGTGGTTTACTTATAATAATCCTCGCATTTGATACAGCGTCTTATCATGTTTTCGAGACGTCTCAAAGCGCTTAACGGGATACACTGTAAAGTTTGTATTTTGTTGGTGAAATTTAAGAATTTCCCAAGATTCTGCACAAAGTGAAATGTGAAATGGAGTGGATCTGTAGGCCATCGCGGCAGCACCACTGCACACAACAATGGCCCACAACCAGCCAGTTTGGATGAAGAAGACCCTTTGGCCCACTCTTCAAGAATATCCTCCCATCTCCTCCCACGGCATCAAGCTGTTTCTTTATGTTTCATTGGAAGGAGACGGCACCTGTGACAATGCGATGCTCCCCCAGTACAGCACTACAGCGTCAGCCTACACCGGGAGCTGTGTCCAGTGACCCCGGCTGGAAATTACCCGGGTGTAGGTTACGGTGAGAAGAGGCTGTGAGATTTGCCCTCCCTCACAGACCATCTCGTACATTCAAATCAATCTAAATTCTTAAAATACTGAAAATCCTGTACAATGTCACTAGTGCATGGTGATAGTGGGACATTGCTGCTCACAAATTGTCTGCCACATTCACCCAGAGAATACACTCACTACGCTGTACAGTATATCCTGAAAAGCGCTTTGAGACGTCTCAACGATGTGATCAGGCACTGTATCAAACTCAAGTATTATTCTTATAACATATGCTATCATTGTATAGTGTGGCAGTGTACCACTGCCAGGCCTCGCAGTTCCAAGCTGAGAGGGTTTATTGCCCTGTGGTTAGTAATGTTAAACTTCTCTGCAGTCTATTTACAGGGGAACTCATACAGGGCAGTGTATTCTCTGAGATTTTTCAGAGCTTGGTTTCAGAATCAGTTATATCCATGTTTCCTGTGGGCGAAATGTACCATAATATCAATAATGTCATTCACATCACAATTCATTTGGGGATTCCTAAGAAACTGAGATATTGAAGGAAATTCCCCACCTACTGATGTCTCTAAATAAGTCACCAAGTCAATCTGGTTACAATTCAGCCTCAAATTCCAGACCAACATGCGTTTTTGCACCTTCCGTTGGACGTTGCTAGATGGTTTCTCTTTCGACCCCCAACCCCCCCACCCACCACCATCTCCTGATACATTCAATCTTCAGCGATCAGTATTGCTACCCCAAAGCATATTAGCATAGACAGGAGAAGCTTTGAAAGCTTTCAAGAGGGAACTAGGTAAATAATCACAATAATCTTTGCATTTGGTGTAGCTCCTTATCATGCCCGAAGGACGTCTCAAAGCGCTTCACAGGATTTACAGCGAAGTGGAGTGACTGCGTATTTGTAGGTAAACGTGGTAGAACAATATTGCATAGCAAAGCACCACAAACAGCCATGAAATGAGTGACCAGTTTTATTTGGGGGATTGTTGGCCAGGACATCGGGAGAGAGAAATGCTGTTCTCTTTCCTAATCGTGCCATGAGATCTTTAGCGTCCACCTGAATAGGCAGACAGTGTTTCGGTTTAACATCTCATCTGAAGGACAATGAAACACACTCCCAGCACTGCATTGAGGGTCAGTTTAAACTACGTTAGGGCAAGTAAATGGGACTGAAGGGTTTGCTCTTGAAAGAGCCGCACAGACACAATGGTTGAATGGCCTTCAGTTGTGCTGTATGTTTCTATGGTCCTATGGAAGGCTGCTGTGAAAACTGAGTCACAGCACCTCAGACAATTCCACTAGACACTGTAGTTACAACCCATGAAGCTTTTCAATGCGGTTTGATAATTTTCCTCCCTGTTGATCAAAACAAAGTTTTTTAAAAAAAGCAAATTTCTTAATATCAGCCTGGTGTCATGGGGTCACAGCTCATCTGATCATGGTAATACTTCCAAAGGAGATGTGACCTAGTGAGATATTTGGTGTTGGATGTAGATGATAGATGCTGGAGATTTGCTCTTGGGTTAGATTGGGAGAAGGAAGAACCTTCTGATAATGATGACAATGATAGGAGAGACTCCAAAGCAGGCAATGAGTGACCTGTTCTTGACTTGGAGAAAGAACACCTTATCTCAACCCTGGAGCCTCAGACCTCACAATCTCTCCACAGCCCCAATGTTTTCTAGCTGAAACATTCCTATCTACTGATCCAATGGACGGTATCTCCGACAATGCAGTGCACCCCAGCGCTGTATTAGGGTGTCAGCCTAAACTGTGAGCTCAAAGTCCTGACGTGGGGCTTGAACCCAGAGGTGAGAACGCTAACAACTGAGACAAGTTTATACCTTACTTCACACAGCACAGTTAAAGCCCTTCAGGCTAAACAATAGTGAAATGAAACCTTACACGACAGTTAATATTCAGAAAAACTCATAGCTACGCGGCTGACTTTATAATGAAGCAGGTAAAAGGCTTTAGGTTCTGAGAGTTTGAAGGAAACTTGCATGTATATAGTGCCCTTCGGGCAGGGCAGCGTCTTGGAGTACAATACAATACAAATTTACATTTATAATAATATAATAATCTTTGCATTTGATATAGCGCCTTATCATGTTGTTGAGATGTCTCAAAGCGCAGGGCCCTTGACTTTGGATGGACAATCCTGGCTGGGCACCCGAGCGGGGGGTGGGAGCCGAGTCGGTGGCAAAGGTAAGCTAAGCGTGGTCAGAGAGGAGGTCTTGAGACAGACCTTAAATCGAGGATATGTGAGTAATCGAGGCGATGCTGGGACCAGAATTAGACGCTGTTAGGTACTGAGTCTGAGTCGGGGAAAGACACGATGGGCTCAATACGAGTTTCCAGCTGAACATTTCTATAAATGTAAAAAATATGTAATGAATAGGAAGTACTTGACGGAGAGGCACTCGGGAAGTAAAAAAGATATGAGAAAGAAAAAGGGAAATCAGTGTACAAAATTATGAGGGGATTTTGATAAGAGGAGAAACTGTTTCCACTGACAGGCGGCGGGTCGGTAAACAGAGGACACAGATTGAAATAATTGGCAAAAGAACCATAAGGGAGATGAGAAGAATTCTTTTTACACAGCGAGTTGTTACAATCTGGAACTCACTGCCTCAAAGGTGGAAGTAGATTCAATAATAACTTTCAAAAGAGAATTGGATAGTACTTGAAAAGGAAAAAAATTGCAGGTAATGGGGAAAGAACGGGGGATTGGGACTGTTTGGGTAGCTTTTTCAAAGAGCCAGCACAGGCATGGTGGGCCGAATGGCCTCCTAAACTAGTGTAATATCGCAGCAGGCTCAATGGGAATATGGCTTCCGCCCGTTAGAATTGTTTTCTGGAACCATAGAAATTTACAGCACAAAAGAAGCCTTTGTTCCTTTTGAAGCTTTAAAAAAATTCTCCCAACTAAGCTGAGGGCAAAATAACATGGAATTTAAAAAAAAAATGACTTTAGTGACATGGCATTGCTGCATTTGTAATGTCAAAACCCTGCTAAATGTACAGAAACCACAGAATGTTACACAATTTAGATTTACACAAAGCCTTTCCACTGGGAAGGACATCTCTCTACTGACTGGGCAGAAAGGCATGTTGGCAAGAAAGGCAAGAACACTAATTATAACAGGAGCGATGCCGTGAAAAGGAACTGCATCTCTTTAAGTTCATTTCAATGACGTTGTTTGTTCCAAAATGGTCTATAAGCTCTGCCCGTGTTTGTAATGCAAGGTCAGAACAATGACTGAAACTCTCCCTTCGTTGGCCAATTCGCCTCCAAATACACGGTCATTACACATTACAGTAGGATCCTGCAAAGTGCTTTGAGACAACAACAAATTGCAGTTATATAGCACCTTTCACATCAGAAGGATGAACCAAGGCATTGGTCAGTTAAGCTGGCGTGATAAGGCGGTATAACAAATGCAAGGATTATTCTTAGCATTATTGGGGAGTACAGTGAGTGAGTCCCACTGGTCATTGGAAAATAACAGAAAGTCTTTTCTGCGGATTATTGTGAAAGATTCACACATACAAATGTCGTCTTCTCCAGGGACAACCTTTCCGTTGATGTTTAATAGGTTCGGAATTGATGTTTGTAATACTTTTTAGCTAAATACCTATTACACTAAAATCGAGATTTATTAACACTCTAAGCTTCGTGTGTAACATTGCCCAATGTTACACCTCATTTTACCCTGTTAGAATGTTCAGAAATTGCGATGTATTTGACAGCTACATTGGCTGCCGAGTTCACCTACAAAACACACAGTCACTATACTTACCCTATATATCCTGTGAAGCGCTTTGAGACGTCCTCCCGACGTGAAAGGCCCTACATGAAATGCAAGGATTATTATTATTTATTCTTGTTAATATCTCTTTATTTTAAGCGTCTTAAGATGCTGAAGATTCATTATATTAATAATAAAAATAATCCTTGTAATTTATACGTTGACATGCGATTTACATTTAGTGCTTTTATTTATACATTTATTGTTCGTACCATGATGATGAGAGTGAATCAAAGTGCTTCACAAAGTTTCAGTAAAGTGTAAATAATGCCTGAGTATTTCAAAGCCATCGTTTTATTCCTATTTTCAGAGCAGTTCGGAAGTTTCTCTATAGAATATTTCAAAACTCTTTTCAACTCATGAATATTTAAGCAAAGTATTCCTGGCGCAAAGAAATTACACAGAGCGATAAACGAGGCACAAATCTAACACTGTTTATTAGGTAATCCAATGGACAAGAGAGACTTGTAATATAATTTAAACAACTCCTCTCCAGGATGTTTTGGCACACTGGACTTTATTTGTATTTTGTCGTCAAATGGTTTTGAGAAAATATTGTGCAGTTGAGCTGCAAACATTACAAGAAACGTTTAGATGAGGAAGGCCTTTTGGCCCATTTGACCTCATCTTTCCAAAATATCCTCCCTACTGTCCGACCATCACAATACCCAGTTATTTCTTAAATGAGTCTGGCATCCTGGCCTTACTCACCCTTTTCTGATAACCCATTCCAGCTGCTAATTACCTCCTGTGTAAAGAGACATTACTTGATGTCTGGCTTGAAATTGTCCCTTTCACAACTCTGAACCTGTGTCCTCTTGTTTTACTGCCGAGGTGTATCTGAAAGTATTGTTCTGGGTTCCCTCAACCCCATTTAACATCGTGGAGCTACACATGAGATAAACTTACAATGTTTCAGTATCTTTTTGTCTTAACCTTTGGGCCTACAATGCCATCTATTAACCCCTGCTGAACAAACCTGAAGCTGGTGGAATCCAAGGAGCCACAGTTTGGCCTGAGCTTTTCCCATCTCCTGACCTCAAACCCACAGTCCAAGATAAGGAGCTAATGCCGCTACAGTACCTTACCTGCTGCCTATTGGCCAAGTGTGAGTTTGTGTTTGTGACAAAGCTTGATAAATTTAAGCTAAATATAATGGTGAACAATATTTCGCCCACAAAATACACAGTCAATTCACTTTACAGTATATTCTGTGAAGCGCTTTGAGGCGTCTCAAAGATATGATGATAAGGCGCTGTATCAAATGCCAGGATTATCATTATTATTATTATTAATAGTCAGTTCCAAGCTGGCATTGACTGAACTTGCAACCATCAGCAGAATTGTGAAATAAGTGTTAACCAGTTCAGTCGCACAATTTATATAAACTGGAGGAAATGTTGCACTTCAGGTCTTATAAATCTACTGATTTTGTTTCCCCACCTTTCAATTCTTGCTATAACGTTTCATCCTAAAATGTTCTATTCAATATGATTTACATTTTACTGCAGCTATTAATTTCTTTGATGGCATTCTGTGAAAACGTTGACTTGAAATGTGCATCACTGCCTTTAAAAACACAGTCATTGGAATAAGGATATTGAAGGATTAAAATGCAGTTGGAACTTTGACGTGAGCCTGTCGTTCAAGTTTTAGTTTTGAAAACTTACGCATAATGTACTTACTGTCCAGGGGAAAATAGTGAAAAGGGACACAGGATTTTGTTGATCAAAATTCACAATACGTTTTAGGATGTGATAAAAACCTTAACATCATTTGGGTAAAAATCTAATTTCCATAATCCTTTCCAGGCTGATGAAGCAACATTAAAATCATTTCACAATTATTATGTTGCAGGGTTTTTTTTAGGAAAATTATAGAAGAGTTCATAATCCTATATGTTTTCCAATTCAAGAGTTGGTTTGTAGAACACTATTCTGGGGGAAGGAATTCTATAGTGAAACATTCTTATAATGATTTTTCTCTCTCTCAGTCGAGTTTTGCAATGCTTTATGCTCTGTTTCCCATTTGTGTTTCACTCTCTCTCTCTCATTGTGTGTGTCTTTCTCTCTCAAAGCACATTTGCAGTTATGTGGTATTGACTATAAGAGTGGACATGAGGAGATTTGATTTTGGTTATTACGGTCCAATGGTACGATATATTGCCATCCAGATAAGCGTGTAGATTCTTCACAGTTTACTGTTATTGTAAAGCCGTAGATACATATCTAGATGGCATGTCTAGCAGAGGAGGGGGCTGTATGGGAAGCTTGGAAGACAGAAAGACAGACAGCAAACGAGCAGAAAGTCACAGCTCAACATCTAACATACTCTGGCTGCGTGGAGTCATCCTTAACCCTATTCCTAATGTGGAGGAGTGACACCAGTTTTGAAAGCTTACGGATTATGTACTTACTGTCCAGAGGAAAATAGTGAAAAGCGACACTGGATTTTGTTGATCAAAATTCAAAAGAAGTCTGCGAACTTGATGAAGAACCTTAACTCTCTGAAGATATAAGATTTTTTTTGGGGGGGGCTCGAAGGAGAAAATACAGAGTTCATATAATTGGGGAATTCATTTTATTGCGACATCTAAATCTATTTCCTTTGAGCTTCAAGCAAGATATAAGATAGAGGGTTAAACCCTCACCAAGTTTCTACTTACCCCTTTATTTCTTGTCAACTGTATTTCCTCTACATAGCACCATTGACGCAGGAAGAAAAATGGAGACTGAAGTTGGTATCACCTCTTGCGAGTGTTTCGACGTTCTAGTTTGAATCTGGAATCAAGACGGCGTAATCCTATTGTAAAAATTCCGTTCAAGTAAATCAACAGCTTTTCTGTCTCATGGTTCTCTGATTTAGTAGGAACTTTCTGGGTGAAAGCAGGTTCACCTCAGAGAGACTCCAGACTATCTGCAGTGCTGGTAAGTCAATCAGCCACTTCCTGTATGATGAGCAATAGAGAAGACACTGTTTGGTGAGGCTGAGATCTGTGGGGTTCAGAGCTGCAGGTGTGTTTGGTTTAAAACCAGAATAAAGCACAAAGGAAACCGACAGCAACAGTTCCGGCAATGTTTTATAAATCGGGAGCAAAGGAGAACTTATAACGACAGTACAGTTTGCATTTATACCAAGTGATTCACACTGGGAGGATGTCTCAAAGCATTGTCTTAAGAATTCTGGATGAGCACCTGAGCTGGAGGTGGGAGCCAAGGGTGGGGGGTGTGGGGAGCGAAAGGATAATAATACTAATCCTTGCATTTGATACAGAGCCTCATCACGTCTTCAAGACGTCTCAAAACGTTTCACAGAATATAATGTAAGTGTAGTGACTGTGTATTTTGTGGATAAAATACGGCATTCAATTGTGCACTGCAGCATCTCCAAAAACAGTTGTGGATTGAGTGACTAAATTATTAATTTTTTTAATTTAGTTTTTCAACAGATTATTACCAAAAACACAATGAAATAGGCAGGTTTTGAGACGGGTCTTGAAGGAGGGGGAGGGAGAGAGCGAGCTGGAGACTCTCCATGATGGAGCTCCAGAGAACGGGGGCAGAATGGCTGAAAGTTTCACTCGACTGTTGATGGTAGGGCAGATACAGCTGCGGACGGGAAGCAGGCCTGTGTTCACTGAGCGAATGGAGAGGTGGGTTTGTGTGGTTGAAGGAGATCACAGAGGTAAGGTGGGGTGAGTGCATGAAGAGATATGAATTTAGTGACAAAATGCTTGATGTAAGTGTGAAGAAAAATAGGTCTAAACAGTATTTATCACAAGATGGTAACATGATTCATGGATGGAAACTCCAGGGGAATTATAGAAACACAGTATTGTAAAACATTTATAGCACACAAGGAGGTTATTGAGGCCATTGTGTTCACACTGGTGCTGTGAGCTACCCTGCACAAGGGGCACTATATAAATGCAAGTTGTTGTTGTTACAAGCTCCGCAGTGTAGCTATTGACTCAAATCTAAGGAGATGCAATAATCTTACATGATGGAATTACTGGATGGAATTACTGACCTCACGTTTCTGTAGTCCTGCATTTCATACCTTGAAGCATCTTGAATTTGGAATGATCTGCCTGAAAGGGCAGTGAAGTCCGATTCGATAACAGCTTTTAAGAGAGAACTGGACAGGTATCGGTGGAAGGTGGCAGGATTATGGGGAGAAAGCTGGTGATTGAGGTTAATGAAAGTGACTTGCTCTGTCAAAGAGCCGCACAGACTCGATGGGCCGAATGACCTCCTTCTGTGCCATAACATTCTATGAATCTATGAATCTCGAGGCACTTCACAGGCAATTCCTGTCATCGGCATCATCATCGACAACAACAACTTGCATTTATATTGTGTCGAGTGTAATGAGTGTGTGTTTGTGGGTAAGCACAGCGAGGTACACAAATAGTCCTGAAGAGAATGACTGACCAATTTATCTGCACGATCGTTGGGCAACAAAGCTGGTTATTTTTGTTTAAGAACAGTGTTGCAGTGTTGCAAAGTAGATTTCCCTTTCTTTATTTTACAATTTGACCGGATGTTTGGGGGTTCGAGCTCCAGTGGATTCCATTATTGATGAAATCCAACATCACGAGAACAACTGCAATAATTTCTCACCTTCACCAGCAGGAGGGAAGCCTCAGCAACAAGTCATTGTCCTCAGTTACTGCACCGAGCTAGTGCTCAGCCATTGAGCCCAGCATTGACGAAATATCCCACAGGAATTACAAGAGTTATATTCTCTTTTGATCACTGTGTGCTGCTTTTACATTGGTTGAGGTATAAAACCCAGGTCCTGTCGGTGCCTGTTCAGGTGGATGGCACCATTTCAAAAAGAGAAGGGAGTTTCTCTCTTGTGGCCAAACATCCTCCAACTAAAATTAATCATTCACTTCAAAAGGTTACCTGTGGGAGATTTCTGTACCTAAACTGGCTGCTGTGTTTACCTGAAAGATATACTGTCCCTCCACGACAGAAACTTTGCCAAGGTCTTTGAGATGTTCTCCACATATAGATGCCATATAGAATGCAAGGATTATTATTCTTTACCCAGAGTAGCTGTGGGTTTACCTACAAACACACAGTCACTAAACTTTCTGTTAGATCATTTTTTGAAGAGCTGTGAAATGTCCTCCTGAGGCTTATTGTCTGAAAATTCAGCCAGACGAGAAGCCCCTCCAGTATCTCACAGTAAATTCTGTCAAATCTCATAAATTAGAGTAGATTTTCTGCTCATCTTTTATCCTGCACATGGCAAGAGATTATTTGGAATAAGAAGTTTCTGAAGTGGCGCCTGGAAAATAAAGCAATTTGCCCTTCAAAGGGTTCACTTTCACAGCACTGTAGAGATGACTGAAATGTGTTTCATATTCCTGTCAGAGGTGCACCTATTTATTCAAAGCAACTTTCCTTTTGACACAAGTGGTCAGACTATCAGTATATCACTGGAAAAAGATATTAGGCAACGTGCCTGCCAATCAGTCTCTCTCGTTGCTTTAACTCTGTGAAGGTAATTACTTAAAAAGAACATTATTATTCTGAGCACATCACTGACTGTACAATGAGGCAGTTGGTGTTTTTGCAGGTTTCCAATGGCTCGGGAGTAAATATTTACTCAAATGCTTGAAAAGCGGTGAGTGCCCCTGTGCACCCCAACTATCTCTCTCTCCTAATAATGAAACTCGCTCATGCCGTTCCTCCTCTTGTCTGGCCTACTTCAGCAGCCTGTCAAGATGGTATCTCTCTTCTCATTGCCTAGAGTGTGTACTTGACCACAATTGTTCAGATTCAAAGTCAAAAACTGTGCAGTTGAATATGTGCTTTTGCAAACTTGAGGTTAGGCTGATGCAGGATGTAATGTAGAAGGGTACCTTGTACTTAACACACATGTTAATGGGTGTTATTGCTGCTGTTTCCATCTCTTTGAATAAAGTTGGGTGAACTGGCACTCTGCTCGTTTTATAGTGAAGCAAAGTCACTTTGTAAATAGCAGCCATGTTTGTGTATCTCTGGCTAAGCTCCTTCATTGATTCTTCCCCCCTCCGGCTCCTTCATCTCGCTACAGCTCTTTCCTTGCACCTCTTGGTTCCTAGACCCACATTAGGACTTTGAACGCAGTCCAGGCTGATGCTTCAGTGCATTACTGGGGTGAAATGCTGCATTGCCAGAGGTCATTGTCCTTTGGATGAGACGTAAACACAAGTTTATTTGCCTGCTCGTGTGAACGTTAAAGTAATAATAATAATTCTTGCATTTGATATAGCACCTTATCGAGCACCTCAAAGAGCTTCACAGAATATACTGTAAAGTGAATTGACTGTATATTTTGTGGGCAGCCAATTGCGCACAGCAGTGTCCCACAAATGGTGGTTGATTCGGTGACCAAATTATTATTTTTTTTTGAAGGGATTATTACCCCCAAGATCCAAATCCTATGGCACAATTTGTAAAGTGTCCTGGCTAACAATCACCCAAATAAAACAGCCAATGTGACATTGGCAATATTGTAAAGGAACACACATTGATTGATAGAAATACATTTGGCTTCGCAAGTCAGCTTAACTCTCCAAACTCTATCAATCTTACAATGAGAACACAATAGTAAAGTGGGGGGGTGGGAGAACAGGTAGAGAAAGATGCCATTCAATAACAAATGTTAACTAGGTTTACATCGACTGTACAGGCCAATGGGCCCAGCTAGTCCGTGCTGTTGTTTATACTCCACATGAGACTCCCCCACCCCCTCCTAGGCTACAGGTCTTACCTTACCTTACTGCACCATCCCACACTCCTTTGCTTAACAAACAAAGTGCTATAACATTCCATGAACATTTAGGAGACCTGTAGCTCAGTGGTTAGAACACTCGCCTTGCAAGCGAGAGACCTGGATTCGATTCCCGGCAAGGCGAAACCTTGGGCAAGTTTCCTTACTTCCACGCACCTGATAATAATCCTTCAAGACGAAAAAAATAAAATTGGTCACTTCAATCCACGGCTGTTTGTGGGACATTGCTGTGCGCAATTGGCTGCCGCGTTTCGCCCACAAATATACAGTCAATTCACTTTACAGTGTATTCTGTGAAGCGCTTTGAGACGTCGAGAAGACATGAAATCTAGAAGACGTGAAAAGCGCTATATCAAGTGCAAGGGTTATTATTTATTATTATGACCTGATATTTTCAACAGAATTACTGTTATGTACTTTTCCTGCTATGACAAAGAATTCGTTCTGGGATACCTTTGTCATAGACTGAGGTCCAGTTGACTGAAAGGTACACAATGCTGTTCTGTGTAAATGGCTATTATCTAAAGAATGTTTATTGGAGACACACCCAGTCCATGCAGCCACATTAACCTTCTGAGGTCTGGAGAGGTTTTTGGGGTTATACTGAGTGTCTGACACACACAGAAGACCATTATCATGCTTAAGAGTATCCAGACTGGGCAGAGAGTTCCACATGTATACACCACCTATACACGTACCCCCCTGGTCTAATTCTGGAGAGTATTAGGTGTAGATCCAGAGTAATTGATGTAACAAACATAAGGAAGAATTTAAGAGTTTACATTTTTTCTAATCCCCTATTAATCGGCGACTCCTGAAAGCAATAATTACTGCCAAGTTTGGGATTGTTTTTGTGGGAAAAGCAAACATGGTGGCCTTTTGGGAGATGGCAAAGTCACACGGAGGACTATTGTGAAGTTGAATGACTACTCTGGACAATCAGAGGGCAGCGGGTAATTCACAGAGAGCTCCTTCAGTAAAGCCAAAGTACATTACCCAATTCTAGCTCTTAAAGTAGATTAGAGGGAACTGTGAGTTGGTGTCACTTAGGTCCTGTTTCCTTTGCCAAGGAATAATTCCTTGTTGAAAAAATATAGTCAATATCTTTGTAGGAAGCTAACAAGACCTTAGCGAGCAATGTTTGCAGTTAGACATTGTGCAGAATATTCACTGTGGCCATTTGAGCCTCTGTAGGACCTTTGTGGCTGCGACTGTAAAGGTGTATTTTTGTCATTTCACTCTTCTACAAGGAATTTGTGAGATGGGGATAATATTCATGTTCAAGACCACAAAATGATTAACTCCCATCTCATTTGCTATACAGTAACCCAGGTGTTTGACTTGATATGATCTCTGCAGTTTAACACCTGAAACAACCGAGGAGATCAAGAATGATTTATTGTCCAATTAAGCTGTAGGGAAATGAGCTTCACCAAAAATAAAATCTGTTCATGGGTGAAAGACCCTGTATTATCTGACGAAGAGAATGAGCGTTCCTTACACAGACTCTTTTTAATGATCTCAACCACAACAGCAGTCAGTATGTTGGAGCAAACCAGTCACTTCTGAGTACAAGTATGCACATGAGAACACAGCAAAGATCCCCTGACTGCAACAGGTCACAGTACAATCGCAATCACAATTTCCTTTAGCTCAACCACAAGAATAAAGAGGAAGTGCTTCTGTGCGTTCAGATGACACTATAGAGCATGTTAGTTAAGCTGTTTAATTCAATCCCTTTACTCTTTTGCTTGAGATATTTAAGGGCTTCAGCTTGGCCAATAAGGCATTCCTTATTACGTGAAGCACTGACTTGGTTGAGCTGCAACATTGAAGGAGAATAGACAATCGGGGGAAGATTGTGGAGTTAAGTCAAGTGGGAAGTTTAGTCTTATAATAATAATAATAAAAATAATCCTTGCATTTGATATACCGCCTTGTCACGTCTCCGAGACATCTCAAATTGTTTCACAGGATATACTTTAAAGTGAATTGACTGTATATTTTGTGGGCGAAACGCAGCAGCCAATTGTGCAAAGCGATGTCCCCACAAACAGTCGTGGATTGAGTGACCAAATTATTATGAGAAGTCAATGTTAGTCTTGATGCTGTTCTGGTCTGAAAACCCCCTCCACACGACAACATCTTGTATTTATATCGCACCTTTATGTGGGGTAGCATCCCGGAGCACTTACTTTAGTAAGACATCAAGGAGGGTCCACACTCAAAGCATATCATCTCCTTCCATTGTCGGACTGCAGTCCCCTCGTCTGTCTGTCTCTACATACAAATTACATACAGTTTTACAGCACAGAAACAGGCCATCAGCCCAACTAGTCCTTGCTAGTACCCCACACCAACCTCCACTCCTCCTAATCTCCTCTCCAGCACCCCTCTATCCCCTTCTCCCTCAATTAATTGCTATCATTTTAATGATGATCTTCATTAAAAACCTCAGAGGTTTAACAGTAACCTTGCACACAGCCCAGCTGGAGAGGATATCAAAGTAAACTTTAGTTCTGGGTTTGACGGCGTTGCATAACACTGATATTATTATCCTTTCAGTCTATTCTATTCTTTATTTTCTAAATGGAGATGAAGTATAACAGTAGACACACCTAATGCAGGATACCCACCTCTGTAGACCAACACTCCCATGAGTGTCACACACTGTAGTTGAAAGTGTTCAACTTCAAGACAAAGCAGCTACTGTGATGAATCAGAGCCCAGGAAGACACCACACAATTCTTTTGTGTTTGGGCAGAATGACTCATGGAGCCACATCTTATTGTGGAAACTGCAACGCTCAGGATTAGTAACATAAAGAAACTACCATCTCACCATGAAGCCCAGAGTCTCGAATTACCTCGTAAACAATTTTATTGACTTTAAACTTTAATGTCATTACAGACCCTGATTGTCTTCATCATGTCAGTGTTTATTGAACATACGTTATTATAATAATCATTGCATGTGGTGTAGCGACGTATCACATCGTCAAGACATCTCAAAGCTTCACGGCATTTGTTGTAAACTGTAGTGACTGTGTGTTTTCAGCGCTGGCACGGCAGCCAATTTACAAACAGCAATATCCCATAAACAGCCGTGTGAAATGAATGAGCAGCTTTAACTTGCGCCTGAAACGGTGGTTGAAACACTATCGGTACTTTGTGGAGTCCTGTAGCTCAGTGGTTAGAGCACTCGCTTTGCAAGTGAGAGACCTGAGTTCAATTCCAGGCAGAGGGCGAAACCTTGGGCAAGTTTCCTTACTCCACACAGAGCCTAATAATAATCCCTCCAAAACCAAAAACAATAATAAATTGGTCATTTTCAATCTACGACTGTTTGTGGGACATTGCTGTGCGCAATTGGCTGCCGCGTTCGCCCACAAATATACAGTCAATTCACTTTACAGTGTGTTCTGTGAAGCGCTTTGGGACGTCCTCCTGACGTGAAAAGCGCTATATCAAATGCAAGGATTATTATTATTATTATTATTACTTTTAAGAGGAAACTGGATACACACGAGGGACTGGGACCCGCACAGGGAGAAACTCCCAACCATGACTGAGTAGCGCCATGGAATCTATAGCATCTACCTGAACAAGCAGACAGGACCCGGCTTTAACGTCTCACCTGGTCTGGATGTTATTTCTGTGGGGTATACAAGGGGTAACACAGTCTCCCCGAGCAAACAACAATTGTCACCATTGTCACTGCCAAAGATTGTTTATATTCTGTGTCTTAGATTATGCCATAGATTGTTGATAAACAACTCTTTTATTTTCTATTATCATCAATGACAAGATATCAATGTACGGGAGCACCAATCACACCCAACCATTCAGCTATAACAAGACAGCACTGCCCTTGTGATAGATATAACAGCAATACTTGCCCTAGCAGACAATCACTTCCATTTAAAAACAAACACATCATTCTTATATTTCTTGAGAAAAATATTTATTATAAAATACAAAGAGGTGATAATGTGTACTGTTCAATGGATTTCACAGTACGAGAGAAGCCTATTGTGGAAGCTATATTATTACCGATATTGCAAGACAGAAATGATCATGAAATCCACTGCGACAATAGCCAAGGTTCAATTGAAATGTTTGCGATGCTTGGAGCGGTTTCAGATTACATTTTTTTATGATTCAACAGTATGATTTTAGGCTTCAAAAGCCTTGGTTGGTCGGGTGTAAGAAATCTTTTAAAGCTTACCTACCCCCTTCCACATGGCCCGTCAACATGTTGAGATTATCCCTGAGGGTGGACACTGTTGTGTGCTCTTTTGCCTTGGAGCGATATTATGATATCATATCAATTCTTTGACCAATGTGGGATAGAACGTGGCTCCCTTCCTACCTTCTGGTAATGATCAAGATGCGTTTAATATGGAAAATGTTACACCAGTTGATGAAACCTTAAGCCAGGTCTGCAGTTTCCTTCATGTGTCAGGAAGTAGTTTCCCAAATAGCTGGACTGGTTGAACACACGATACAACAGCTTCTACAGATCTCAGGATTTAGTTTAGAACCATTGCACCTTATCTTCTCGATCTCCTTCTCTCCCTGTCAAGACTCCTTGTCTCGCCTTCTTTCTAGTCATCTTCCAAAATGAACCATGGAGTGACCTAACCATCTCGACTTGCTCTTCTCTCTCCTAGTTAGGTTCAGGCTTGCTGCTGTCGTACAGTGAGCACTTGGTTTCTGAATGTTAAAACTTTGAGACAAGGATCTTTTTAATAATAATAAAAATCCTTGCATTTGATATACCACTTTATCATATGATTGAGACGTCTCAAAGCACTTCACAATATAGACCGTAAAGTGTAATGATGAATGAAGTGTGAAACTGGCAGCCAATTTACAAACAACTGGGTTCCTGCTGGATAAACAGAGGCATGTGGAGGTTTCGCCCTTTCCGGGAATCGAACCTGTATCCTCTTGCTTGTGAGGCGAGTGCTCTCACCACTATGCTACAGGACTTAATGTGAATTGGGATCAAAACCTGGAGGGAAATGGAATCAACAGCGCAATTCACTGTGAAATGTAACCCCATCACAGTATCTGGTAGTGATCTGCTGATCCCAAATGACTTTGTTGGTACGCTGGTTCATTTGGTAGGGACAGGTCTCGGGGTCAGATCAGGAGAGAGAGAATCGCCTGGAATTAATGTTCATTTTAGTCACGCCGATGTGCTTGAGAGGTGTGGAAAGGTGGAAGGCGGCCTTGAGCGGGATGTCACACAGGAGGTCGGACTCCTCCTCACACACCTCCAGATCATAGGTCACGTCGTCCAACATCTCCTTGTGCTGGTGACAGGCTTGTTCAACCTTCAGCCTGTGGATCTCTCTCCTCAGGCAGATGAGTCTCCGAGCAAGCTGGTGATCCAGGGATTGCATCTGCCTCTAGAAAGGAGAGAAAAAACAAACCAGCTATAGTTTAATCACAATACGCTTGGGCTCATCGTTATTATTATTATATTATTATTATATCGCTTAACAATAATAATCCTTGCATTTGATACAGCGCCTTATCATGACTTTGAGACGTCTCATGCACAGACACACAGAGACACACACACACACACACACAGAAACACACACACACACAGACACACAGAAACACACACACACACACAGACACACAGGCTCAGACACTGCACATTCCTAGTAAATGTTTGAACCACTTACCAGTTCCTCCCTGAGCCAGTCCAAGGCGTCGCCAATCCCAGCAAAGCCACAGATTGTTGTCAGAGCGATGCTTTGTTTGGTGTCAGTGGTTGCAGTGAGCTCTGCTGGGGAGGGGGGGACTGCTAATGCCTCCTCGCCTTCTGCCCCCATTTTCCAGGGCTCCCTCGCCAGCTTCTCCTGCCACTCTGCATAGGAAGGTCTCCTGGTCTCCAGTTTCAATTTAGCTGTTAAGGCTTTCACTTTGCTCAGGTCATCATCAGCCTCTGCCTCTGCCCTGTCCTGTGGTGCAGGTCTGGGCTCAGTGTGGACCAACAACAGCGACATCCCTGGGCGGCAGCTTTCTGTCTGTCTGTCTGTCTGTGTTGTCTGTCTGTGTCTGATCTTCTCTGTGTTTCTGTGTCTCTCTGTGTGTCTCTTACTCTGTCTGTGTGTGTGTATCTCTCTGTGTCTCTGTGTGTGTGTGTGTCTGTGTTTCTCTCAGTCTCTGAGTGTGTGTTTGTGTGTGTCTCTGTGTGTGTGTGTCTGTGTCTCTGTGTGTGTGTGTGTCTCTGTGTGTGTGTGTGTGTCCCTCTGTGTGTCTCTGTGTGTGTGTGTGTCTCTGTCTGTGTGTGTTTGTGTGTGTGTCTCTGTGTGTGTGTGTCTGTGTCTCTGTGTGTGTGTGTCTCTCTGTGTGTCTCTGTGTGTGTGTGTGTCTCTGTGTGTGTGTGTCTCTGTGTGTGTGTGTGTGTCTCTGTGTGTGTGTGTCTCTGTGTGTGTGTGTCTCTGTGTGTGTGTGTGTCTGTGTGTGTCTCTGTGTGTGTGTGTGTGTCTCTGTGTGTGTGTGTGTCTCTGTGTGTGTGTGTCTCTGTGTGTGTGTGTCTGTGTGTGTGTGTCTCTGTGTGTGTGTGTCTCTCTGTGTGTCTCTGTGTGTGTGTGTGTGTGTGTGTCTGTGTGTGTCTCTGTGTGTGTGTGTCTCTGTGTGTGTGTGTCTCTCCTGCTTCCCGGATTCTCACGCACTGATGCTGAACCCAACAAACAGCATTTTATATCCCGTTAATATTTAACACTAACAGGAGCTCTGTCCACCTTAAAGGGGAAATCGCTCAGATGGAGCCAAATATCGGCTCAACTCCATCCCGAAACATTCCCTTTAACAGCCCACATTTCCCATTTTGATCGAAGTATCAAACATTCACTTTTTTTTAGATACGTTTTATTTCATATCAAAACGAAAAATATTATTATTTCAACGTTTATTTTCCAAACGGTGTTAGACCTTGTTTTAATATAATCTCCACTCGATTTACAAAGCAATTGTTTCAATTTTGTTTTTTATTTTTCTTTTTTTTGTTTTGGATTTAAAATGCATTTTTTTAAAAAGAAGCATCAAGTCTATTTTCCTTCTTTCCTCCTTACATTTTCTTTCAGTTCTCACTTTCTGCACTTTTCAGATGTTACGATTTCTGGTTAAAACCATTTGAACTTTTGAGTTCTTGTTTAATAATAATAATCCTTACATTTGATACAGCGCCTTATCATGTCATTGATACGTCTCAAAGCGCTTCACAGAATATATTGTATATTCTAAAATACTGTTGTGTCACAAAGCCAGTTATTTCTGTTTTCTCCCCCCACCCCCCACAGTATTCCTATTAGAATTCCTTCCATCCATATTTACTTTGGGAAGTATGTTTTTCTAAATTTTCTTAAAAATAAATTTCGTTAAAAATGAATTAACAATATAATAAGTCACTTAATCCACGACTGCCTGTGGGACACTGCTGTACGCAATTGGCTGCTGTGTTTCATAAAGGGGGGGCCGGGGGGAGGACAGGAAGAGGGGAACAAGACCCCACATTTAACTGTGCCCTGCGAAAGGGGGGCAGAACTCCGAGGCGGGGAAGCCTTGGTCCCTGCACCAAAAGCAGCCCCCACCCCACCCAAGGGGCTGTGACTGACTCATCCTCTAATGGGATAATAATGTGCTGAGACTCTTGTTTCTGTGATGGGATTTGATTCTTTTTGAGATAAGTGTAAATATATATTCTATCTATGAACAAATATATATTCTAATTTTTTAAAAAAAACTAGGCTCAGGTCCTCTTTTGTCTAAGATCAAGTGTAGTCTCTGTTCCCATCAGTTACTCCTTGAGCTAAAGCGATGCTGGGAACCTTCATCTCCTGTTGAGATTGTCTTATGTTGTCACCAGGACCCAAACCTCACCCAGACCTGGACATGGGGAGCATTGAGCTCCTCTTGGCTACAGCTCCGCCCTCTGCTGGTTGGGGTCGGTATTGCAGGATCTCAAAACAAGACCAGAACTCAGCAGGTCAGGCAGCATCTATGGAGAGTACGGACCCGAAACATTGACTCACTTTCCTTTCTTCATAGATGCTGCCTGACCTGCTCAGTGTTCCCAGCCACATCTGTTTTGGTTCAAGAATGAGATCTGCCCCCCCACCCACACCCCCCTCACCCGCCACACACACTGAGATTTGCCCCCACACAGGGGAAGGGGAGACACTTGAGCCCCTGGTCACTAGACTGAGGCTGGGCTTGCTCTGCCAGTGGGTGGGGGGGGGAACTTGTCTGGGTACCAGCTCTTGTTCCCATTTGAGGAATGTGTTTGGTTCTAACTCGGCTTTGAGGGGATGAGTGGGCCAATAAAGACAATGATGCCTCTCACCAAAGAAAAAACTTTCTAGAAAAGAATTCTGTGTAAATTCTCTAAACTCGCTAAATTAATTTTTATGTCTTTAAACTAACAGACAAGAGCAGGAAAATTCAGAAACGCAGCGATTACTATGGATTGTAACATACTTTTTAGCTCCCAGTGCATCAATATCTGATCAGTATTTAGTGGAACACCAAAAGTCATCTCCAATCAAGACTATTTTGTCTTAAAACATAAAAATTGGGCAGAATTGTTGAATAAGCAACAACAACAACTTGCATTTGCAGGGGGGAGGTGACCGTAGGCACTGGTCAAACAGGAAGGTCTTCATGTGCGCCATGAAGATGGGGAAGGAAGGGGCGAGGCGGAGGAATAAAGAGAAAGTTAAATCCAAATTAAGCCTAATAAACCACAAGTTCAGCGTTATTTTGGAAGCCGGTTGTATTTAAGGAACTACAGAACAGCCGGCTTTCAGAAATGTCAAATTGTTTTGCATTTCTGCAATGATCTCAGAAATTTATCATTTAAGAAAAGTTGCTTTGGATTTGATTTTTACATTCACTGCACAAGTATTTGTTCAGTCAGGGCTGGAGGAGGGAGGTTTCACCATAAAATCCACCTTAAGTAGAATAGGATCCTGTAGGTTCACAACCTCCCACTGGGCAAAAGTTCCTGTAACTTTAAGATTTACAGTAACACAGGGGGAGGGAGCGAGGGAGGGAGAGCACAGTTAACATGTAATAAAACAAACCTAAGCAGGTTCAACCTCAAAAACATTAATGTCTGGAGATCAACTTCTACACGTGTGGAGTCTGATTTACACCAAAGATGCCAAATTAGGGCATTTTGTGAGACGCGCTCTGTTACGTTGTATGTAAATGAGCTGCTCTGACTGTAAGGACATTCCTCTCTCGACCTTTCCAAAGCAATGGACATTGTTCGGAAGCAGATGCTGCTCCTGTTGGCTTGAGACCTGGTTGTGCCCTGGTGGGATGGAGTTTGCAGAGCTGATCAAGACCTCCAGAGTGGACAATGTGGTCCTGTCTCGTCCCTTTGTGCCCTGTGTGACAGGAACCCTGTGTGTGACCAGCCACCACCTCCTGCTGTCCTCCAGGGCTGCTGAGAACATGGAGCTTTGGCTATTGATCAGCAACATTGATGCCATCGAGAAGAGGTTAGTGACAACAACAACTTGCATTTATCTCACCTTCACTCAGGGTAGCGCCCTATAGCGCCTGACAAGCGCTGACCACAACCATCTATATATTAATGCTGTCTGTTGCACGATTTCTGAGATGTCACATTTCTAAACAATTATTATTGCCCGAGGAGGAACACAGGTCACCTTTCAGTTTGTGAGTCATAATAATAATTATCCTTGCATTTGATACAGAGCCTTTGCATGTGGTTGAGACGTCTCAAAATGCTTCACAGATTATCCTGTAAAGGGTAGGGACTGTATTATGTGGTTATATTCACTGTTTTTAAATGAGGTGCATGAGCCACCTAATGTGAGCGATCAGAGGCTCCTGTAACACCCCACTGGACATTCAGATTAGACACAGAGTGTTATCAATGCACTGCTCGAAGATGTTTCTTATTTTAACTAACAAACTGCAGATCACTTCAGCCAAAAGGGAAATACATCACCCGAGCTTCCTGTTAGTGAGTGCACCACGCTTGTGGTTTTTACATCTGGGGAGAAAATTCTACTTAAATCCAGATTTACTCTATTTTTATAACATTTTGTAGTGTCCAGAATGTGGGGGAATTCTTAATCGCAGCCTTCATTTGGAACTCAAAACTGACTTTAAACTTCAGACTGAATTCCAACAGTTTGTCACATTCTGGAGGTTCTGAGACACTGAATGAGTAAATAGTTGTAATATAGTAATGATCCTTGCATTTGATATACAACGACTTGCATTTATATAGCGCCCCTCAAGTTGGGAAGCATCCAACAGCGCTTGAAATAGCGTCTTATCATGATGTTGTGACGCCTCAAAGCGCTTCACAAAATATATATTAAGTGTAGTGATATTGTATTTGTGGACAAGTAAATCTGTACTGAGGTGAATTCCTGAGGTGAAGTTTCAGGCTTTGTATTTATTGCAAATACTGGTCAGATACCCCCCGAGAATGTTTGTGCTTTAGAAATGCTGTAATAATAATCCTTACTTATGATACAGCGCTGTTGAGAGAATGTTTCAAAGCCCTTCACAGTATTTACTATAAAGTGCAGTGACCGTAAGCAAATGCTGTCCCTGAACGCGTAGAAAATATATCAAATATCTAAAGCAGTCGTGAACGAACTCTGATCTAGATTGAAATAATTGTAGTGACTGTGTGTTTTGTGGGTTAACATGACAGCCAATTTGCATACAGCAATGTCTCACAAACAGCCATGAATTTTTTTGGGGGTTGGCCAGGACACTGAGAGAGAGAAATTCCCTTCTCTTTTCAAACAGTGTCATGGGATCTTTAATGTTTAAGGCCCAGTTCAGATTGACAGGCATCTCAGATGTGTTCCAGAGTTTCGGGGCATAGAAGTTTAGAAAAGTATAATAAACACTTCCTTCTTTCTGATCCTAATCCCTATTGTGTTTATCTCTCTCTGTGTGTCTCTGTTTTCTCTCTGTGTTTAACCAGTGTTGAGAACCTGTATGGAGACCACAGCTTGAAGGTTGACGGGGACAGGTTTGGTGTTTGGTGTATAATTGCTGTCCGTCTCCTGCTTCTGTAAAGGCAAAGTGCTTCCTAAAGGACCGAGCTTGCTCCCCGAGGAACTGCAAACGAGCTTTTTCTCAAGCCTCAATTTAAGAATTGATCCTATTTCTATTAGGATTGTTCCCCCAGTGATGCCAGTTATTGCTAGCATAATGTTGCAAAGCTATTTGTGATTTTTTTCTGCTACTGTTATATAATATCGCCCCTTTCTTATATAATAGCTTGTTACGGTCTCGAATGCACAGCCTGAAAGGTCGGTGGAAGCAGATTCAATAATAACTTTCAAAAGGGAATTAGATAGGTAATTGAGAAGAAAAAAATTGAAAGGCTATGGCGTAAAAGCAGGGGAGTGGGACTAGCTGGTAGCTCTTCCAAAGAGCCGGCACAGGTCCGATGGACCGAATGGCCTCCTTCTGTGCTGTAGGTTTCTATAATTCTAACTTTTGCATTTGATATAGCTCAGTTACTGTCTATTACACGCACTAATGCAACTGTTAAGAAGAGGAGGTGTAAACGTAGTCTTGAGAACATCAATGGATTGTTTAATATAAGGAAGAGATAAAGTTTTCACGGCCGTTGCAATGGGATTTGGAAAGAATTTAGCACGAACTCAACCCTGGGCGGGAGCTCAGGGAAAGGAAATCCGCGTGAGGTCACAGCAAGCTCTCAAAGCAAATCAAAAGTGTTATCTATTTTGCTGCTGTTTGGAAACAGAGCAGAGAAAAATCCACAGCAACCTCCATAAGAACATAAGAAATGCTCGACGAAAAAAGACCGAGGTCCATCTAGTTTGCCTTCCACCTTCTTGGCGGTCGCCTGCACATATGTCCTAAGCTCCCTATGTGCTATATCCCATAATGTTATTTCCTACTGGAAAACTATCCAATCTGTGTTTAAAAGAATCAACATTTCCTGCTTCAACCATCTCCCCAGGGAGCCTGTTCCACAGTTTCACTATTCGCTCAACCATGGGATTCAAACAAAACTGAAGACTTTTATTCTCTTTTCTTGCCTTCAAGAGGGAGAAGGGGATAGAGGGGTGTGAGAGAGGTGATTAGGAGAGGTGGAGTGTGACAGGGGTGTGAGAGAGGCACGGGACTAGTGTGAATTGCCTGTTTCAGTGCTGCGCAGTCAATATGATTGTATGTAAATCTATGTAATTTCTATGTAATTCCAGATCCTCAGTGTCTTCAGGGACGATAACCATTAAATGTAAAGACCTGTGTGTCATGTACCTGGAGATTCCTGGTATGGAAGAATGTTTGAACATTGCAAGCTCTATTGAGGTAGTGTATGCTGCAGGGTGAGTCTTTAACTACGAGACACAAATTCCCATTTGTTCCCAAAAGACAAAAGGACAGGGAGATTTGGTTAGTGTTTACACAGAGATGTTAGGACATGGAATGTCTGTGACCAAAAAAAATTATGTTTGAAGAGAAAAAACATCTGGATACACGGTGTTACATCACACCCCACTTCCTGTTATAACATGGCTTCCCTTATAAGCGCTTTGGGACGCAGTCCTGCATGAGGGGTGCTACATAAATGCAAGTTGTTGTTGTCGCCGTGTGGATCCATGCTTACCTGGAGTACAGTACACACAGCTAAGTGGCTGAAAAAAAATGTCTGACTTCTGGTTCGTCAGGTTACCGCTTACATCACTTCCTTGCATGCGTGCTATAGAACAGGAAGTGTTGCTGATGCCAGCGGTGACCTAACGACCCAGAAGTCGGCCTTTTTCCCACTTTTTGCTTAAAACCCAGTCACTGAGAGATTGGACTCCGCAGAGATCATAATAAGGGGGTTTGCCCTGTGTATTCTCCAGGGGGAGAGGGGCTGTGGTCCCATTGATGTGGATGTTAACGATTGACATTTTCTGATGTAACATTTCTCTCTTGTCTCCTTTCTCAGGCTCTGTCATCTCTTCAGTCCATCACTCAAATGTACCCTTACTTCTACCGCCCCAAGAACCTAAATCGTCAGGAAGGATGGAACTTATTCACTACAGAAGAGGAGTTCACTCGGCTTTCTGCCAATGTTCGTATAATTACTGATGTTTTTCTCACAAAGAGCGGAAACTGTATTTTTTTAAGTGTTTCCCATTTTTATCCTGTTTAAAAATCCTTGTTAATTCCAAGTGTCTTCCTCCCCCTTTCCTGCCAAGCTGAACAGAAGCAAGAAGCTTTGTTGCTGGGGGAGTGACTATAGTATATTTATTCTCCATTGTTACCAACAAAGCCAAGAACAGACAGCAATTGACAGACCATTAATATGTCACTGGGCAATCAAACCTGCAATCCATGAATAATGTGGGGAACAGGGTGACTGTTATACTGTTGGGGATGCCCAGACAATGTATTCTCAATACAGTTGTTCTCTTGTGAAGACTATAATAATAATAGTCTTTGTGATCTGCCTCCGCTGCCTTTGACCACTCCATTCTTCTCCACGGTCTCTCCTCCCTGGTACAAGTGGAGTCCTGTAGCGAAGTGATTAGAGCACTCGCCTCACAAGCAAGAGGACCCGGGTTCGATTCCCAGGCAGAGCGAAACTTTAGGCAAGTTTTCTTACTTCACACACACCTCTGCTGAGCTAACAGTAAGTAGGAACCTGGTTGTTAGTCGATTGGTGGATCGCTTTCTGGGATAATAATCCCTTCAAAATATCCCCCCATGACATCACTCACTGGAATGCGTCCATGTCCACACGTGAGTAGAAGTTGTTGTTGTGTGGACAGACCCTCACCGTCCTGTGTTGTTCAGGAGAATTGATCGATCGATGGTAACTTTGCTCCCGCTCTGGCAGACCACTAACTGGAGACTCAGCTACGTGAACAAAGCCTTTGCCGTGTGCCCCACCTACCCTGACGCGGTGCTTGTGCTCAGGTCTGTGGATGACGAGATGCTGAAGGCGGTGGCCAGATTCCGGCAGGGTGGACGCTTCCCGGTACTCAGTTACTATCACAGGAAGAACGGGATGGTACGTGCGTGTGTTTGTCTATGCCCGGTTACGGTTCCTCTCTTCGCTTCCGTGGCCACTCATTGTAGCGCGAATCTGCTCACCCCCCAACTCCACTAACCGCCTCCACTGCTCATCTGGCTCCGGCTTCCTGCACATTCCTCGTCATCTCCGCTCCACCATCGGTGGCCGTGCTTCCAGCCATGACGGAACTCTCTGCCTCAGTCACTGCGACTTGCCTCCTCCTCCTTCTCCTCCTCCTTGCCGGTCTTCAGATCAAACCTGAAGATCTTCCTCTTCAATTATGCTTACGGTCACCTCCCCCATCTCGGTGTCAAGCGCTCTGAGACCCTACTCCATGCGATGGGCAAGTTGTTGCTGACTGATGTGGGAGATGTTGACCCCACTAGGTGATCATGCGGAGTAGCCAACCAATGCCAGGGGCCAACGGAAAGAGATGTAAAGAGGATGAACAGTTCTTGGCTGCTGTTCTTCAGCCAGACAGAAAGGGCTTCATCATTGAGACCAGGTCCATCCAGGCCACCCACCAGGCCAGGGTGAAGGGCGGAGGATTTGAGACCAAAGCAAATTATCCCAACTGGAAACGTCTCCACCGGCCAATAGATAGGTAAGGAAGCAAAGTGACGATTCTCTGCAATTCTGTGATGGTACATGCGTGTGTTCGATCTTAAATGATGTTCGATCTTAAAGGCTAAACAGTCTGACAGGGCGTCTCAGGGGGATGTATCGTCAGGTAGTGACGTCTCTCTCAGTGGCTTTCTCTCACACGCTCAGTGCTGTTGCTGTTATTGCAGGGGCCGAGGCCTGCAGGAGAGCCTGGTCAAGCTGGTCGACGCCTGCCATGATCAGTCCAACAGCATCGACCGGTGGCTGAATAAAATGGAGGCTTCGAAATGGCTGAGCCACGTCAAAACCATCCTGACCACAGCCTGCCTCGCCGCCCAGTGTGTGGAGAGGTAACAACAACTTGCATTTAGGTAGCGTCCCTCACGCAGGGTAGTGTCCCACAGCATAACAAACACATTTCAGGGCAAGAGCCAGAGAGCTGCTCGTGTTCCGAGACCAGTTACACGCTTGTCACAATTTACAACAGGAGAGAGTTCACTGGGAGGCCAGAGTATTATCCTGAGGTGTCAACGCATGTGCCTCACAACACATACATCGGGGTCCTCAGACATTCAGCCCTGAGGGTCCCTAATGCCCCAACAAAGCTCCTGATTGGAAGAAAGAACTCGGATGTTTACATCATCACGAGGCATCAAATTGATTTAAAAATAGAAATGACAATTATTAGACCCAAAGGAATGCATTTGCATTAATGTTTGAATAAGCTGAAGCTTTTCTGCTGTGACTTTACAGAGAAGGAGCGTCTGTGCTGATCCATGGCTCCGAGGGACGGGATGCCACACTGCAGCTCACCTCTCTGGCACAGATTATCCTGGATCCAGCTTGCAGGACTGTGTTTGGTTTCCAAGCTCTCGTTGAACGGGAGTGGCTGAAGGTACAAAGGAACGAACCACTGAACCATATAATGTACACAGCACAGAAGGAGGCCATTCGGCCCATCGTGTCTTGTGTTGGTACTTTAAAGAGCAATCCTTTTAGCCCCATACCTGCCCTTTGCCCTTAAAGGTCAAGCACTAGTGATTTAAATCCAGATAATATTTGTTAGAACACAGCACAACAACAACTTATCTGGCGCCCTTCAGGCCGAGTAGTGTCCCAGAGCGCTTAATTATAGAGTAACGTTATAGAGTAACAGCGTACAGGGCAAGGCCACCTGCTCCGCACCATAAAGGTTGGCCACCACTGCTTTAGAGAGCGGTCGTGTGGGTGACTTTGCCTCGACCGAATGCATTGTAGTGAAAGTGACTCACACTGGGTTTCCTCAGGCAGGCCACGCTTTCCAGCAGCGCTGTGCCAGCTCTGCGTACTCTCACGCCCGGCTCAAGCACGAGGCTCCCGTCTTCCTCATCTTCCTGGACTGCTGTTGGCAGCTGTGCCGGCAGTTCCCCTGCTCGTTTGAGTTCAATGAACGTTTCCTCATTGCGCTGTTCGAACACGCTTACGCCTCCAGCTTCGGCAGCTTCCTGTGTAACAATGAAAAGGAGCGGTATGTATTTCGCAGCTACTCTTACCAAAGAACAACTCGCCAACAACAACAACAACTTGCATTTATATAACGCCCTTCATAGTGGAATAATAATAATCCTTGCATTTGGTCAGGAGGGCGAACCAAAGTGCTTCATGCGATATACTGTAAAGTGTAGTAACTGTGTATTTTGCGGGCAAACACAGCAGCCAATCTGTGTCCCACAAACAGCCTCAGAGTGAGTGACCAATTTTATTTCTGGGATTGTTGGCCAAGAGTTCTCACCAGGAGAGAGAATCTCCCTGCTCTACTTGAATAGTTCATGGGATCTTTAAGAAGATACCTCTGTTTAATGTTTCGTTCGAAGGGCAGCACCTCCGACAATGCCCACTGCCCCCCAGCACTGGGCTGGAGTGTTAGCCCATATTACGCACTCAAAAGTCCCAACGTGAGGCTTAGTCATTTCCAACCTTTTGCACTTTTGTCTTCAGGTTCACTGAGAAGGTGCAGGATAATTCCATATCCCTGTGGGCCTGGGTGAACCAGCCGAGTCAACTCAACAAGTTCCTGAACCCACTGTATGAAAAGAACACTTTTGCTTTATGGCCTTCAGTGGCTCCACAGAGTTTGCAACTTTGGCAAGGTTTGTGTAAAATTCAGCACTCAATCAAGTGGAGCTTTGGGGTCAGAGACACAGAACCCTTCACAGAGGATAGTGTTGCATATCGAGCATAGGGGGACAGGTGCGGGTGAAGAGGTTAGATAGGTTTTAAGCAGCATTTAGAGATAGACGGCAGGTGGGAGGCGGCAGAGGGGTAAGAGAGAGGGTGTTTGAGAGATCACAAGGTTGGTTTGGATGAAGAAGGCTCTTAATGCACCATTTGATCTCATCTTCCTGGAGCGAGAGAGAGAGAAAGCGGAGAGAGTAAAAACTGTTCCATTTTCCAGTTATTTTCTCTTTTCCCCAGGTTTCCCCACCCCACCCCAATCTCTGTAAGGCACGAAGGAACTGTGAGGTAAAGTCAGAGAATGCACTTTGTAACTAGGGAATTTCCTGCACTTTGTCCCTTCAGGTTTATTCCTGAGATGGAACCGTTCTGCACAGCACCTGGAGGAGGCCTGGGACCAGACCACCCACATCATGGAGCAAGCCAAGAGGAAACCCACCCTCACAAACCAGGAGTCACCAGGGCAGGCAGAGTGAGCACTGCCAACGCCGACACCAGTAAAACTCACAACAATCCTTCTCACCACTCAGCCTCTGGAGATAGGAGAGAGGCCATCAGAGACGCACTGACCATTCTGCCGTTGCTGTTTCAAATATGTGCCTGTTTGTACTCCCTGTGCTAACACAGATCCAGCAATCCAAAACACTACCGTGTATGAAGGCAGGGTGCCGTTGTATATATAAGTTGTTGTTGTCTCCAAATTTCATCTCAGTGTTTACAGGTCGACATTGGAGTGGATTAGCTGCCCCGTTTGCCTACTTTACCAGCCCTCACTTTCATTTCCCATCAATTATATTTTGCAAAGGGTTTTGAGACCTTTGAATCCCGTTGAATGTTGTGGCCATTATAAGGGACCTCTTATTTAGCTTTGTGGCCGTTGTATTAGAGCCACAAATAGAAATAAATTGTCCTCACCTGGAAGCTGAGAAGCATTACTGTTTTGCTACCACTCGATGGCGACAGAACTCTTTATAAAAATAATAAATAATCCTTGCATTTGATATAGCGCTTTTCACGTCGGGGGGACGTCCCAAAGCGCTTCACAGAACACACTGTAAAGTGAATTGACTGTATATTTTTGTGGGTGATCGTGGCAGCCAATTGCGCACAGCAATGTCCCACAAACAGTCGTGGATTGAAAATGACCAATTTATTATTGTTTTGTTTTGGAGGATTATTATTAGGCTTTGTGTGGAGTAAGGAAACTTGCCCGAGGTTTCGCCCTCTGCCTGGAATTGAACTCAGGTCTCTCACTTGCAAAGCGAGTGCTCTAACCACTGAGCTACAGGACTCCACATAAAGCACCATTGTCGCCTTGTGGTAAAAGAAACTGAACACAACAACTGCATCTTTCCAATTAACGCAAAAGAAAATCCTCCAAATCAATGCAAAAGCTGAAAAAAGGTAGAAGATCCTGAATCCCAATGAAGAGTTTGCTAGAAACCAACTCCTTTGCTACAAATAAGACTTGTGTGGTAGAGCTCCTTGTGTTAGTTCAGATGAAAAAGACCCATCGGCACATCTGATCTCATCCTCCCATCACAGCACGTTTTTAATTAAGTCCCAGTATCCTGGCTCAAACACCCGCCTGGAAACCTGTTCCAGTCATTAATTACCCTTTGGGTACAGAGCAACCTAGCAAAGTGTTGTTTTGCAGTATTAAGATATTGCTTGTTTTATAGTATTATTAGTAACACCTCCCTGCTCCCTTTTCTCCCTATTTAGTATCATAATGTCAGTAAATGTGGAGTCGTCCAGCGTATCAGTTAGCACGCTCACCTCGCAAGTGAGAGGACCTGGGTTCGATTCCCAGGCAGGGTGAAAGCATTCACCTCCAGAATTTGGCATTTAACTGTTTTAACCCTTCAAAACCTTCAACGTGGCAGCCAACTGTACACAACCATGTCCCACAAACAACAACAACAAAATTACATGTGTAAAGGCCTTTCACGTCGGGAGGATGTCCCAAGGCTCTAGACAAACAGAGTTATGGACCCGAGCTGAGGGTTGGGGTCGGGGAGGGTGGAGGGCAGGGGGGGAAGCAGGGAGATTGAAAGCACGGTTGAAGAGGTGGTGAGGGAGGGGCAAGGCGGAGGGACTGCGGGATAGAATTCCAGAGAGTGGGGGCAGAGTGGCAGAAGGCCTGCCCACAAATAGTGAGGAGAGTGAGACGGGGGATATGAAGCTGGCCGGAGCCTGCTGAGCGGAGGGAGCGAACAGGATGGTAGGGGGTTAGGAGGTCGCAGAGATAGGGGAGGGCTTTGAAGGTGAGAATCAGGATCTTGAACCGTATCCTCTGCGTGATGGGAAGCCAGTGGAGTTGGGTGAAGATGGGGGTGATGGGGTCACAGAGCCTGGTGCAGGAGAGGACACGGGCTGCAGAGTTCTGGATGATCTGCAGCCTGTGGAGGGAGGAGTTGGGGAGGCCAACAAGCAATGAGTTTGCATAGTCGAGCCTCGATGTAATGAAGGCGTGTATGAGGTTTGTAGATTGATTAATTGGATGAATTATTACCTTCCAAAAATATAGATCTGATACGGAGCACTGCACTGGGAGTTTGGTTACTGCAGTAATAAAGCATTATTCGAGAATGATTCACTTTATAATATACATTTCCTAATCTTCAAATAATCAGAGAAAATTCCTGTAATAATAACTTCTACATATGATATAGCAGCTTTTGAGTTGACATGATAACTCAAAGCCTGTCACATGATATAGACGAAAGTGGAATGACTGATTGTATTTGTGGGTGAACGTAACAGGTGTGTTTGATATTGAATTTTCCACAAGTCTGACATTTCTGACTCCAGCAAACAATGACATTGACATAAACTAGCCAGGTCGGGGGACACAACCAGGTGTGGGGTTTTACACCGAACAAATAAACAGGTGATTCTGGATATCACCTTTAGGTAAACATCAGTTACCAGTTAAAAACGCCGCAGGCAAAGGTTCTTTGGTCCCAATGAACCACGAGCAGTTTTCTCAATCAGACATTACGGCACAACAGTGACGTCACGCTGTGTCTGATCTCTAGCTTCTTGTTTCTGGATTTCCAGCCTGTTCTGTGGACGGTCAATGCACAACAAGACTTGAATTTACACAACACATTTCACACAGGATGGGTTCTCAGAGCACTTAAAAGTGGTGGAGCCTGACTCCGAGCCGGGAGCGAGGGGCCAAAGTCCAGTTTTAGGAATAAAAGTGTTACTATCACTGTGTTAATGATGATAATATTAACAGCTTTCATCTGTTAAGTCCCATTTTTGGCTGTGAGTGGTTTGTTCCGTGTGAGCAAACACAAGAGAAAGAGAAAGCGAAGGATTGCCAGTAGAGTTTTGCAGAGTTGCCTTTGAGCAAAAAGCTGGAGTAAACGGATTAGGTGGAGAGCAGCAAAGCAGCGGCAGCTACATGGGTGAACAGAGCGAGAGAGAGAAAGAGATATCCCTGGAGCTTTGTCACTGTGTATACGGTCCACTCTGTAGCCTTATTGTCCGTGTGAAATGGAACAAGAGAACATCGACAAGCCCCAGAGTGCTGGCCTCCATCATAACCAACCAATCGCCAGCGAAGTGCTCAGAGAGCCAGAGACAGGAAGACAGCCAACCCCATGGAAGCTTTAATTCTTAAGATTAAATGATTGCTCTAAGCCACTTACTGCCAGCGGGCAGCTAACCTTTGCAGGGAACCTCCTGACTGACTACCTTACATGTAGCAGAGCTGGACACTGACTGGGGTAAGTTACTAACAAACTTTAAAAAAAACTAAATGTGAAGTTTCTGTCAGACATAATAGGTTCAAAAAGTGGGGGAGTTGGAGGGAGGGACAGGGATTAATAACCTGTTTTATCTTTCTGGTCCTGTGGTGTGGACCTGCACTGTATAAGGTAGGGTTTCAAACATGCTAGCTTTGTTTCAAATGTTCCTGTGTGATGGGCGCTGTATAAATGCACGCTGTTGTTCTGTTTTGGGTTCAACATACAGTATTTGCCACTCTCCTCAATTTAGCTTGTTCGTAGTTTTACAATGCTCGCTCTAATTTCACACGTGGAATAATTTATAACAAGTGGTGCTAGCATTAGTAACCTGATACACTGCTAGATGCTATCAGCTCCTTTTCTCTGAATATCTGTAATAATCTAAACTTCGCCCATCTAAAATTACCTTTTTATTTACTAAAAATTAGCAAACAGCATTTTTATGAAAATTACCGAGAATGTTTTTTTTCGAGGGAAAAAACAATAATTTGCTCAATGAATCCACGACTGTTTGTGGAATGCTGCTGTGCGCAATTAGCTGCCGAGTTTCACCCACAAAATAGTCAATTAACTTTACAGTATTTTCCTGAAGCGATTTGAAACATCCCAACCAAGTGATAAGGCGCTATACCAAATGCAAGGATTATTATATACTTTTTAATGTATCTAATTGTTGCTCTGATTTGTATAGATTAATACGTTTTAATGTAAAGAGACTGTACGTTGAGTCGTGAAAGATATGAGAGATGTGAGACAGTAATAATAAGGATGAAATTCTCAAAAACGTTTACCGTGATGAAAATGCTGAACTGTAACAATCCACCAAAAACACCCACAACGAGTTAAAGGCTCATTAATCAAATGAACCCATATTCTCATATGAATACAAGGGTGCGTCAAACACAAATAGATCTAATTTATGCAACTCCAATTTACAATGAGATTGTTTCAAGTTGAGTTTCTAGCAGAATTAAATAGACGGTGCTTTATCACTGACAAATATAGATTGGTTATAATCAGCATCTTTTAATGCGCTAGTGTAAAAAAATCAATTAAAAAGAAAGGCAACTAATTTTTCCTTACTCCACATGATTAAGTAAGTAGGTAAGTAGGAACCCAGTTGTTAGTCGCTTGGTGGATCACTTTCAGGGGGTAATAATGGCTCAAAATGTTTTGCATGACAGTTTGTGGGACAATGCTGCGCGCAATTAGCTTCTGCATTTCAAGTACAGTCAATCCACTTTACAATAGATTCTGTGAAGCGCTTTGAGATGTCTCATCAAAGTGTTAAGGCACTATATCAAATGGAAGGATTATTACTATTATTAGTACTGAATAAAGTTACACCCTTTGTTTCATTCCTTTTATATAATTTGGCCTCAGACTCTGTATGACGGGTGAGATAGGGCAACTTGTGTACTCCATTGCAATGCCAATAAACAGAAAAAAAAATTTCAGCACAGATAAGGAGAAAGGTTTCTTGTTTGTTCGTGTGGACAGAGATGCAGGGAAGTCTGCGACGATCTGTGCTGAGAGGCTGGAGCTGCCCGTGTGGGCTCTGGGCGTCACCTCAAGGGTGGGTTCAGACTCTGAGCTGGTCACCTCGACAGCTGATCAGCGAAGGTGATAGGGGAGCCAGGCACACCGAGGTCACTAACAGCCAGCACCCCAGGATCCTGATCACAGGTCTGGCACCCATCACTGCGATTGCTTGCGTACTGAGTGTCAGCGTCCTTCAATTTAATGCTCTGTCACATAGTAACTTGATTGATGCTTGCTTGACCTTCCTCTTCGACTATACTTATGGTCATCTCCTTCCTCTCCCCCAGCTTGGCGCCAGGCTCCGCCACTGTTAAGCTTTCTGAGATGCTGCCCCACATGAAGGGCACCATATAAATGCAAGTTGTTGTTGATCGTTTTATTCATTGTTTCGTGGGATTTTGAGGGTGGTAAAGGATTGTGTAGTTTATGTTGCTCAAGCCTAGGGAATAGAGTATATTGGCCTCTGGTGCCTCTGTAGTGTACAATCACTGCTAAAACATTGTTGCTGTGTAGGTATAGTAATTGGTAATACTCCGTCCATAGGGTCTGTCTGTCTCATTTATTTGCACGTTGCTTCCCATGTTTGCTTAAGCCATGTGCTTTGGGTCTTTTACACTTGGAAAAAGAAGTCATTAATCAATTGGGGGGGTTGGGGGGAGAATGTATCCTTGACTCTCATTGGTTTAAGATTATATATTATCCAGCGCAATGATGATTCATGTCCTATGTGAGACAAATATCAAGATTGTTCAGACTTCTTGTTGTTGCACACGATAGAATTGTTATTTAAAGCAATGCGATTAATCTTTCGTGTCTTCTCTTGTCGCCTGTTACGGTTTAGGTAGTCTGAGGCAACTGGGCTTCGGACTTGCACAGCTTCTTAGGTGAGTCCAGGTACTGGGGCACAGCTTGACTCATTTGAGACCCATCTCCTGTTCTCAACCAAAACAGTTGCTTCACTTTACAGTATATCAGGTGAAACCCTTTGAGACGGGTCAACAATGTGATAAGGTGCTGTACCAAATGCAAGGATTATTATTGTTCTGTTTCTGACTCGCTTCCTGACGTAACTCCTTGACGTTCTTTTCTGTCCTACAGAAAATCCTTTGGAAGGAACAATGTCAATCTTTCTGATATCCGGAGACCACCAGATGTGATTTTTGAAAGCGGTGAGTGACAGTGACAGACGTTGTTACAACACAATCCCAGGCCTGCCTCCTGCACCAGTGAACGGTGTAATTATTCATTGTCATTTGCAGGTCCCTTTGTCTTTGCTGATGTTCTCGACTACAAGAATCTACGGGAGTTAGTGGTTAACAACCAAATCACCTGGCTGATCCATTATAGTGCAGTTAGTGAAGCCAATGGACCATTAGCTCGCAGTGTCAACATTACTGGTGAGTAACACAGAGAGAGACTGATTGTTTATTGTTTCAGATTTTTTTTAAACATCTCATCTGGTTAAGGGTAGAACAGTGCTCTGCTGGACACTAAGATACGTTAAGATACAGCTAGAGCCAGCATTGAGGCAAAGGAGGCGACCGTCTGGAGCAGTTACTTTTTTACCCGCCTCGAGCTATAAATGTGACCGCACAATAGAGATCTCCCATTAGAAGTTTAGCAAGTCAATGCCTCAATGGTGATAAATGTGAACAATTATTGTCCTTCTTGGGTATTATCTGGTGTCCAGACATAGGTATAAAAGTACTAATACAAACGTGTGCCCGTATATCTTTTTCTGGGTTATTTAGAGACTAGCCAGTGGTTTGATGTATCTCTTTGCCATTTCTCCCCAGGTTTGCACAATGTGCTCGGTATTGCTTTGGAAAACTCTGTGCGTCTCTTTGTCGCCAGCACCATCGGAGCTTTTGGCCCGAGCTCTCCCAGGAATCCTGCTCCTGACCTGTGTGTGCAGAGGCCTCAGACCATCTATGGTGTGTCCAAGGTACACGCAGAGCTAATGGGGGAGGTGAGCAGTTTGTCTTCACACCCCTTTATTTGAAAAATGCCTTGTCTTGTGCTTCTCTAATCCAAACCTTGATTGGTGGATCGGTAATAGATGCACATGTAATAATAACCCTTGCATTTGATATGGCGCCTTATCACGCCTCAGAGACATCTCAAAGCACTTCATGGGACACACTTGGAAGTGAATTGACTGTATATTTTGTGGAGGAAGGCATATTAAAAGTGCTACATCAAATACAAAACGTTATATTTTTAAGTAACATTCTAATTAAAATGTTTGAAGCTCCAGAAGCACTTGCCTGACCTGGAGGTCTCCTACAAACCAGACATAGTCCAGCAGAGTATTGGTGAGTAGTGTGTCAATCACACGTCCTACACACAAGGGGCTAGCGACTGAGCCAAGCTGCCGCCTCTATCAGCAAGAAATAATATAAATCACTCAAGTGTAAAATCTGAAATTGATAAGATATATTTGGGGAAGGAGTCCCACACAAACATCCAGTATAAGCTGGTAGTGCCAGCATTCATTACCCTCCCCACGTACCTGGCTCAGAGGAAGGGCTGGAGTCTGTCTCAATGTCCTCGGCCTTTGTCAGTGTGGTTCCATGTCTGTCCAGAGGTGGATGAAAAGAGCAGTTTTTTCCCTAATGCAGAAATGCTTTGTCCCCAATCAGAAACTGCCACAGAAGCATACCCCAGGCTAGGAAGCCACATTGGGAATGGGAGCCTTAACCTCATGCATTCAGGTGAAGAGAATCAAATATTATGGAAGATGTTTAATGTCTCACTACAGGGTTTCATTGCTCAGCATGTGTCAGGAGCTCGTTGCGGTGTATACTTTTTTTAAATTAAATTGTCCAACATAGGGATTTGTGACCAGTACAAATTTTGGAAACAGTGCAGTTTCTATAGTCTCAGGTCAGACCATTATGACCCAATGAATTAGAGGTTGAGTGCTTTTACACCAGTAAATGATTTTTGCTTTGGGATTAGGAATCTCAATCGGTCTCAAATTCAGTCACCACCGTATAGAAAGCAGAGGAACAGAGAGAGAGAGAGAAAATACACTGGACAGAATGTTACATGGTTGAAGGAAGAAGTCACCACAATTACTCTGCAAATCTCTTATTTGGTCTGGCCTCAAGCTTTCAGTTTAACCGAATGAGCTCCTCATCAGCACACTCTCAATTTTCCTCTCACCCGAATACAAATCAAAATCTCAGTTTGGGCACTTAAACGGACTGGAATATTTGCCACAAAAACTGCCATTTATTCCATCGGACCAATACAAAACACACTGAACCAAACTCTTTAACCAGCTGTGTTCCCAGCTAATCACTTCAACTAGTAAATGGTAAAAGTTCAAGTTTCAATTCATATAAGATATCAATATTCTGTGGGTGTCTGGCAAATGTGCCCCAAATATAAGGTTAGATAGTTCAATTGGCATTTTCATTCCCATTTCTGCAATCACGAGGTTTAATAACATCCTCTACAAATGTTTCACTGTAGAATATCTATTCCAACTGCACGGGGGCAAATATTATACATTTACACCTCAGTGGTTGTTGAGAAAGCATAAAAGTTATTCCACAATCTTCTGTATTCATTTAGATACAATTAACAATCACCATGTCAAATTTCACTTTAAAACTCAAACTCAAATTCAAAGTACGGTGGATCGAAATTATGTATTCGCACGTAACCATCTTCACCTCCGCTACTGTAACTGTAAAGTAAGGAAAGAAAAAGAAGTTTAACCTTATAAATATCAATATTACTGCAACAAAGATTTCAGTCTGTGCCTGCCTCTGAAAGTTAGCTTACATTTTAAAGTAACAGAACAAAAGTGTTTCCGGGCAAGTTCATTTATTTTGTTTTAATTGTGAAAGAGTATGGACGTTTACCAACATACCTTTTGCCGTCTGGGTGGAAAGCTACACTGTTGATCGGTCCAAAGTGACCCTTCACTCGACCAAACTCTTCTTCAAATGACAAATGGAAAAACCTAGAAAAGGAAAAATGAACAGATTGAAACATAAGGCTTTATAAAAAATAACCTGTAACTGATATCGTTCCTCGTGAGGTCATAACTTTAAGGCGCTTCTTGAGCTGCTTCAAAAGGTCTGTATTTCAACTTTCCAAATGCTGCACATTAACTGCATTCCTCATGACTCAAATTAACTGTCATGATTTTGAACTTTAATCACAAAGCGCGTAGATACTGCAAACAAAGCCCAAGTTGAATTAATTCCACACCATCTTTCAGCTCTTACCTGGCCTCAAATTTTCCAATTCTGGTTGAGGTGGTTGTCACATCCATAGCTTCCTGCCCACCACCAAGGACAACCTATCACAAGACAAAACCCAAGTTCAGAGACAATCTTAATGGTACACAAAGCGAGGATATGGCTGCATTTAAAATAAACAGTATGATCTCCCTTGCTAGAGTTACAGAGTGTTCCTGATTACACCTAGTCAGTTAATTGAAAGAGAATGAAGGTTGGACAGAGTTGAGGCACCAAGCAGTCATATTTAAAGGAAAGGTTGTCAAATTGGACAGGCTGAACTAGAAATAATCTTGGTTTTATAATGCAACTGAAGCCCTGCATGAAGCTAAATGCAGCAAAATCCATGGTGCTGCTTCCTGGTCAAAAGATTTAAAGATCTGTCAGGAAGCAACCGCCTCGCAGTCAGATCTCAGGCAAGATCACGCTGTATAGTTACCATTCTATTTTACTACAATGTTCATAGAGGTCTTCATAGAGGGTTGGGCGGGGGGGAACAGCAGTCGGGAAGGATGAAAGGAACGTCTATATTGCAATCCGAGTTCCATTCAAACATAAGAGTTGAATAGAATTCTCACTGACGTCCCCGACCGCATGCTTTCAGTGAGAACCCATACTAGCTTTAATCGGCAGGCAGGTCATTATTGGACAGTCAATTAAACATAGAGAGTGCCATTTTTCATTAGCAATGGCACTTTGGAAACTGTCCCTGAACATCTGGTTCCAGATGATTTGAGCCACAGATGACGTGCACTCAGGATGAATGAGCTGAGCTGCTGTAAATGGGGTGTGGAGATCACAGAAATATACCCACACTGTAACCCTGACTGAATAAAATGTGCTGAAATGTACCCACTGCAACAGCAGTTTTAAAATAGCTAGAAGTAGCTGCTTCAGGTCACTAAATCGAGGCTGACTAGCAGTTTGGTCACATCAGGGACTAGGCTTTAATCGGACTAGAAGGCAAATCTTGCAGACTGTGGAAGGAGAGATCATCCCTCTAAGGGTTAAAGGAGGAAGCAGTTCTGTCAATTTCAGAGCAGGCCTCAGCAATGGGGAAGCAGATAACATACACCAATAACCCCCATCTCCTAGGCAGTGAGGCAAAACTCATTTAATTGAAAATGACTTTCTATTAAAGCGAGTGTCCACAAAGGGTGATATATGAGGAGCTGCTGCATCTTCATGGGTAATGATAGCATTATCAGCTCTCTACCATCTACACCATTATTAGGGAGGGAACATAGAGACAGAAGATAAAAGTCAAAGGTGGTGCTTTGCATTGCAATAAATGAAGAGAATATTAATCCTGCCTCAGTTGCCCTGTCCTATACAGCAGTAGAGAATGTTTTATTACACAACAGAAGATCTTAGATTTAAAAATGTTTTGTTTGTACAGGAACCACCAAACATTATAGAGATTTCAATTAATTTCTGGATCATTTCAAAATAATTCCTAATCTTTCTTTCGGAATAAGAACATTTCTAACTTTAACAATTAGCAATATTCTTTCATTCGATTTAAACAGCAATATCTCCAGTGAATTCTCAAGACAGATTAAAGCACTGCATAAAGAAAAACAGTGTGCATAACAATTGCAGGATGTTTAAGCAAAGTTTTCATTTGCTTTTCTTCATTGCAAAGTACATCTTCACAATAAAAAAAAATCAATGGCTTATTTTGTCCACTCAGTTTTGTGCCACTTACATGCTCCAGAATAGGTGAGATGGCAGCAGAATTCACAGGACGTTCAGTTTTGAATGACTTCAAATGTTCTAAAGTTGCAGAATCAAATAACTGTAATAGATTGAGATCAGGAAGAAATCAGGAGATTAACAGAAATTCTGAAATGTAACCGAATCTTCTACAAATAAGAGCTTGGATTTCAGAACTTACTACATCAACGTACAGTGCATTCAGTACAGACCAGCTACTCACCACAAACTGCTAATACAGTAACTTGAATGTACAGAATGTATTTAATCTAAAAAAACAAATACCTCAAAGAGCTTTAGAAAAGATAATTGATTAGAAATTAAGTGAATGCGTTACACAGGCAGATTACGTGAGCGTGGATCATGGCATTTCAACTTGTTGTCTAGTTTATACCAAGATCCTTACATTTAAAAACTTCCAAAGGGCAAAATGGAGTTCACAAAATTGGACAATAGAAAGATTTTTTTTAAAAAATGGAAAATGCTACTGAGTTCATCCAGAATGTCCTCTGTATCAAAAAAGTCGAATGTTTCATCCATTTCGGATCAGGCATTCTCAAAATATTAAATGGATGTAAAAGTTTTTCCCCACACAAGAGAAGCTTGTAGTCGGTAGCAGACATTGTGAGCCGGACCAGTTCAGGTACTCGTTCTGATTAATTATACAGCTCTACAATGACAGACACTCTGTCAGGCAACCGTGAACTCAAGATAACACAATTGCATTCACCAGCTGATTAACAGCTCAGCCAATTTGCACATTGGGACATACATTATTTAACTATGAATGATATTAACATGAAATTGATTCCACAAATGACCTCCAAAAGAGACGCTGAATAGCTGGAAATGACTAATGTAAACTTGACTAGAGTCCATATCTGACCTGGACTTATTATCCATCATTATTATTATGGAATTCAATCAGATGGATTAAATTAACTTATTTTTAAATAGCTCCCAAATTGTATTCATAATATAGGTGCCAACTTGGCTCAGTTGGTAGCACTATTGCCTCTGAGTCAGAAGATGGTGGGTTCATGTGGGTTTCTGAGCACAAGTGTTCCTCACCTTCGCAGTGTTGTCCTTTGAGGCAGTGATGAACATGGTCAGATCCAGGGATGTCTGGATGTCATTAATTTGCTTGGTGTGCTCTTTAGCTTTCACTAACACTTCCCCAGACTGTCGGGAGATAAACATCATCAGGAAGAGAAACTGAAGTAATTACAACAGAAAGAAACTTATTTTCATTTTATTATAAAGCATTTAATTAACTCTTACATCATTTAGGTGTCAGTTTGGCTCAGTTTGCCTCAGAGGCAGATGTGGTGTGGGTTAAAGCCCATTGCTATGACTCGTAATTCAATTTTTCTATTAATGCTCCAATACAGTTGGAATTGATGTCCAAAATTGGTTATTGCAGTGATCGCTGTAAATCACTGAGAATTTTGAGACATCTTTCCAATGTGAAAAACGTTTATATAACTGCAAGGATTATCATCATGGCATCAAATTGTATTCTGAATAAGCTCAATATTTCTAACCCTTATATAAATTGCTTCTCCATGTTGGGATGTCCTCCCAACGTGAAAGGCGCTCTATAAATGTAATTTTGTTGTTGTTGGTTGTTGTCTAGCCATAAAATGCACCAATCATCATCAATGTGCTCTGAGACGCTACTCTGTGTGGAGGGCACTATATATAAGTGCAAGTTATTGTTGTAATGTGCATCAAGCAATATGCAATACTCGGGCTGGATATGCTCAGTGGAAGTCAACTTTGCTGCAATCAGCGCTTACCTTGGCACTGTACTGGATTAATTCGCCATTCTCATGCCCAGCAATGACGTACTCTCCCAGAGGACCCCAAACGGCACTGGTTATCTTCGACTCACTGCATGGAACCTTCATGTACGGCTCATTATCACCTAAGGAAAAAGATGGATTGATTTTTTTAAAAAAAGCAAATTGTACAGCTCAGCATTCCGAAATGCTATCCTTCATGAAATGCAAGCTGCTGGAGACAACCCGTCATGAATTAAAGGTCAAGTAATGGAGAGAGTTTGCGTCTCTCTCGTAAACCCGGCTGTGGGTCTAACTGGGGAAGAATCAAAAACAAACGCACAGTGCGCCTGGTGTCTTTAGCCTAAATAAGTGGGAGCATCTTGCTTCAAACTGCCCGATTAGAAATGAGGCAGCAACATAAACATCAAAACAAAACGTGGTCGTATTCTATATACAAGAGAAAACATACCAAAAGGACTCTTACAAACAATTGTCAAACACTGTTAATTATCCCTATTCTTTAAACAATGAGCAGTAGGATATTATTTTCTGCACAACGGGCCTGTAACTCTCTATAGTCTGGTTTCCTCGCCATATACACAGTGCCATCTCGTGGAGACAACGCATGTCTAATTCAATTTTCTAACCTCTAGAAGAATTTACCATAAAGCCAGTCCAATGACTAGACTGTCCGCTCACTTAGAACTATTTAGCTCCTTGATTGAACGGTTCCTTTCCAGCCATCAGCACGTATTTGGTGAATTGTACACTAACCTCCCCTCTCGACACTCTACCCACTCCTCGCTCCCTCCCTTCCCTCCCCTCACCCTGACCATTTCCCCCCCGCTTGGGTCCCGACCCAACTGCCCAGCGCCTTGGTACGTCCTCCCGACATGAAAGGCGCTCTATAAATGCAATCTTGTTGTTGTTGTAATTTCTAACTTAGAAATGGAAAACAATTTTGAAAGAAGGCACAAAAAGGAGGTGGCTAAAAAACATAGGCCTTAATGAGATGTGCCAGAGTTCCTGTGACAATTTTACTCTCGTTGCAATGGCCGTTACTGAATATCATCTCTATATACTGACTTCAACACTCAAGTTACAAAATTCAGAACACTGAATTGCTACTCAAGTTGAATTTAAATCAGGCTCCATTTTGCACTGATCAAGACAAATTTCTCATGAAATATTTAACTGCAGCAACCTGTAACTGATCTGATCCTAAAGACCGAAATCTCATTCCAATCCAGAATGACACTCAACAGTACACTTTGCCAACAAAACACAGTCACTACACCCTACAATAAATCCTGTGAAGCCTTTTGAGACGTTTTGACAACACAATAAGGAGCTCGTCAAATACAAGGCTTGCTATTATTTTACTTATGACCATTTATCCTTACTTATCTGAGCAGGGTCCCGGATGTCAAAGAAACTTATGTAACAATGGTATCCCATCTGTTTGTCCGTTGTGAACATGACAATGTTGCCACTGAAATCAAATCCGCATGTTCTGACTGCAGAGCTTGTTTCAAACAGAGCGAGCTGTTTCCCTAATATAAGAAAAATCAGATGAATGTGCAAATAAATAACAGCATATAACACTACAAATATTGAAACCATCAAAATGCTGATTAATAATCCACACAAATGTACTTGGACTAAAAGATTCTGCTCAGCACAAATTTTCCACTTTATCTCACATTACTTTGTACTACAGAAAGGCAAAACATTAATTTAAATGTACATTTTTTTTAGAAAAAATAAGAACCCAAAATATACCACACTTTTAACATAAGGTTCACAGCACTATGACTCATTTACTTTAATATCTGTATATAGAAATAACCTAGAGAATACATTGGATTTTATACCTTATATCTATCGAGATAGAACAAATATAACTACAAAAGCAGTATTAAAGTCTCTCACCTGTTTCACAGTCCCAAAGCCTACATGAGTTATCTGCAGAACCAGAAAGCACTTGCTTTGTGTCCCCTGATCAGTAGGTTAAGGAAGTGGATACAGTTTGGACCAAAAGCTTGTAAATTTAAAACACACTATCAAAAGGAGCAGGCCATGCAGTGGAAAACTAATGGGGGTAGTTTTGTTCCATTAACTCATTTCTCCATTAACAAGTGCATCAAATCTAACTCTAAAGTCAACTCCTCAATATACAGTCTTATAAAACTTCTAAAAAATGTCAAGTTCCTCAAATTTGTTGCAAAAATCAGTCTGTTGTAGCTTTTCTGGTCCTGTATTTCCTTGTATGGTATTTAATGGAACAAGTTCAGTTTCTTTCATATTAAGGATACAATCCACATCCACACACCACACTGCTCCAGTGTGTCCATTGTAGGTGCCAAGTCTTTCGCCATTCAGAGAGTACCAGCCATTGACGATCTGTCCAAAACAGAGACCACAGAATGAATGCATGATAGTGAGGTTAACAACAACAAACAACAAAATTACATTTATAGAGCGCCTTTCACGTTGGAAGGACGTCCCAAAGCGCTGAACACTATCACAAACAACTATCACAAACATACAGTCAGTTTCACCAGCCACAGGTAATGCAACAACTTTGTCCAGAAATGAGGTCAACTTGACTGAAAGAACAAACCCCAAACACTCTGCCAAGATATAATGAACTAGTGGACCTAGAGGACGTACAAATAGCTTCATCTCCCCCCACCCCAAACAGAACCAGGTTCAAGTGTGATGCCAGAACTGTACCCCACCATCTTAAAGGGGAATTCTGTAAAAAGCAAAATTATATTCATGATTGAAAAATGCCAAACACATTTTAAATATACTTACAGTATCCTTAGCACAGGAGAACAACAGATCACCTTCTCTGTTGTACTTAATCTGCGTGATTGATCTTTCATGACCTTGCAACAAGATGGGTTTCTGACAGAGGAGGGAAAAAAAAGGATGCAACATATTAAAAAGGTACATTTGCCGGAAAACAAACAACATTACATTTGTATAGAGCCTTTCACGTCGGGAGGACATCCCAAGGTGCTGGACGGTGTACAGCAATACAAGTATCACCATTCAATGTGATGTCCTTAAATAGATTGTAATAAAACTGTTCAGCAAATTACATTTTAACTTCAAACCGTCACAGCTTTGGGGAACAGAACGTCAGACATCGCAAGAATTACTGACGAAATAAGCAAAATTACTGTAAAGAGCTGAGCCGGTGTCAGAGATCAGCCCCGGCAAGTACAACCGCAAATAGTCAATGGGGTGAATAGCATCCTACTGTGCCTGTGGGCCTGCGGGGGGAGTGCTGAGGGGATAGGAGGGGTACAGGGGGAGTGGAGAGGGGGGTACAGGGGGAGTGGAGAGGGGGGTACAGGGGGAGTGGAGAGGGGGGTACAGGGCAAATGGAGAGGGAGGTACAGGGGAAGTGGAGAGGGGGGTACAGGGGAGTGGAGAGGGGGGTACAGGGGAGTGGAGAGGGGGTACAGGGGGAGTGGAGAGGGGGGTACAGGGGGAGGAGTGGAGAGGGGGGTACAGGGGGAGTGGAGAGGGGGGTACAGGGGAGTGGAGAGGGGGGTACAGGGGGAGTGGAGAGGGGGGTACAGGGGAGGAGTGGAGAGGGGGGTACAGGGGAGTGGAGAGGGGGTACAGGGGTAGTGGAGAGGGGGATACAGGGGGAGTGGAGGGGGTACAGGGGGAGTGGAGAGGGGGTACAGGGGGAGTGGAGAGGGGGGTACAGGGGGAGTGGAGAGGGGTACAGGGGAGTGGAGAGGGGGGGTACAGGGGGAGTGGAGAGGGGGTACAGGGGGAGTGGAGAGGGGGGTACAGGGGAGTGGAGAGGGGGGTACAGGGGGAGTGGAGAGGGGGGTACAGGGGAGTGGAGAGGGGGTACAGGGGGAGTGGAGAGGGGGGGGGAGTGGAGAGGGGGGTACAGGGGGAGTGGAGAGGGGGGTACAGGGGGGTGTCAGTAGCCCTCGGGCACTGCTCGCCTCCGCTTTAAACAGCAAAATCTTCCCGGGGAAAAAAAGGCGGCGCTTCGGTCCCTTCATCCCCCCTCTCCCTCTCTCCCGGGGGGGCCGGGCCGGGCCGGCCTGGCAGTGAGGGAGGGAGGCCGAGGCCTGGCGTCAGGACGGGGTGGGAATCGCTAATGGCGGCGGCGGTGTGACAGCAGCTGTTCCTGAGGCGCTGGCGGGCGATGTCTCCCCCCACTCTCCCACTCCCCTCCTCACTCCCCCCCACCCACTCTCCCCCCCCCTCACCATGGTGCCGGGGCCGGTGGCGGGAGCAGCGCGTGCGGAGCCGAACGACCGGAAGAGAGGTTCAACCCCTGGTCGCCCCGGAAGTAAACCCCTCCAGCCTCGGAGGGGGGAGCGGTTGCCATGGTGACGGCCGGTGGGTTCATATTATATTATATTATAATAATCCTGACATTTGGGGACCCGGCGCCGAGCCCCCCCCCCCGGCCCTCACAGCCCCCCCCCCCCCGGGCCTCACGCCCCCCCCCCCCCCCCCCCGCCCCCCCGGCCTCACAGCCCCCCCCCCCCCGGGGCCTCACAGCCCCCCCCCCCGGGCCTCACAGCCCCCCTCCCCCCCGGGCCTCACAGCCCCCCCCCCCCGGGCCTCACAGCCCCCCCCCCGGGCCTCACAGCCCCCCCCCCCCCGGGCCTCACAGCCCCCCCCCGGGCCTCACAGCCCCCCCCCCGGGCCTCACAGCCCCTCCCCCCGGGCCTCACAGCCCCCCCCCCCCCCGGGCCTCACAGCCCCCCCCCGGGCCTCACAGCCCCCCCTCTGTCAGACTGTGGCTGTGATGATCACGGGGGGGGGGGGCAGTGTATTCTTTCTCTCTGACTCTCACCGTATCAGCCCATCAATCTCACTACTTATTGAGAGCTGCCCCCGATTTCCCGTTGATTCCCGTCAGTTTGGTGATGTTTACAGGACAAATAACAACAATCCTTTTTAATGACCAGTTTATGTTGGCAACCAGTCCCCCCCCCCCCCACGTCCAGCACGACGTTGGCGAATAGTTTCAGGGATTTTATTGCTGATGATCTGTGGGATTGGGGATGTTTTTCTGCCTCTCGCGGCCCGTGTCCGGCAGTTTGTTGATGCGGTTAATTCCTGTTATTTCAGTGGAGGTTTGCTGCCTTCTGCTGGTGGCGCTGCTTTGGGGTGGAACAAACCCCTTTTTGAAGAAAGGCACAGAGGGGATAGAGAAGGTTAAGACTGGGAATATGGTCACTCAGGTCTTGGCCGAGATGAAATTTTTATTTCTTAATTACAAGGTAAGAAGCGCGCGTTGAAAACACACCGAATGAATACTCTGTACTCTTAACTTGATTAAATACCGCAAACCATAATGGGACTGCGGAGCAACAACAACAAAATTACATTGGTATAGCGCCTTTCCCTTCGGGAGGACGTCCCAAAGTTCCGGAACCACTTACATTCTAATTTTTTTTCAAAAAAAAGTTGGCTTATATTTATTAAAGTAATACTATTTGGGATTCCATCTTATGTTTTAGTTAAATCAGCGTTGTCAGTTCTCAGTTTGGCCACAAAATGGAGCCCCACTCATATTCTGTTCTTTTGGTCAAATGGTTGTTGAACACATGCAACTGCTTAAGAGCATCCAAACCAAGCTGAGAATTCCATGTATCCCATCTACTCATGGAAATCCCAGACGCAGGTGCTGAATGTTACTCCAGCACTCTCATCCTATGCTGGAGTAAAATCTATGCTTGATAAATATTTTTGTATTCTTGTCTTTCAGTATTTGATGCCTTTTCTCCTGAACCAAAGTGGATCAGTTGTTTATTACTTCACCTTGGCTTCTACAGGTCAGGATCTGTCTGCTTACTATTTACAACAAGCACTTTGCAGTCCCAATAACTTATCAATCAAAGTCACTATCCTTTTCTCCACACTTTGCTTCAGGGCCCAAGTTTCTAGACTTTAAAAACATAAGAAAACATTGCATCTTGCCTGTTGCACAAGTTTATTAGATGTTGGCAGATTTGTTAATTCCCAATTCCCCCTCCTTTTGCCACACCCTCACTTGTTACAGCTCCACCAGTGAAAAGTTCCAGAACCTAATACACAAAAACCTGGGGCAGGAATTGGTTGTTTGGCTCATCAAACCCAATCACTTCTCAATGTGTGCATCATCACTTTACCATTTGGATCTCTAAACTCACAGATCTAGCACACCTAGCCCAACCTGATAGTAATTAAACAGGTAACAGATTACCCACAAGTAATTATTTCATTGGAGAGTCTATTCCACAGACCCAGCATTCAGGGGGGAATAGCTGTCCTGGAATGTTCTTTTAACATTACATTTCTCATGTTGTTGACAATCAAATCTTTTCAGGTGCTGAAACATTTTTAAGGTTTTATTTCTCACTGCAAGTTTACCTGGTCCAACATGTGTTTTTTTCTTAATCAGAAGGTTAGATGCCAGTGGATTAGTTGTGGATTTAAGCACTTTTGTTTCAGTTCGTACAGATTTACTAAAATTGAGTTAATTTACAGGGAAAAGTTTAAATTATGTTTTTTTATTGTTCAGTTTACAATACCACGTTACCATTCTTTGACTTTCTTTAAAATATTTCAGAATTCTTGGTAACATTGTTGAAGTGCTTTAACACATCACATAACTTCAATTTGCAGTATATATTATTCATTTAATTCCTACTGAATAAATAGTCAAACTGAAAATATAAGGTTTTAAGAAAAAAAAAGCAGTTTTTCTGAGAAAGACTGAGTAAAATGTCCCTTTGGCAGATCTGTCCCTGGCTGTGCTCTTGTCCAACTCTCTAACTTTTCTCTGCACGTTGCTGACGGGGAAGCTACTTGGGGAAGATATTGGTGGCAAACGTAAGTATAGTATTTTTACAATGATTTGTGTTTTTTTTAAACTTAAGCTAGAGTTTGCTCTTCATTCATTAAGTCATGGTCGCAATGTGTTATTTCACAAAACAACAACATTAGTTTTTACATCGGTAAAAGAAAATAGTTAATATAGAATGCTGCACTGACAGACTGTTGCGATCACGTTACTGACATTGGCAAATAAAAAAATATTTTCTTGATTTTTAATCTGCTTTCATGTCTCTTGCCAGAGGCGGTTGCAGGAATGGTGCTGACTACACTGGGTGTCACTCTGTGTGTCGCCAGCAGCCTCACTGCGGAAGCCCGGCGGTGAAAGAACCCAGCTGCCCAGTTTGCAATTTCGTCATTTGTGTTCGATCACCTCATGAGGTGAGGAAGGAACTAAATGCAGAGAAGGAAAGAAATGCTCAGCTGGATACAGTTCCAGACTGGAACAAAATAAATATTCAATAACTTTGGGACTGGCTCTTTACAACTGTACAACTTGACTCCAAGCAGAATGTTTACATTGTTTACATTGCATCAGAAATTGACAGGGATTGGAAAGTCGGCTGTAGTTACCTTCAATCTTGAAACAGATTCAACCAATTGTTGTTGTGAATTTATTAGTTGAAATTGGCAAGAAAGCTGTTGTTTTGAGCTGTGGTCATAATTATATATTGGTTGGGATGGAATATGCAAAAATCGTGAATATGTTTCTGTCTCTCAACAGAAAGCTAATAATAGTAATAAATCCTTGTAATTGATATAGCACCTTATCGCGTCTCGAAGCGCTTCACGGGATATACTGCTGCTCTGGTCAATGCAGACTTGCAGCTAAACCATAGTTAAAAACAAAATCAGTTAGTTATTGTAATGTCTTAATTTATGTGTTTTAAAAAAAATTCTGCGACAAGGGATCTTGAACACTAAATTGAAGCGATACATTTTGAATTGGTGCCGAATCGGGTTCCCACCACCAGGTGGGAGCACATTTACAATCTTAATCAAAATGCGAGGAACGACTGATGCCCCAGTGCCATGTGGGATGTTGTTATAATATGGTGTGGGCTGGGCCAGAGCAGCAGTTACAGCAAGTCACTAGGACACAATTGTACAATGTTCCGTTTGCTTCTCGGTGGCAGTTAATCTTCCCTTTGCTCTTAATTTTAAACAGCATTTCTATTTATTTTGTCCATCCTCATTGCTCACTTTGTGCTGCTACATGTGCTTGCATCAGTTATTTGGTGGGGGGGTTGGGGTGGAGACGTGTGGGGGTGAGGGTGTGCGGAGGTATGTGTTTGTGTGGGGGGGACGGGGTGCGAGTGGGTGTTAGCGACAATGAGATTCTTCCTCAGTGGATATGGCAAATGCATGGAAATGGCAACATTGGAGGAAGTCCTTCAGCCCAGACTTGGTGTGGTCCTACCTGCAGACTGTAAACCACTTCCCCCACCCCTCAGTATAAACTGCTCGTATTACAGCCTGGGACACATGCAGATTCCACCTGCTTCATTGTCTCTTCAAACGTTTAAAGAACATCTAAATGTGTATGAAGGCTTGTGATTGAATATAAATGTTCATTCCGATTCCTTCCCCCCCCCCCCACTGCCCTGGTCCATCTCACTCGTTCGCTCACTAAAAGCTAAACAGAATAAAAGGTGAATGAATGAGCTTAATCTTCTGATTTAGGAGCAAATGATCCCAATGGCTGCAGTTCTAAATAGAAAGAGGTAAATTAAATGGTATTGACATGTTGCAACGGAAAAAATCTAGTGCGGGAATAAACTGCAAGCAATTTTGCTGAGAATAAAGGATAATACATGCTCTGTTCACAACATCAGAACAGGAAGCTTGGCCCCTGAGGGTCAAAGGTAAAGGAATGCTCAGGATCTCATGATCAGACTGTTCACAAAACCCAGAATAACTTAAACTCTAACCCTCGGAGGCAGTGCTGGCTTCATGCTGGGGATGGAATAAATGAGAAGCTTTTGGCTTTTCAATCTTATGCACAATGTTGTATCAAAATATTTATAAAATTATTGTCAGGGAGGTTTGTTGAATTTCATTCATGTGTTAATATCTATGGGGGAGGGGGGAGACAATTAAAAGCTATTTTGTCTTGAATTCTAACAGCAGCTGCATAAAAGGCAATTCTCCTGTGAAGCCGAATAGCAGCGTGAAATCTTCCCTTCCCCCTAACCTGGCAGGAGGAATGTACCATAGAGTGAGGGGAGAGAAGGATGATAATATCCTGTCCCTCTCACACAGACACTTCAGCCTGACATATAAGCGCAGTGAGCAGCTAGCCCTATCTCTTCCCAGGCATTCCCACAAAATATTGAACAAATAATCTCACTCAATGCAGAACAGAGCAGTGAGTGTTAGGACGTCTGATTGTTCCCATGATTTTCCCATGCTCAAATTTCTAATGCTGCTTATGCTACCCAGACATGGGGATATTTTCCAATTTTCTGTAAACTTACTGTTTTTATTTAGATATTATTTAGATATGACTTGGTGTGGCGAGCAGCCAGGCAAAACCACAAGGTTGTTCCTCCGTGCCTCAGCTCAAGCGCTTTGAGACGCCCACCTGACGTGACAGACACTTTTTCAAATGCGGAGTTTATGTTGTTACAGTTTAAATCACTCTGTAGAGATAATTTCTCTGGTTTTCTCTGATGACCAGCCAACCTATAGTTTTGAGCTTCCTAACATGGATACTTTTTGTTAGGCGGTTGATATTTTGTTCACCAGGTATTTTATCAAGCCATTTTCATATAGTCTTATTAACAGTTCCAGTTGCATTAACGATGTAGGAACTGTGTTTATTTTTTCATTGCTCCATCCATCCGCATGGCAACGTAAAGCAAACATATTTACATTTATTTATTATAAACCACCTTATGAAGTTCAGTGTAAAAGCTAAACTGGCACAATGTAGATAGCGACATGGATTAGCAAACAGTCAAAGTGCCAGCTATATCAAAGTAATTAGGACTTCTTCTCCCAGTTATTCCCTCCTCGTCCAAATTTACCCCCAGATTTAAATTAAATCACTGTTCATCTTTGTTGTTTGCAAAATGTTGCTGTTGCATGTTATCTGCCGTGTTTACTCCTATAACAGCAATAATTTTCTATTTCATATCTCGTATTGTAGAGTGCTTTGAAATATTTGTATTTTGTTAAAAGATGCTCTGAATAATAATAATCTTTACATTTGATACAGCACCTTATCACGTCATTGAGATGTCTCAAAGCGTTTCACAGAATATAATGTAAAGTGGAGTGACTGTATTTTTTGGGCGAAGCATGGATTCTAATGTCAATGACCGAGAATGGTAAATGGCCAAAAGAGTTGCTCTTCTGTGATCTCACAATTGTGGAATTAAGAATTGCTGTTACTGGGCAGGTCGCTGGGAAACCACTGTTCTGGTCGTGTGGAACCTGCAATCTTTGTTACTTGCTCGGCATCGGAATCCATTCTCCCACATCACTTGCTCAGTTTATTTTTCAATGCCATTGGATTCATCTCTCATAGGTCAATCATTTTTTTGCTTAATAATTTATCATCCGTGCTCTGCAGGAGGTAAGTAAACTAAAATCCAGTGGCCCATCATTTGTAATCTGTGTCTCAAATATATAGTTTGCACTGAGACACTACCCCATGTGAAGGGAGCTATATAAATGCGAGCTGTTTTTTTTGTAGTTTTTGTTATAAACAATAATTATGCATCTACAGGATTGTCACTACAAGAATTGATGGGGAGATCAAATCATCCTATATGCAGAACATCTCTGTACCACTGCACCTTTTTCCCCATATCATTTCTTTCTATCTTCCCCTTTCTCCCTTTCAAACACCTTAAATTGATTTTTTTTAACAACAGATTTTTTAAAAACATGACAGAGATTTTAGTGGATTCAGAGCCTTGTCCTGTGCCGGTAGAATTGCAGCCTGAAACTAAAGTCCTTCCCAAGAGCTGTGATGTTCCGTCTGTACGTACAAAAGTGAGAAAAACTATTGACCAGAATAAAAAGTACACTCGGGAGGTGAGTTGTTAAAAGGTTCTGCAGAATTGGTGCAGTCAGGATTCCTACATGATAAAAATAATGAATGGCTAACTGGGCTAACTATAGTACTTTAAAATTTAATAGTCAATTTTTTTTGTTTGATGTTTAATCTAATTATAACCATTTTAACCTCACTCTCAACTTAGCTCATTCTCCACATCCTTAACGGTTTACAATGTGGAGCCATCAAAACCTTATGGGAAAAAAGTTTGAAACTTAGGCTTTGTTTCTGCAGAAATGTACAGAATGCACCAGCTGCAAAGGGGGCAACCAGCATTTAAAGAGAAATTACCAAGGAAGCAGTGAGCAAAATCTAGCAGCGAAATCCAGCAGGTAAAATTCCTACCTCAATACCATAGCCTCACCTGGACATGGCAAAGTGGGACGTTTGGGTCTAAGTGGGGTAATGGGGGTGAGCAGCCTGACCTGCAATAAATTAGAAGCACAAGAGGGTACGTTTAAGAACGAGCACTCATAAAATCCTTTAATTTGTTTGGGCTGAAATTCCAGTTGCTATCAACACACAGAACCTTTGGCGATATCAACCGCTGGTAGGATTTCCCATTATAAATTGTGCAATGTTAAAGGGCTAAGTGGAATGGAATTTCAACCCAAATGTTACTTATGCTAATGAACAATTTGATGCTTCCAGGATACTTGTACTCACAGCTCAGGTGCCCATCTAGCATTGCCGAACACTTTGAGATGTCCTCCCGATGTAAAATGCGCTATAGATATGTGAAGTTGTGTTGTATAAACATTTTCTAACAATGTTGTAGTGAAATTGAGGGTTTTATATTCCCAGTGAAGATCGGCTCACAGAGAAGAGACGAAGCCCAACGAATGGGAAAAAATGTTCCAAGAAGACTCCCAACCTCACTGATGGTAAGTCTGTATATTTGCCACCACACTGCACGAAAGGTGTTCTATAAATGCAGGTTGTTGTTGTTGGAGGTAAAAAAACTTGTAAAATATTTGGCAGATGCATCAAACATTGAATATTTGGAATTCTAATGGGCACATAGATAAATTGTGGAAGTGTGTGGGTTATACCAAGACACAAGACAATTTCATGAGATTAGGGTAGATTTCCCCTGATCTGTGTGATGAGAATCCATATAAGCTTTCAAAAGAGAATTAGATAGATATGTGAAAAGGAATAATTTGCAGGAGTTTGGGGGGGGGGGAAGACAGGGACTAAATGAATTGCTCTTTCAAAGAGCCAGCACAGATAACAATGGGATGAATGACCTTCTGTGCTGTAAATTTCTATATTAAAGCCTAAATGTTGTGTGTAGCAATTCTCAATGACTCTTACACTGTTTCTGTACAGACAGTGAATTTCAGACTGAAAATGGACATTGCAAAGTCCATCATATCAGATGCTACAACTGTGGACGTAGAAAGACTAAACAAGACCATGAATGCTGTGGAGACAGAGGCAGTCACAGTAATCGGTGCAACAAAGAGAGAACGGATGAGCATTACTTTGATTCCAGAACAAACGATGTTCCCTCGAAGCACTTCCAGGACAAGAGGTGAGTTCTACACTAATAGTCCATCGTGTCGGGTCACAGTCTAATCATTTTCCACCCAACTACAAAATGATTCTCATCTTATACCTAATGTAAATCATGTGACTATTATTCTGTAGTCGTAACATCATTATAGTCTTTTATCAAAGTCTCATCTTTACGTCTCATTAGAAATGGTTTCATTTGGTAGTGTGGCACATGCTAAATTTTAAGGAAGACGATGTTGCAGAATGATAAAAAGCTTTTAATTTATTCTCAGGTTTCAGATGTTTTCACGCCTTCGTTCGATTACTGGCTTGTAATAGTTCCCAGGTGTTTATTATCTTTTAGTAAATACCTTCGTATTTAGCACATACAACTCCACTTGAGTCATAAGGTCACAGTGCACAGTATATTTAAAGAAAGATAATGTAAAGAAATATAATTCTTGCATTTGATAAAGCACCTTTCATGTTAGCAAGATGTCTTAAATCCCATCACAGGACTTGCGAGGTATTTTGTAGATGAACGCAGCAGCAAATTTACACACAGCAATGTGTCACAAACAGTGATTAAGTGAATGACCAATTTTATCTGGGGGATTGTTAGCCAAGACACGGAGAAAATCTCCATTCACTTTTCAACTAGTGCCATGGGATCTTTCACGGCTACCAGAACAAGACCTTAGTTTCATGTCCCATTGACAGATGGCACCTCAAACAATACTGTGTACGCCCAGCTCTGTCTAGGAGTTCAGTCCAGACAATGTGAGTGCAGTTGTTTGCAGTAATCTGCCACAATCGACCCAACAAATCACCAGCATAAATTTGAAGTGAAATGCACCACAATTTATATTTAATATCGTGCCTGTCACATCAGGAGGATGTCAAAGCACTTCACAGAATTGACTGGGAGCCTGGGGTAGGGAGTGGAGGAGGAGGGACCAAAAGAAAGGCAAAAGTAGCATCCTCTCCAGTTTACCAGCACCATCTAATTGCTCTCCTGCAATCAACATCAGTGAATTTATTGTTTGCAAACATTCACTTCTTTATTCATGTTGGTGGGCGCTACAGTAATTTTCTTTTGGTCATCAGCCCGATACCCAAATAAAGTCCCTGGTGCCCTTCCTCACACATAGGGAGGTATCAGTGATTGAGTGCTATTTTATAGGAGGTTCTTCTTCGGGTCAGTGCAAAAGGTGCGTCCAACACTGCAGACTGTAGGTTGTGATGCAGTGATGTATAAGAAAGCAGACGTTCCATTTTATTATGCTGAAAGCTATTTTTATTTCCCGCACCAGTGAGGCTGACAATTTAGTGTCGATTTGTTGCAAATTGTGCGCAATTTATGCTTTGAGCCTCGTCTCGTGTCTTATCGTGTCTTATAGGACCCCCTCCTGCTGACAGAGAGAGAAAACGTTCATCCCATCAATCAAGGCAAATCTGCGCAGTAGAAGGGAACCTGGGATTTACTGGGAAATGGGACAATATTCCACTTCTCTCTTAATCTTACAAGACCTCATTTAATCCGCACCCACCCTCTTTCCAAACTTGTCAATGTGTAGTGCTAACTAACTAATAATAATAATCCTTGCATGTAATATAACCCCTTATCAGTGAGACGTCTTAAAACTCTTCACAGGATATACTGTAAAGTGGTGTGACAATGTGTTTTTTGAGCGAAACGATACAATATTTTTTTCTCTCACTTCTTGTTATAGCACCTTCACATGGAATCCAGTGATTCCCAAGACCCAGACTGGCAGAGCTTGGGTCAGGCAAAGCTCCGTGGTGCTTCCCTATGAGTGGGAAGATGACTGCGAGATGATCGACTGGGTAATTGACCAATATGTTCAGGATGATACCAGCATTTCTGCATACTACAAGGGCAAGATCATCCTGACCTTAAAGGATGCTCTGGGCATCACCACAGTGGCTGCAGATTCAGAAAACCTTCCTAAAAAACTTCAGAGTCACGTATCGGATCTGAACATCCCAGATATCTCCAAGGTATTCAGCCCGTCACTTAATGATTTCAGTTTAAATATGAATAGGAATGTTCATGAACTTTAACATTTAATGTTAATACAACAAGGTAGCTTCATGTGCAAGATCCCTCCCGGAATTTAGTCAACTAACGGGTCAGAAGAAACCGTCTCTGCTGTAGGAAATGAGAATAATTTTGGGGGGTAATTGGATTAAATGTCTTTGAATGTTGCCTGCTCACCTCTGGGTTTATTTTAGATACTTTGCACTTCCTTGGAACAGACCTGGCTTCAAGGTGAAGTGATTGGCATGGAATTTGAGAATCAAATCAACCCACTTTCTTTGTTGGTCTCGGGAATCTGGTTCCTGAGCCAGGCAGTTTTGCACTACACCAGAGCACTAGAGATGACAGTTTAAACAAAATTTAAAAATCCTGTGAAGCTTTTTGAGACTTGAATGAGTTGATACCGTTACATTTTGCATAGCACCTTTCACATCAGTCTGAAAGTATCTACAGGATACACTGTAAAGTGTAGTGACTATATTTTGTAGGTGAATGTTGCAAAAATTATTATTTTATTTACAGATGTTTCCATCCACTGCATTGGCTTAATTATTAGCGACCGTGCTCCTTAACCCTGGATTTGTGGCACAGCTCAGCGTATCCTGAACTGTGACAACTCCCAAATTCACTAATATGGCACCTCACTTGGAAGAGCAAAACAGGATCAAATGCTGTGCAAGTCTGGTAGAAATCCACAGCTGTTTACTGTCTGAATGGCTGATGAGTGGCATTTCCACATGTTGTTCAATCACAGAATGCCAGACTAATGAAATTATGAACTGCACAAGAAGGCAATTGGACCACAAATCAAACCTAGACTAATGTTGGCCTGACTCACGGAGGCATTTTACTCCGACGTGCACACATTTGTTATCCGTAACTTGGCTAATGTAATTATCGTAAAATACTCTTTCAAATGAGAAACAAAGCGTACCTTGATTGCAGTTCAGTCGGCTTTTAGCGCCATACTGAGCTCTTTAAAGTGGACAGAGAATTATAATGAGGGAATTCATCTACTTGAATTACTGAATGAACATGCACATCCTGCTAACATATGGATTCTACATTCAAGCAGGAATTACAGACTTCAGTGGAGTTGCAAATCATTTGGTCAATGAAAATCTTGATTTGAAGACGTTAATATTTTTTAGGAATCGTCACAATAATTTCTAATCTTTGTCTGGATTCCTCAGCCAGCGCCCCTGGCTCCTCACAGCTTGTGAAGCTTGCTCGGTGTACTGCACCCGATTTTAATAATCATCTTGATGTTGTCTGTCCTGCAGCTATGCTCAGAATCACTTGTAATGGATCCTAAGCCATCAAAGGAAATCCTCAATGCAGAACCTGCAAAGTCGCCCAACTTAAGCTCTCCATCTGCCTGCAAAACAGCACTTGCTTCACCCGATAGCTCGTCTGAAGCAAGTCAGTCTAATAAGTGCATTCCAGGTAGAGTAATAGACTAGCAAACACGTTAATTATCAATCAATGGTTACAATAATTGGCTTTGCATTGTTTAAGATTCTAATGTGCAATAATATACACAGAAGTTGCAAATTTAACAATGTTTTTGCTATGTTTATAATACATTTTATTTAGTGTTGCTGTTTTTTGACAAAAAACTTTCAAAGTTTATTTGACCTTTTCTTCTCTCCCTACCCTCCGCCCCCGATGCTTGTGACCAGACCCTGGGAGAAACTCCCAATTGACATTTCTCTTCCTGTCCCCAGTCTGTGGCCTTGTCTTCTAAGATTAACCTCAACAGGTCTCTGTCTCCTACTCTTCTTCTACTAATCTCTCAACCTGTCTTCCTTGTAGCATAAGGAACCAACCTGGAGTCAAATATAAAATAACAGTTGTGGTGTAACCTCTCATCCCACTGGGCTTGTTTGTCATGTGTTTTAGAACATGAACAGTCACTCTTTGACGTTCATTCGTTGTTCATCTCAGTGCTTATTTCAGGCTATGATAGAGTAACGATGGTATAAGCAGTATTAACTATTGAGTTTCCTGTTTCTTCAGCTGGCAAAGCCCAGCAGTGTATAGAGAGCAACAAGACCTGTAGTTGGACTGTACAACTTTCACCACCAGAGGAACAGCCTCCACCCCCAGCTCTAGGCACAGTCACACCACACTAACAGGTACCAGCATCATCCTTGTATTTGATACACATAAATGTTAACTTGGCTCAGTGAGAGGGTTGTAGGTTCAAGACTGCCTTCGAACTGACAGTCTAGGCTTGCAGTGCAGGGGGTGATGGGGTGAGCATCATTACTGGAGGTTCTTTTGGAAGAGACGTGATAAACTGAGGACCCATCGGAGGATGTTAAGTACCCCAGACACTTCAAAAAGAGTGTCTTGGCCAACAGTGTCCCAAATAATGTTAGTGCTTCATTTCATGGCTGTTTGTGGGACATTCCCCACATTTTTGGCAGAGCTCACTGCCTATATAGTATTGTACTTTCAAATTAAATTAAAATTTATGAAGTTGAACCAGATATTTGATAATATTTTGACATCTTTCTGTCTCTTTTTCACAGGCCAAAATCACTCGAATGCCCATAAATCTGACAAGCTTGTAAAGTGTTTGTAACATCAACAATGCCAATAAATTGCCTCAACACCATTGGAGCTGAACATATCCAAGATTATGGTTTTACTGTAATAGTCAACTGCGGGCACTTAAAATTTTCTGAAACTGGTAGAGATTAGATTCTAATATTCCTGTTATTTATTAAATGTGCAAAACTTCTTAATTTATTTTCATTGTTAATCTGTTTCATATTTTGTCAGAACTGTTATTAACATGAACTTTTATTAAGAATCTGTTTTGGAAAATTGTTGTTAGAATATCAGTCTATATAATCATCCTGGCATTTGATGTAGGAAGGCCTTATCATGTCGTCGCGATGAATCAAAGAGCGTCATAAGATTTTACTGTAAAGTGCAATGACTATTTGATGAGGCTGACTTTGAAGGCTGCTAACAAAAGTGAAATAAAATAAATAAATAATTGTCCCTTCAAAAAAAAATATTGATCACTCAATCCACAACTGTTTGTGGGACACTGCTGTGTGCAATTGGTTGTTGCATTTCGCCCACAAAATATACAGTCAATTCATTTTCACAGTATATTCTGTGAGGTGCATTGAGACGTCTCAAGGAGATGGTAAGGTACTATCAAATGCAAGGATTATTATAATAATGCAGAATGGTCTGTTTGCATACCTGTCACCTGGTCAAGAATTAATGTATGGTGTTTGAAATGGATTCCTATGTTCGATAGTTGTTGCCCTAACACACATATGTCACAGAGCACAAATATACATGAATGACCATAATAACAGAGTGCTGTGTGCACATTTACCCAAATGAATACAGTTCTAATGCACTCACACTGTGTGTGCACACTTACCCACACACAGAGCTCTGATACCAGTATAACTAACCCAAACCGGTGACAGTATTAATGTGGGAGAGGAGGCCCTCAGCTCTTTCCCAACAATTTAAAAAAAAGACATGGGAATTCAGGATCACATGGCCCTTTCTGTACCTTAATTTTTCAGTCAGAACAGGTTGTGTTTACCTCCTTTGGACAGACTCCCAACCTGCCATCACCTCACCTGCAAAATGCTCCGCAATGCCTCATTTGAGGCACAGTTAAACCTGCTATTGCTGCAATGCATCCGTGTAGCATCTCTCCTTGTAAATGGGCAGAGCTTAGGGCAGTGGCATTCTTTCATTTAGAAGCAAGTAGCCAAACAATAGGTGTGAATTTATTTGATTGGCCCGAGCTGCTGTTTTGTTGGCAGCACTAAACACAAAGCAACCATTGATGAAAACAGCACCATGGAAACCAAGGTAGCTCTATGTAGTATAGTTGTTCACGCACCCTGTAGCTTCAACAACAGTTGAACTATGTGGACAACGGCAGAAAGCTTGCTTCAAGTTAAGGAAAATGACCTCCCCAGGAGTGTTTGCTGCCCCTCAGGCTAAGAATGTGGTCCTCTATAAGAATGGAGATCCGTTTTTCACTGGAAGGAAGTTTGTGGTTAACCAGAGGCAGATACTGACTTTTGAAACTTTTTTAAATGAAGTAACAAGTAACATCAATGCTCCCGTGGCCGTGAGAAAGATTTACACTCCAGGGGAAGGACACAGAGTCCTCGAGTTAAATGATCTACAGAACGGATGCCATTATGTGGCAGCAGGATTTGAGAAGTTTAAAAAATTAGAGTAAGTGCAATTATTGCTAATCTTATTCTGCGTTTCACATTTGTTCATCAGTGTTCAAAAATAAATAGCCTGATTAACAGGACCTTACATTGAAGGTCCCATTAAAAATTAATGTCAAGCTCCTTGTTGAAATGAGTAATAGGGTATCGCCTATTTAATAATCTCTCCACAGCCCAGCCCGTCCTCAGCTCTCTGACCTCCTCCACCCTGGCTGCTCCCTCCACTCAGCAAACACTGGCCTACTGCTTAATGTCCTCCACCCAATCTACCTCACCAGCAATGGGCAGCTACCTGCCATTCTGCCCCCGCGCTCTGTTACTCCTGACTTTAGTTTTTATCTATCAACTCCCTTCTCTAGTTTTTGAAAGAAATTACAGAAAACAGAGTTTTTAAGAAATTGACAAATTCTGAACACAATGAAATGTGTTAATGGAGCAAATAATAATCCTTGAATTTGATATAACGCCTTATCATGTCTTCGAGATGTCTCAAAGCGCTTCACGGAATATATTGTAAAGTGAATCGACTGTATTTTGTGGGCGAAACGCGGCAGCCAATTGCGCACAGCAGTGTCCCACACACAGTCGTGGATTGAGTGACCAAATTATTACTATTTTCTTGAAGGGCTTATTACCCCAGAAAGAGTGATACGCCAATCGACTAACAACCAGATTCCTACTTACTGCTGATAAACAGAGAAATGTGGAGTAAGGAAACTTGCCCTACATTTTCGCTGTGCGTGGGAATCAAACCAATGTCCTCTCGCTTGTGAGGCGAGTGCTCAACCACTAAACTACAGAACTTCACATCTAGATCCGTGTGCAAACTTACCCCATAAGGTCCTTAGAAATACATTTTGATTAACAAATAGTTAGCATTTTTAGTGACTCGAAGTTATTAAATCTAATTGATTTAAATTACAACCACAAGCGGTCACAGGAATGCAACATATTCCGTTTGGGTGATAGTTTGTGTCGAGCTAAGATTTAAGTTAAGTGACCCAGATAAACCAATACCAGCTTTGTACTATAAGGAAAATACACTAAAAAAAACGTTTGGTCTTGAAGCCCTAAATAGTAGAATTCAATCGCTGATTCTTTCTGCAGATAGTCAACAAAGATAAACTGCAGAAGTGACATTTTGCATGTATTTGACATGAATGCGCTGGTTGAACCTTGAACGTAACTAGTTTTGTGGTCACGCTGTTATAGAGATCTATTACAGCTAAACTAAAGGTCTGTGAACCTTAACAGTTTGTGCCCGTAATTGATGGTTTTATTCAATTTGAGACATTTGAAAGTAAAGCCTTTGTAAAACATTAACAAGTAGACAACATTTTGCAATCTGCAACAAAAGTGTATTGACCAGGATTTTGAACATCAACAAAGTGGAAAATAATATTGGACCACAGTTGCTCATAGCTGTAAACCTGCATCTTCATTGCAAGTCGTTGCTAACACAGTTTGTTGTGGAAAATTACTGGCTAATAAAAGTTAAAAATATAAGAACGGGTAGCGGCGAGTTAAGAAAGAGCAAGTTTTTCTGGAAGATGTATTACCTATATTTCTCTAGCATTTCAAAGGGAGGGGGTAGGTAGTATGAAGGGATGCATTAAGCTCCAGTTATTGTAATTATTGTTGGTGGATACAGTGAGTTTTGCTTTCCTGGCTTAATAAAACCCAGGTGAAATTCTTCCCAGTTTGCTTAGAATTGTGGAATAATAATAATAATCCTTGTGCTTGATATATGCTTCACAGAATACACTGTAAAGCGAATTGAATGTGTATTTTGTGCGTGAAACAAGGCAGCCAATTGCACACAGCAATATTTCACAAACAGTGTGGATTGAGTGACCAATTTTTTTTGGGGGCGGAATTATTACTCCCAGAAAACGATCCGTCACCATCCCATTACAGCCACATTGACTTGAGAAGACAGGTAAATGTTAAGCCCTCTGGGACTCCGCCTGGTGTGGAGGGTGCTATCTAAAAGCAAGTTGTTGTTGTAAATGGGTTCAAGTCAACCTTGGCTCTGGGGCTGATTCTTAGCCATGACAATCTGACCAGTGAATGACATTGAATTCATTTAATTCCTCCCTTCACGATTAATCCTCCCTTTATGATTATGAGTGGCTTTGTGGTGAGAGAGGCCCACGGCATGGAATACCCATGGTAGGTATGCTAAACCCATCACAGGTATGCTAAATACAAACATTCTCTGTTCCTGGCTCTGAGGTTGAGTTAAAGCATCTTAAGGGTCACTATTGGTTTAATTTCCTTCCCTTGCATTTAGATTGATCCAAGACTGGAACCAGTCCAGTCATCTCTGTATTCCAGCCATGGTATTGTTCAACTAAATCAACTTAATCCCACTCTTAATAATGTAGCAATGCCTCACAGATCACTTCCTTTGCTCAGTTTTGATTTCTTGCCACACTAGTGTAGTTTAAATCAGTCCCAAGGATAAATTGGCCACAATGTATGTGAGATACATTGTTGTTTTGGACACACACCTAAAACATTGGCCAAGAGCTGTAGAGGACATGTCGTGGCTAGCGGTCAGATATGCTAAGTTTCCTTGTGATGTTAACAAGATAACTGGTCAGTTTTAAAACTGCAATAAAATTATGAGTCAGCCTTATCTCAGTCCAGTCCCACTTGCCATGACATTAGACTGTTCTATGTTTTCCACAATAAGTTAAGAGATGAGTCTCTCTCCCGAATGCCCCCATTAGTAAATGCACTGCTCAAAACATCAACCACACAGCACCAGAAGGTGCCAAGTTCAATCCCTAGTCTATACTGAGTTAGGTGACCTCAACTGGGGAGTAGCAATGGGGAATTGCCTTCAGGATTCTTGGCTAAGGAACAAACCACTTAAGGTTCATTCTCTCGGGACCCTCCATCCTCTTCTCAATGTTCTTCCTCTCGACTCTCTACCCCCTCCTCGCTCCATCCCTTCCCTCACCCTGACCATTTCCCTCTTGCTTGGGTCCTGACCCAACTGTACAGCGCCTTCGGACGTCCTCCCGACGTGAAAGGCGCTCTATAAATGGAATCTTGTTGTTGTTGTTGTTCTTCCCCCATTAACTGTGTTTAACACAAGCTTTTTCCCCCTAAATAGCTATTTACAAAATGGGAACAAAAAGCCGGATGGAAACAGAAGAAAGCACAATCTGATGGTGAGTTCACATTGAAGAATGTTATTTCTAAAACAATTCAGATGCCTTCTTCCCCTTCTTTAAAGCTTGTATTAACACTTCTATTTGACTGTGCTTTTAATCATCTTGAGACGTCTCAACGACGTGATGAAGAGCTGTATCAAATGCAAGGATTATTATTATTAATATTATCTTCCCCCTCCCCTCAGCTAGTGCCAGCCCCAGCTCATTCTCTCAGTCAGCTCTGCAAAACGCTTTATAATAATAATAATACTAATCCTTGCATTTGACATGGCGCCTTTCATGTCGAGAATATGTCTCAAAGCACATCATAGGATTTACTATAAAATATAGTGACTCTGTATTTTGTATTGCATTGTAAGGTGTACTTTGTAGTTGGTGCTTCCTTAACCCCTGCCCGGACCAAGGTAAACAACTTTTACATAAACCTCCTCAGGAAAATTTAACACAGACATTTTCAGTTTGGTTCATTCATTAATAAAGTCACATATTGAGAATAAAGAAAGATTCTCGCATTGGAATGGACTTATTGATGGCAAATTTACTTCCACTTGTCAGAATGAAGATCTGAAGGAGACCTGGACCAATTGTTTGTTGGAAGTACTGCTCGAGGTAATTAGGTACAGAAGCAGCTATTGGAAATACCTGTAGAGTTAGATTCGATTGGAAATGCAATCTGAGCAAAGGGTTTGGTCTGGTCACAAAAGAAATTGGAAGAGATTTTGGTTTAATAGCTGGAGCCTGGCTGTGTAGTGTTTAAGGTGTAAATCAGTGATTTATTTGGGATTAGATTTTTGTAAGCGAGATGAAGTGAGTGGACCATTGTGGGCTTAATCAAAAAGTCGCTTTCAAAGATTTCATACACAGACGTCTGAAAAAATTTGTTGATCTGAAGCCTTAGTGGCATAACTCAGATGAAATCTGAATTAAAAAAATCCCAGATTGCTTTTGTCCATCTCAAATGGATTGGAGCTGAGTGGAAACAGTGAGACTGAACTCAATTAAACCCTATTTCCAAGCTGCAGGCAAGGCTGGTGCCGTTGGTAGCTTGATGTCAAAATAATATCAGCATCGGGATGCAATTAGCTCGGTTTCAGGAGCCAATGCGTTTGTCTGAACCGTTCATGTAACCATGTGAATTCCAATTAGATCCAAGGATAGCAAGGTCTACCATCAAGTCAAACTGTGTATCAGGGTATCTAATGACTGCAACCTCTCATTGTTGCTCATTTTCACTCCCTGCCATACTATTGGCACAATTGGCTGCCGTGTTTCGCCCACAAAACACAGTCAGTACAGTTTACAGTATATTCTGTGAAGCGCTTTGCGACATCTCAAAGACGTGATAAGGCTCTATATCAAATGCAAAGATTATTGTTATTATTATTATTTCTTTCGTTTGGTTTTTGCCAATTGGCCTTGAGTTCTGCAGCCAAGGTAAATACATGTGTACTATAATAAATAAATAATAATCCTTATTATTATAATAATAATAGTATTGTCTATTTAATGTTGTTTCAGGTGAGGATTGTCTATCCCTATAGAGGACACACCTCGGCAAGATGGAGCAAGTACATTCAGATGCCATGTATCATCAAGTAAGTACACTGATCATGTAATGATAGTTGGCAATCCAAATCACAAGTGCCTGTCAGATCCCAAATGCCATCAGGTAGGTAAAAATCTTTGGCTCTGCAATTAGCCATCACAGAGATCTCAGCATGAAAAGCATCAATGTTCCAGTGATAAGCAGTGGCAAAGAGACACTTAAATGGGAACTCTGTAGCTTCACTCTAGTTAGGATTGCGAGAATGAGGTTCATAAAGGGAAATGGACAGATCATCGGGAAGTAAGATTTTAAACGATATGGAGGTAAGGCAGGAAAATGAGCTGAAAAAGCAAACTAAGAAACTGACAGAGCGGACTGGCTGGGCCTCTTATTACATTATTATTTTATCTGTGGAAACCAGGGGGATGGGGGCTAATGAATAGGTATTAATGTTAGTGTTGTGTGATGGTATATTAGCTCCGATTGATTTTGGTACTTTCCCGTTGGTCGGCTTTGGGAATTTCCTCTTTATTAAACATCTGCTTGTCCAGTATTTTTAGGAACGGAGACCTCCTCACTGCACCGTTTCGATTAGTTATTCCCAAACACGTGATGTCAGATTGGGATACCATCCTCGCCATGGTAACAGAGAAAGCAAACCTACGGACTGGAGCTGCACGCAGGTGAGCAGCTCCAAAAACACTCCATCAGCCGTCACTTATCGTTCACTCTGAATCCAGTTTAATACAGTCTTATCCTGCACTCACAATCCACGTGGGTTAAGTCACAAACTTCGGATGAAGGAGGCCCTTCATCTCATTCATCCTTCAAAATATAACAACAATGATTTGGTCACTCAATCCGTGACTGTTTGTGGACGCTGCTGTGCACAATTGGCTGCTGCATTTCGCCCACAAATACACTGTCACTCCACTTTAAAGTATATTCTGTGAAGCGCTCTGAGACGTCTCAACAAAGTGATAAAACGCGATATCAAATTGACTGGATTGACCTGGTGTTTTGTGGGCGAATTCATTGCTGAGCATTGATTTATTTCTCACAGACTTTACACACTGGATGGGAGTGTGATAGACAGGGGCACCAAGCTGGAGAGTGGACAGTACTATGTCGGTGTTGGGTCTGAAAAGTTTAAACACCTGCCATATCTTGAACTCCTGGGGGACAAAATACCCTCACGCAATACTCACAGGTACATCTTGCAGTTGCACAGACTTCAGTTACCGTTTCATCGCTTGTTCATTCACTTGTTATAACTTGAGGGAGTGCTGCTCTGCTCTACCGGCCTTCAGATGAGACGTTGAACCCATCTGTTTGTTAAGGTGAAAGATTCCAACGCGCAATTCAAAAAGGAGGCTTTTGTCTGAGTTTCAAGGGCAACATTCCACTGGATACAGTTAGTCATCCTCCATGAACCTTTGGATAAAACTAATTGAGAATAATGATACACAAGACTGTTTGAGGGCTCGGAGAGTCTGATCTGGGTTTGGTGAGGCCAAAGTGTTAGAAACGAATTGACTGTTTCAATGTTTGCTTTCAGACATCATCAGGTGATCAGAATCCAACATAAGAATTCAAACAAAGAAGAAGTAAGAGATACAATTTTGTAATAATAATAATTCTTGCATTTGACATCTTATCACATCACACAGAAGAGTCCATTGTAACTGTCTCTGTCACAGGCCTCAGGCTGTGGTGACCCTGCAGGTTGCTGCTGGAGCTCACTGCAGTAGTGTCTTGAGCAGACGATATCTCTAATCAGAGGGAGAGAGGAGAGAAGATAATTATTTGGGGAGTACAAGTTTGCAGGGCTGTGGGGAGAGCGGGGGAGTGGGGTTGATCAGGGCTATGGGGAGAGAGCGGGGGAGTGGGGTTGTTCAGGGCTATGGGGAGAGAGCGGGGGAGTGGGGTTGATCAGGGCTATGGGGAGAGGGAGGGGGAGTGAGGTTGATCAGGGCTATGGGGAGAGCGCGGGGGAGTGGAGTTGATCAGGGCTATGGGAAGAGAGAGGGGGAGTGGGGTTGATCAGGGCTATGGGGAGAGCGCGGGGGAGTGGGGTTCATCAGGGCTATGGGGAGAGCGCGGGGGAGTGGGGTTCATCAGGGCTATGGGGAGAGCGCGGGGGAGTGGGGTTCATCAGGGCTATGGGGAGAGCACGGGGGAGTGGGGTTAAATTGGAAGCTCTTATCAAAGAGCAGCACAGATGCGATGGGTTGAATGGCCTCCTTCTGTGCTGTATGATTCTATGATTCTATGATCTCAGAGACACAACCAGACTATTATTAATGTCCTTCTGCTCAGTTAAGAGACCACGCGTCCCTCATCCCCTCCGTCCCACCATCGGTAGCCGGACCTTCAGTCACCGTGCCTTTCACCTGCCTCTATCCCTCTGCCTCGCCCACTCTCTACCCGTCTTTAAATCCCACCTTGAAATCTTCTTCTTAACCATGTCTACCGTCATGTCTTGCTCGGTATCCGACCTGCCATATTGGGGTACAGTTCACATTGGGATACAGTTGCCAATCTCTCACCCAAGTGACCGCTGTTGTCTCTGAGCCCAGGTGAGGGTTGATGCCATCTCCCTGTATTGATGTACGACACTTTGTGCAATGGTTACCTGGGGCATCGGAGTCAGTTTAAGAGGTGGCAAAATTACATTTGTATAATTGTATAACAATGATGCTCCAATGAACCAACCCACAAAAGTGTTACGTCAGGAATTGTAGCAGCAATTTTCTCTCACAACAAGACCCTGGATAGCAGGAAGACACCATATTTTTTACCCACAAAATATACAGTCAATTCACTTTACAGTATATTCTGTGAAGCGCTTTGGGACGTCTCAAAGACGTGATAAAGCGCTATATCCAATGCAAGGATTGTTATGCAGTTCTTACATGACAGAAATAATAATAATAATAATAATAATAATCCTTGCATTTGATATAGCGCTTTTCACGTCGGGAGGACGTCCCAAAGCGCTTCACAGAATATACTGTAAAGTGAATTGACTATACTTGTGGGCGAACGCGGCAGCCAATTGCGCACAGCAATGTCCCACAAACAGTCGTGGATTGAAAATTACCAATTTATTATTGTTTTTGGTTTTGGAGGGATTATTATTAGGCTCTGTGTGGAGTAAGGAAACTTGCCCAGGGTTTCGCCCTCTGCCTGGAATTGAACTCAGGTCTCTCACTTGCAAAGCGAGTGCTCTAACCACTGAGCTACAGGACTCCAGAAATATATACAAACCTGGAAAAATCATTCAGTGCTGCAAAGCATCCACACAGTTGAGTCACTATACTTTACAGTATATCTGTGAAGCGCTTTGAGACGTCTCAACAAGGTGATAAGGCCCTGTATCAAATGCAAGGATTAATATATTATTAATGTGAAAGGCGGTGTATCAAATGCAAGGATTTTTATCATTACCGAGGTTGCCTCGTACAGTTAGAGCAAAGAATGTGGGACTGAATACTATGACAGGTTTAGGTTACACTTTTGATGCTGTGGTTCATGGTTTACATTCTGTGCGATGTCCACATCAGTGTTGTGTTGTTTCAATTAGAATCTGAGATCAAGTCGCCAACATGTGTGGAGGGAGTGGAGGCGGATCTGCAGATAATGACCACCAGAGGGCAACAGGGAGCTGACATTTAAATAAACATTTAAATAAACAATCAAAACAAATATGTTTTTATATTAAAATATCTGCAGCTGGAGTTTCCACACTGTGTGGCTGAAAGATGAAAGATTAAATATAGAGCAATATTGATAGCTAGTGTCTAACTGTACACCAGATGTCTACTGGCAAGATTCACTCATTTATTGATCCTGCAGTGAATGAAGTCAGCATACAACACTACATTTTACATATACTTAAGCAGCATGTATCCTCCATAAAGAGAATACTTATACTGTCTCCAAACACTAGGCTGGATTCCTGGTGAGGTCACGATAGGACAATTAGACAGACAATTAATCTTCTTCACTTGTACCAAAGGGGTGGGAGTAAAATGGTCCTTTTCAAATTAATAATAATCCTTGCATTTCATACAGTGCCTCATCACATCATTGAGATGCCTCAAAACACTTTACAGAATTTACTGCAAAGTGCAGTGACTGTGTATTTTGCAGGTGAAACGCCGCAGCCAATTTGCAAACAGCAATTTCATACACACAGCCATGAAGTGAACGACCAATTTTATCTTGGGGATTGTCAGGCAGGAGGGCAGAAAAAAATCCCTTCTCTTTTTGTACACGGTGCTACGGGCCCTTTTCCATCTACCTGAATCTTTGTAGACAAACCGCGTAGTCAAGGAGGTCCCACAAACAGCCATGAGAAGAATGTCCAATTAATCTGGGGGATTGTTGCCTTGAAGGTCAGGAGAAAAGCCCTTCTATATCCAGTTAGTGTCGTGGGATATTTAACGTCCATGTGCGCAGGCGGATTGTACTACCTTTAAGGGGCAAATTGGTAAATACATTTGTACAATTGAAATGTCTTCAATAGCTATCTCACCTTGCCACTGATCAATCCTTTTAAATTGTCCTTCCTCTCCTCTCTGTTCCCTATTGTCTCTGTGAAAGACTTTGGAGGTAGATACACGTATGTGAAAGGCACTATGTAAGTCCGAGTTATTAAGCACATAAACCCTAGTTGTCAGTGAAAGCGGGGCATCACTAATCAATGCCATCAGCTAATCTGCAAAAAGGATCGGATCTTTGTGGTCAACCTTCGATCTCCAGTCACCGCACAGTCGATAAATGAGGGAATCAATAGGCAAAGGCCATTTGTGGGATTGTGTTTCTGTGGCTTAGTTTCATTACAATCTTCTAAAAGTGCTTCCAGGCTGCATCGGCTTCATCTCACACTAAATAACAAGCACGTAAATATATAAATAAATACTCCTTGAATTTGATATCACGCCTTTCACATCAAGACAATGTCTCAAAGCACTTCACATGATTTACTGTAAAGTGTAGTGACTGTGTATTTTGCAGGTGAATATGGCAGCCACTTTTGCGCACAACAATGTCCCACAAACAACCATGGAGTGAATGACCAGTTTTATTTGGGTGACAGCTGACCAATACACTGGGAGAAACTCTTCTCTTTTTGAATAGTGCCACAGAATATTTAATGTCCACCTGAAAAGGCATTCAGTTTAATATCTCATCCAAAGAACGACATCTCAGACTGATGCAGCCTACCCTCAGCTCTGCATTGAAATGTCAGCCTAGCTATATGAGTTCAAAGTCCCGATGTGAGACTTGAACCTTGCATTTGCATTTTGCATTTTTTTTTGATATAGCGCTTTTCACGTCGGGAGGACGTCCCAAAGCGCTTCACAGAACACACTGTAAAGTGAATTGACTGTATATTTGTGGGCGAACGCGGCAGCCAATTGCACACAGCAATGTCCCACAAACAGTCGTAGATTGAAAATGACCAATTTATTATTGTTTTTGGTTTTGGAGGGGTTATTATTAGGCTCTGTGTGGAGTAAGGAAACTTGCCCAAGGTTTCGCCCTGACCTGCCTGGGTGGATAGCTTGTTTTATTGTGTTCACTGTTCACAAGGATAAACAGGCTTCAAAATATACAGTAATTTGTGAGTTTATTTTGAGTGAGTTTAGCTGCTTGACTCTTTTATTATCAAACTCTGATTTTTCATCTTGTCACAAGTCAAAAACACGGCACCACCTAATGGTCTGTATTCACAGCCAAATCATCGTCGTGTCCAATCCACTGGGAACGCGGGAAAGGCCGGCATTATAGTCTCTCCACGGATGGTCGTAAAGAGAGACACAAACGCCAGCAGCCAAAATCATTCTGTATTCTATACAAAGCCGGTTACTGTGTGGACCCATCGGAAATTCACAAAGATTTCACAGGCCAGAGCAGCAACCACAGGTACGAGCATTGAAAAATATCATCAGAAACACGTTGCTTTGGGTTCCGATGCTGCTTGTTCATAACACACACATACATATACACACATACACACACATATACACACATGCATGGACACACAAACACAAAGTGTGGAATGTTTTCACCATAAACCCATGTGTCAAAATCTACATTTTTGACTGAGCTTTCGGTCATCTTTACCCATTCCCCCGCCCACAACCAGCACTGTGAAGCACTGAAACCCAGCCTCTTGATGTGCAAGGCGCTGTGTAAATGTAAATTGTATCATATTATATTTTAGAGAACGGGAGCGTTTTTAAGGTGAATGAGAAAAGAGCTGAGCTGCAGGGAGCTCATGAAATTCCTGACGATGAAAATACTAAGGTGGAGCTTCCAATTGATCAGGTGAAAACATGCGTTATTTATACCGTGTTAATTTCGATTTTTATTATCAGCAGATCCTTCACCAATAACAGTTTCTCTTCTGCCTTAGAGATGGAGGTAATCTTCTCCCTGACTGCAGGAACTGCCTTGTTAAATTGGCCATGGGCCAATGGTGCCATGGAAAATTAGTCAACAGACATAAAGGTAGAGATAGAAAGAGAGAGAGAGGTATAACCTGAATTAATCTCTGAAAGGTATGTTGGTGTCAGGCTCAGTGGGAGAGAAATTCCAAACGAGTTGAGATTTACTCAGTTTATGCTGCAAAAATTTAAGAATTTGCATATCCAGAGCTTTTCTGCAAATTTCTTTGAAGATCAATGGGAATCGAGCTTCAAACCTCAAAGACTGAATTCAGCCACAGTATTTGCCAAGTTCTGGACATTCTAAAATGCCGTATAAATAGAGTAAATTTAGACCCAAGTGTGATCCCCATATATACACACAGGGCCTCGGGCCATTTAATTCAACTACTGCGGGAAATATATTCCTAACCTAATTACAATGTGCTTCGGCATTGAGGGTAGCTTTACAGCTCAGACATTCGATCCACTTATGTCCATGGCTAACAGCAGTTTTTTTAATAACATAACATAAAAGTGTTTGGCAGATACTGAACCCATCAGGGTGTACATTTACTGTACTAAATGTACTTGCTGTTTGACATAATAATAATCCTTGCATTTGATATAGTGCCTTATCATGTTGTTGAGATGTCTAAAAGTGCTTCACAGAATATAACGTAAAGTGTAGTGACTGTATTTGTGGGTGAAAGGCAGCAGCCAGTTGCGCACACAGTGTCCTACAAACAGTCGTGGATTGAGTTGTTTTTTTTGGAGGGATTATTAACCCAGGAAAGTGATCTGCCAATTGACTAACAACCGTGTTCCTACTGACTGCTGGTAAACAAAGGCGTGAGGAGTAAGGAAACTTGCCTAAGGATTCTTCCTGCCCGGAAATCGAACCCAGGTCCTCTCAAGTGAGAGGCGAGTGCTCTAACCATGCACTAGGTGACTCCATGAGCAAGGATGCCCTGAGTTTTCAGAATTTTTAAAATTTTTTTTGCAGAGAGTTGCTGAGATTGTTCAAGATGAAGTAATTCACGAAGCAAGGCCTGGCAATGTGAAAGAGGTACAAGCTCTTTTATGCATTGTATTCCCCACGGCACATTTTCTTTAGAATCACATTCGCTGCAAGGCCAGGTTCACAACCCTGCCACAACCCATTTATTGTCCCCGAGAAGCACCAATTTTGCTTAAAGAAAATGTATTTCTGTGTGCATCAGAAGCAAACAATCTGCTTCATCCATTTCACTGGCCTTACAGTCTGCTCATGGTCATTTGATAGAATATTGATGCTGACAATGGTCTCACCTTGATAGCTATCTATTCACAACATTAAGATGTCACAACCTTGAAAGGAAATTATTATTATGGATCCCTTATTCTCGCTGCATTCAGCATCCAAGCAAACGTAATTCAAGGCAACAACTGTTCCACTCTCCTTGATATGAACCTGTATCTTTGTCAAACATGTAGCAGCCTTCAACATTGAGAGCACGAGAATCCCTTCCCCTCCCAGTCGTAATCTGCTGAAAACAGTCCAAATGTCCTTATGGGTGTCAGCCTGGCTCAGTTGGTAATGCTCTTGCCTCTGAACCAGAAGGTATTGAGCTCAAGCCCCACATCAGGACTTTGAGTTCACGTAGGTTAGGGTAAAACTCCATGGTGGTATTATTATAATAATGATGATGATATTATAAGAGAAAAGAGTTTCTCCTGGTGTCCTGGTGAACAATCCCCAGATACAATTGGTGTTCATTAAGTGGCTGTTTGTGGGTACTTTGTTGTGCAGCTTCGCTTTACAAAATACAGTGTCAAAGCACGTCCCAGGATTTACTCTGAAGTGGAGTGACTGTATTTTGTTATGTGGGCAAACAAAATACAGTGGACAATTTGCGCAAAGCAGTGTCCCACAAATCGTGAATAGAATGGCCAATTTTACCTGCAGAATTGTTGGTCAGCTTAAAACAATTATAAAATAATTATACAATAAAGAAACCAGTGTATAAATGTAAAGTACAGTTTCTGTTGTGGGGGGTGGGGGGGGAGGGGACGGTTATGGGAATCCTTTTTAATAGGAACACATTCATTTTTCATTTTCCGTATAGAATTGTGTCGACAAACCTCAAATGAAGCCTTGAGACAGACAGAAGTCCATCAGCACAATGTTCACAATGCCCAGCTCACTATCCTCACTCACCATTGCAGTTTGGCTGCAGAACTTTCTCCTCGATGTCGTGTGAGGTCAATGTGTTTCACTCCACTGAGCTCAGAGTGTTTGCCCTCCGCTAGACAATGCTCGCTCACTCGCTCAGCTAAGAGGCCCTCAACATCACAGTTTGGGGGGTTTATTTAAAAATATATATATTTACATTAAAACAGTTCTAATCAATAAAAAATATAATTTCTAAACTGATTTTTTTTTATTTGGCATTGGTTAGTGTAGTGTATAAAGATACAACAATGTCACCTTTCTGACTCAAGGTCAAATATACCTGGTCAGATGGATATCTCTCTCTCTGTCTTTGTGTGTGTATATATGTGTGTGTGTCTCTGTGTATGTGTGTCTCTCTCTCTCTGAAAAGCCTCCGCGTGTTCCTATTTTCCCATGTTTTTGTGCTAAAAGAGGATCATGTTAATCCTGCAGATTTTGCCCTCAGTATTTCACTGCCTAACCCATGACCTACCTGCCTTTTGTGTGGAAATTCTGCTGAGACTCAGGTTTTGGAGAATAAACTACAAACAACCCAATAGAAACGAGGTAACCTCCCGTAATAAACCAGCATCACAAATTCTCAATATCCTAGAAAGCTTTTTCTAATTTTTATTGAGTAAAGTTCTCTGTTTCCCAAAGGGATATTGGTTACATCCTCCATGAACAGTGAAACATGTTGTTGATGCTATGGGCAGGAGTTTCATCATTTCCTTTTGCTGTTGTTGTACTGGTGAGAAAATAAGTTTCTTATTAATATTCCTTCAGAAGCTGGGAACTTCCTGGATCAGGTTAATTCACCAACAGTGAGATGACGATTGAGGAAATAAATGAAGAAAAAATTAACTTAATACAAACAAGCCCTGTTTCTGGTTAAGACACTCGTGTTTCATAGTGTTCACCTTTGCAGAGCTACAAGTCACAATAACATCACTTCCTATCATCCTTCCAAGTGATTCAGCACCTTTCACATTGGGTTTTCGTCTCAAAACACTTCGCAGGATTTTACTGTAAAGTGTAGTGACTGTGTATTTTGTAGTCAACATTATCTGAAACAATGATTATTGTGTAATTACAAAGGAATTAAACAATAAGCTCACACTCACTGTGCATTTCTCTGGATGCTGCAAAGATGCTTTCAAAGTTCCCATTGACCAGTGCTATTTAATAACTCAAATGAACTTTTCAGTCAAGTCTGATTTGAATTAATGAATCCAAGATTAGAACAAAATCCCCTGTAATTATTATAAGAGGGGAAATTAGTAACGGAGGAGATTGGGACTTTGGATGTCCTCCAGACCTGAAAGCCACTCTATAAATGTAATTTTGTTTTTGTTGTTGTGTTGTTACAAAATCCCCCTTGGGTTTGCGTCAAGCAATTACACTGATAAAATGCAGCAATAAAAGACTATTGTAAAAGATCTCACAAGTCACATTTTCCTGAAACTGTGATGACTATGTATTTGCGATTAACACAGCAGCTGATTTGCACACAGTTGTGTCCTACAAACAGCCGTGATGTAAACAACCAATATAATTTGGGGATTGTTGACCAGGAGACCTGCAGAGATGTCTCGGGTGGGGGGGTGAGTAAATTCCAGGCTGGAAGAAATCAGTCCTTTCTCTCAATCTATTGCTTCCAGTCTCTCCTGGTTTCAGGGGGGGTCAATGGTTTTCACATGTTGTTCATGTGACTCTGAGGCCCTATCAGTGATGATAATTGACTGCACATGATGGACAGTTAACCTTATATAAAATGACCTTTAAAAGTTAGTCTTTCGCCTATTTTCGGCATAAATCCTCATTTTTTGGGGGGTGGAGGGGGTTGGAACAGTAAAAACTTTTTTTTGAAAACAGATGGATTCTCCATTTTGTGTGTGTTTGTATGTGTGTGTGTATATATGTGAGTGTATATGTGTGTGTTTGTACGTGTATGGGGTTGGGGGCTGGGCTGGGCTCAAGGAGAACTTTATCATTGAAATGCTCACGTTTTGCTGATCCCAGATATAAGCTAATTCAGGAGAAGACTTGCCCAATTTAATGGCCCAATAACTCTTGCGTCCTATTGCCTGATACCAATTGCTGCCCAGATGAAGCTTTTGGCCACTTGTGTTTCATACCATCGGAGAATCTTGCAATATGACCTTGATGTTTATTTATATTAATCTTCAGTTGGTTTCTTTGCCCCCGGAGGCCACTGGCATCTGACTGTAACTGCAAATCAGCTCCTGCGCTGAACAGCACCACATTCGCTAGCACTGCATCACCATCTGTACAGTTACGGTCACTGTGCTCACCAGGCTCCGTCTGCTTCCACTGTGACAAAGAAGAATTTATAATAATCATTCCGTGCATTTGATATCGTGCCTTCAAGACGTCTCAAAGCGCTTCACAAAATATACTGTAAAGTGAATTGACTGTATTTTGGGGGTGAAACCTAGTGCTGTGTGTAGCACTCACAGCCTTATGATTGGTTCCCTGAGATGATGGAACTCATTCTAAAACCAAACCATAAAAGCTTTTCAAGGGCAGCAAAAAAAATGCAGATATCATTATTTTGAACACCAGCAATGTGAAATATCATATTACGTCCAGCTGATCTAATCATCCTGCTTCTAATCACATACATTTTGTTTCAGCATCAATAAAGAATTTGTCAACCAAGCCTGCTGGAATTCTTTTTCCCCACTATCCGTCTCAATGGAAAATCTCTGGTCACGTTGGAGGTTTCTCTTCCCTGGAAGCCAGGCTATTTCTTGTGCATGGATTCCTCCATCACCTCTAAAAGTGATTTATAACATCTGAGCAGGGTGGCCTGTGGAGACACTCAGTGGGGAGCTGCCTTAGACGTTCTCACATCTGTGATGCCGTCCTTTTTCCCTTCAGCAAAAGGTGGTGATATTTCCTTTCTCCCCGGGAAATACATCTCCTTCCTTAGGCCAGACATAAGAGCAAATAATGCCTGTGATCTTCAATGGCTGGCCCTGCTGCCCTCCAGTCATGTCAGCGGCACCTGCTGTCCTTCTTGTTGATCCCTTAGGAGACGTCTTCGTGCCCAGTATCAAGACAGATCTTGAGGTGTAGGGGGGGCTGTGTGTGGAGGGTGAGGTGGGGGTTAGGGTGAGGTTTGCACCCACAAGCCACTGACTCAGAGGCGAGAGTGCTACCAACTGAGCCAGGCTGACACTTCTGTAGTGTTACAACAACAACAAAATTCCATGTGTACAGCGCCTTTCACGTCAGGAGGACGTCCCAAGGTTCTGGACAGACAAGAGTTATGGACCTGAGCTGAGGGTCAGGGTCAGGGAGGGTGGAGGGGAGGGGAGGGGGGGAAGCAGAGAGATCGAAGGCACGGTCGAAGAGGAGGGTCTTGAGATAGGTATTGAAGGAGGCGAGGGAGGGGGTGAGGTGGAGGGACTGCGGGATGGAGTTCCAGAGGGTGGGGGAAGAGTGGCGGAAGGCCCACCCGCCATTAGTGGGGCGAGCGAGGCGGGGGACGTGAAGCAGGCCAGAGCCCGCTGAGCAGAGGGAGTGAACAGGATGGGAGGGGTTAAGAAGGTCGCAGAGATAGGGGGGGGAGCAAGACCATGGAGGGCTTTGAAGATGAGAACCAGGATCTTGAACTGCATCCTCTGTCTGATGGGAAACAAGTGGAGTTGGGCAAGGATGGGGGTGATAGGGTCATGGAGTCCAGTGCGGGAGAAGACACGGGCTGCAGAGTTCTGGATGATCTGCAGTCTGCGGAGGGAGGAGTTGGGGAGGCCGACAAGCAATGAGTTTGCATAGTCTAGCCTCGATATAATGAAGGCGTGTATGAGGGTCTCGGGGGCCTGTGGTGTGAGACAGTGTCGGAGCCGGGTGATGTTGTAGAGGTGGGGGATGGCAGAGCAAGTCATGGCGCAGATGTGGGGTAGAAAGAATAGTTGAGGGTCATACAAAATGCCAAGGTTCCGGACTGGCTTAGCAAAGTGGAGTGTGCAACCATGGATGGTGATATTGTCAGCGCCTGAGGTGAGGAGGCGCTGATGGGAGCCAATCAGGAGAGCCTCGGACATTGACGTTCAACTGAAGAAAATTAGCTCTCATCCAGGGCTTGATAGAAATAATTCTTGCCTTCAATACTTGGCGATCCCCCCTTTGCCTTGTCTATTATACAGTGATCACAACATGGAGAAGGATGGAGTGAGTGGCAGAATGAGGTGCAGAAGCTGTGCTGGAAGCAGGAAGTCAGGACACTGATTGATCTCAGCTGCTTGTAATAACAGTGAAAACCCTCACACACTTCTTCTGGGTCAGAAGCAGGAAGCTTCCTAAGGTACCAGAGCCACAAGAGCCATCCAGCCCAGGAGAGTTTCCTCATCGTTTACACAGGCAGTATTTCAGAATAAACAAACGCAGCTTTCAGAAGGTAAGAACTGGCATTCTCATTATCCTGGAGAGAGACTTACACCAAAGTGAGCTAATCGTTTGATGTATTCATTATCATCTCTAGAAATGTGGTAATCTTCACACAGAACTCACGATGTGTGCGGAGGCTGATTCTCCATGTAATAGAGGTGATAGCTAGACTAATAATCCTTTCATTTGATATAGCACATTCCCAGATCAGCTCAAATCACTTTACAGGATTTTCCTGTAAAGCGCAGTGACTGTGTACATGTAGGTAATTGGGGCAGCCATCAGTTACCCTCTGGGCGACAAAATATTTGTACGAGTGGTTTGGATTATTGTCGGATTTTATTATTATTATATTATAATATGAATTAAAAAAGATTGAGTCAAGCTGAGTGGCTGATGTTATTTTATTTTCATGTCGTTGCTGATATCATTACGACTACAATGGCCTTTTCTGTTGCTGTGACTTGCACACATTGCTCTCTCTTTGGCAAACGTCTGGTCTGTAACCGGCCCTTAACGTTTCTGCGCTGAGATTCAAAAATGATTTTTTCCCAGCAAAATATGAGCCTTAATGTTAGGAAACATCTACAGAGTAGCGTTGGTTTATTGGGATGTTGGTTTATTGGGATGTTGGTTTATTGGGATGTTGGTTTATTGGGACGTCAATTTATTGGGACGTCAATTTATTGGGATGTTGGTTTATTGGGATGTTGGTTTATTGGGATGTCGGTTTATTGGGATGTCGGTTTATTGGGGGTTGGTTTATTGGGATGTTACTTTATTGGGATGTTGGTTTATTGGGGCGTTCGGTTAGGGTTAGTTTTTAATGGGACGCTAGGTTAGGGTTTAATGTGGCGTTGCCACTGCAGGTCCTGCAGAGCAGACAGTGTATCCTGTGCACTGCCACACTGAGTGGATATGGAGAAGCAGCATTTCCTCTTGTCAATTATTTTTAATCAGTGAGGCACTAGGTACATTTATTGATTCATCAAACATGTTTGATGTGATAAATGGGACCTCGAGTTTGAATGCAAATTCCCTTTCAGGTGAAAATACTTCCTTCCAATCAAGCAGGAGCTGCTGTCAGGGCTATCAAACAGCCAAAAAGGGAAGCAAATATTTTGTTCCCACATGAAATCAGAGCTTTGAAACCTCATTTGCATTTGAAAAAAATCTTAATATGCTTCGAAGAGCAAAGTATAGCTCTGCCATCCTCTCCTGTCCTCTCCCCAGCTCTCCTCTCCTCTGCTCTCCTCTCCCATCCCCTTCTCTCCTCTTCCTACCCCCTACCCTCTCACATCTCCTCTCCCCACCGTTATTTTATATTTATGCCCTCTTGTTAGGGACTGACAAATCAATTGGAAACAAACCATTTAAGTCCACCTTGTCCAACCCTGTCATAAGTGCAAACAGCTCTATCAGATCACCTCTCAAAAACTTCATCTCCAAAGGAAAAAGAGCTCTAATCTCTGCAGTCTTTCTTCGTAGCTCGAACCTCTCCTCATCCCTGTTAACACATTAGTTAGTCTACGCTGCACTCTCTCCGT